CAAGTGCAGTGTTAAGTGCTATATGTATATAATCGTACCAAAATGAAAAAAACTGTGTAACCTTCCGCGTGCAGTGGCTGGCAATACAGTCGAGCTTCGATTTAATAAAGTCGTCTTGAGCCAAAAATTTTGTTAAATCACGAATTTCGTTAGACTGAGGTTTTCATTTTTTAGCATTGCAACTTGTCTTCCAGGCTCCCAAAACCCTCCAATTGCCTCACATCTTGCAAGTGAGTGTTTACAAATAAGATTCCACCACAAAATGTGCCGGTAATAAAAAAACACAGTTCACCGACCCACATTTTGTTTGCTTATGGGAACAGTGCCTTGCACCGCAGGAGAGTGTGCAGTTGGGAAAACAACTGCAGTAGGGAAAGCAACACTGAAACTTACGGTAGCCACAATGCTGTCCTTCAACTTCAGAATCATGGAAAGCGAACTCTGCAAAATTTCATACTTCTCGGCAAGAGTCTTTCTTTTTGCCATTCGCCACTTCAGCGATTATTTTTGCCTGAATGTCGAGTGACAGAACCTTCCTTTTGCCCGGTGCACCACTTATTGTTTCAAGAAGAAAACAGCCACTTCCAGCGCAACACTCGAGACACGAAACAATTTTTGTTGTTGCGGACACGTAAGAGCTCTAGTTCGTTCGGCGTAAGTACAGGGTGTCACAAAAGAAAATTTACACAGTCTTTTTTACCGCAAAAATGAACTATGCATCGCCGAACGCTCATCCTCCGCCCAAAGGTAGAGCTAGAGGTCACAACCAGATGCCTAAGTTTCAGCCCGATCCGATCACTTAATCAAAAGTTATGAGTGATTTTCTGAAAAGTTCAATGGGAAAATGGAGCCCATTTTTGCCTGTTTTCGGTTTCTGGTGCCATAGAGCCCCATGTGTTTGAAAACTCCGTCTGCCGCCATTTTCCCATTGAAATTTTCAGAAAACCACTTATAACTTTTTAGGATCGGGCTGAAACTTTGGCATCTGGTTGTGACCTCTAGCTCTACCTTTGGGCGGAGAATGAGCGTTCGGCGATGCCTAGTTTATTTTTGCGGTAAAAAAGACCGTGTAAATTTTCTTTTGTGACACCCTGTACATGTAATGGCGGGCATTTTTTTTTCCACGAGAGGCAGAAGCTATGAGGCTACTCATCGTCATCATCAACACCACCACTGGTGCATACTTTTTTTATGTTGTGAAAAAGTTAATGACCTCACATAGTTAGTTTTCAATAATAAGGTTTGTTTCTGTTAATTTCTTTTTTCCACGGAGGCTGCTGATATTTGTATGTGCGATTTCCAAAGACTTTGTTAAATCGAAACTGCTGCACAAAAGTACTTTGATAAATCGAGAGATACAATGCATCGTCTTTAATTCAAGCAAGATTGGGAGACGAAAAAAATACTGTTAATTCACAAATTTTGTTACCAAGATCTGGGTTTGTTACATCAAGGTTCAACTGTACAAGCTAAAATGCACGAGTGGCAATCAGGCAGTACAAAACATGCAGACTAACTTAGAACAAGCGAAGCATGAGGGGGAGAGCGGCAGTGTTACAATTTCTGGACTCACCCTTAAAGGGTAACTGTAAAGAAAAAAAAGTATTTTTTTAAACAGCCTAATTGGGACAAGCATGTCACAAAACAAATGTTCCGCGAAAAAAATTTTTTTATCAATATTTACGCCACAGGACGTAATTTAGTCGGAGTCAGAGCCTCTCCACATTTGAAACTCCCGCTATTTCGACCCACACGGAAGGGGAGTACGCCCCGCCCCTCACTCTCCTTGCGTTGCGGAGTTGAACGACGCAGCGTCTCGACTTCCGGTAAGATCAGGCAACAACGCACGGCGGCGATATTGTTTTGGTCTGACGCGGTTTGCGAGCACATGTAGCGAAGACGTGAGTGCAGAAGTGCCCCTGTGATGTTCCCGGAAGATGGAAAGTATCATTCGTAATCGTCGTGCGTGCTTTGAAAGCGAAGGGAGTCACAGAATCCACGAGTGCGCAACCACAAGCCAAGGTTCACGACAGCGCTGCGTTGGTTTCGGCGATCTCGTTCTGTTTGGTGCAACACAGCGATGCGACAAAGAGCTGAAACGTTCGGGGTGTGTGTAATGCGGTGCTAACACTGAGCGCAAATTGGTTGTTGTGAAGTTGACGTTCAACCACTTCAGTCCCGTCGTCGTCAGCTGATCCAGCCAAACTGGTCCGGGAGGACGCAGCAAGCGTTATTAAATGTAAATCTGCCTCGTTCTGTTTCAGAATGAGGAAGTTTCCCGACGCATACCGCGAGTAAAAAGCTGCGGGCGTTTTCAACAAAATTACGTTGTTTTAATAGAACAATGGACTCCGAATTGTTTTCCTAAATCTGCTGTTTTTATGCTTCGTGTTGGACTGCATTTGCACAGCGACGTGTTGCATCGTGAGGTGTGAATAAATTTGGGCACGATTTTGTATTTGCCTACAGATGCATGAACTGAGACCACTTTTTACGTAGTGAACATAGTGCTTTTTTATTTTGTGTCTAGTCGCGGACGTTAGGTGTACACGGGGCGAATCTCGATGGCCTCCAGAGCGATATGACGAGAATGTAACTGGACACGTTTGTCGCTACGCAAACGCCCGATTGCCTCCAGCCAATAGCATTCCTTTCGGGGCGAAATGGCTGCTGGAAGGCTCGCTGTCGGGATCACTCATCTGACATCTCCGAAAAGTCGGTATTTGCACGTGCAAGCAAACAAACAAACAAAAAAAGCACGCTAAGCCAGCAAAGAGGAAAACGAAAGAACCGCGCTATGAAAGTCAAAACCCCGCGTCGCTTCCCTAACACCTGCAACAGCTGCTAAACACACACTACTTCACTTCAAGAAGTCTCACTCAAGCACCTCGGTCAGCACTAAACACTTATCATTTCGGCGAAACGATTAGTCGAGGGAGGCGAGACAGGCGGGAGCAGAGACTTCGGCGGCTTTAAAGAATGGCGAAGCTTTTGTTTGTTATGGTATGAATCCAAACAAAAGTGCCCGTCTTGTAAACATTTTGAAAAGATTAATAACTCTCATCACATGGGTTATTCTTTAAACGCAAAAAAATGCCTTTCAAAAGAAAATTGCAACATATAACAAACGTTTAACAACCAAGATCTAAGCTGTCAATCAAACTCTTAGCCAATGAGAAGTATAGCAGCCGATTGGTATTCAACGTCACAGAATACCAACTTCGTGGCGCGCGATTCAAAACGGACAAAATACAGTATAGACCACTTACAACGTAACCGCTTATAGTGCAGGACCGCATATAACGCGGCTTTTTTGAACCACCGGTTCGCCTCCCATAGAACTCCATGTAATTACATACCGCTTAAAATGCAGGCGCGCGAAGGGGAATACCGGTTATAGTGCGGTTTCTGGAGCAGTGCTCCGACCGCGTTGACCGACCAGCGCAGCGAGCACGCTTCCCTGTGCGACACCAGATAACGGCGCTAGCCGCAAGCGGCACTTACGGAGGCAAGGATGGCAAGGAGGTTGCTCGAAGAAGCGGGGAGAAGCGAAGAGAAAGGCTTCAGTTGCCATAGCGACTGAGGGACGCACGCACGTGTCGTTCACGGCGCAAGGCGTTGGCGAGCCCAACCAGCCGTTCGCGCGCGTTGCATGCCGGTCGTGGGCCGGCTTCTTCTATCCGCAAACATGGCGTCGGTTGTGATCGTCGACGTAGACGGCGTGGTGGAAGCTCATTGCTACGCATAAAAGCGCTATCCTTGACTGTGAATTTTCGTTGTCTGTCGCTGCGATTACCCAGCACGTACTAGAAGGGAAGATCCACCTACTCGTGCGGCGATGTCGTGGCGGCACTCTCAGGACGGCAGGAACGCCCGTGTAGTCGTGTTTGTTTACTTCGACTACAGTGGTGCTAAGCATTTGTGTTTTCGAACATCCCCGGATTTCTTATTTGGAGCATTTCATGCCTGTGCTCAAGTTGAACGTATTACTGATGCGTACCGTATAACGGATGCGAATTTTCACGCGTTTTCATCACCGGAGAAAAGTGATTAGGGTTAGCAATCCTGAACGCTCGCAACGTCCGTCCGCAACCCGCGACGCCGTCAGAAGGCTGCGCTAGGCAAAAGTCGCTCATTTCTTTCAAAATGTGTGACACACTTGAGAGAGAAGTGTACTAGTCTGGTGAAATAAAGACTTTCCTCAAACTAAGCTTTATTTTTCATATAACATAAAATAAATTGTTTTACAAAGGTAAGTTGTCTCATGGCATGTATTTTGGCCTGAAAAATTTATGGTTTGTTTATAGCATGGTACCGCTTATAGTGCGGATTTTCGCAACTCCCGCGACATACGTTATATGCGGTCTACAGTGTAGCCACAAACTAAAATCGGTCTCACGCAATAAATATTGCTGTAAAATTTTTTTTTTCTCGCGGAAAAATTGTTTTTTGACATGCTTGACCCAATTAGGCTGCTTTAAAAAAAACTTTTTTTTCTTTGCAGTTACCCTTTAAGAGTGATGCCTCCCCACCCTCCGCCGTAAGCATGATAAAGCGCACAGCGGTGAGCCAGAAACACTCTCACCGCTGTGAAAGCGTTTCTCACCACAAACAAAAAAAAAAAAAAAATAATAATAATAAATAAAAAGATTGGGAGGGGGGGTCAAGATTTCCTCTCCCTCCAAGTTTGGCATTTTTGGGCAGCCATCGATGATTTCGAGAAAATGTCAAAAATACCGCATGATGAGCACGTCAAAATTATTTTTCTTTCCCAAGAAGGCTTTTCACAAGCTATGTGGCAAAGAGGAGGGAGGAAACGTGCACGAGGGCTGCACCCACAGGTTTAAGCATTGCAACCGCCGCTCCGACGGTTCGCTTACCGCCCGCTAGACTGCGTAATCCGTACCGCGAGGTCGCCACCTGCACGTTCCAGCTCGTCTCGCCAAGCGCCGTATGTACTGGCCGACACAACAGAAACACAGCGTCGCAAGCACTCTCACCCCTCTCTTGGGCATCCTCGCAGTTTCAGGGGCCTCCTTCGAGCTACAGCTGCCCCTTGCTGTGGCGTTCCTCACAGGGGCCCTCCGGGTGGCAGGCTTGGCGCCGCCCTTCTTGTCCCCTCGGTTCTCGGAGTCCTCGTCATACACATGGAAGCCATCATTCTCCTGTCGCTTCTGCCGCACCTGCTGCAGCTCCTCCAGGTTCAAACTTCTCAGGTATCGGTCCATCTTGGAGAGCTTGCGGGCCTTGGGGGCATTGGGCGCCTCCAAGGCCGCCCGGTCCCTCGATGGCTGTCGCAGAGGGGACGCCGCAGGGCTCCGGCACGTATCACGGCTTCTGGCGCAGTCGCTTGCGTTGGAGATCCACGGCGAGTTCGGCCTCGGGTTGCCCGACCGACCTGCTGTCTGGTGCAGCGTCGACAAGAGCACCTTTACCTTCTGGTGCTTGAGGCTCGCGAAGACCTTCCAGAAGGACCTGTCTCCGGACCTACGCCGGACAAACAGCTCTAGCGCTTCGTCGACCCTGTCGAGCGAGGCTGCATAGCTCTTCCTCAGTTGAAGGGCCTCTGACAGGTGAAGCAGAATGGTGCCATGCAACAGGAGCAGCTCTCCCCAGCTCCCCGCACTCTTGTCCACAGTACAGCAGAGGGAATCTGCCAGGCGACCCTTCAGGAAGGACGCCGCGACTGCAGTTTCGCGCTCCAGGTCCTTGCCGAGAGCACCCAAAAAGGCGAGGAGAGACTCGAATCCGTCGACCGCGGCGGATGCGTCACCAACAGCCAGGTAGAGCAGGCACTTGAGCAGGTCCCTCTCGAGCCACAGCTGCTTGGTCGAAAGGAACTGGCACAGCTGGCACGAGCAGTCGGGGCTGTGCTTCTCGGCCAGCTTGGGGACCGAGAGCTGTGGGCTGGTTCGGGACTCCCTCGCTAGGAACTGTCTCACGGCCATGGATAGGCTCGGCTTTGCCACCGTGTTGAGGCGGTAGCCGTCCTTGCCCTCCGAAGGATCCTCTGTGGATTCGCCGTCTTCGGGATGATCCTTGGAATGTGGATTGGGCAAGCTGAAGTTGTTCGGGTGAAGCATAAACTCCACTCCGGTTAACTTGTGCTTGACATCCTGTAGTTTCTCGCACATCAGGTCCATGTGGGCTATGAGAAGGATCAGCCGGGCACACCTGAGTCAAGGGTGGAGGCCGGCAAATTCAGTCAGACCCTGTTCCGTGCCTTTGCCACTTCAAATCAGTTCAGTGTCTAGATAGTTATATCTTAAAGGGATACTCCAGTCTAGGGTGCCTACATGTTTCCGCCGCTCCGCTGTCTAGGGTGGCGACAACGTTTGTGATACCTGTTGCCGACAAACCAGTGTTGCCTACCTCGTTACCATGGCAACCTCCGCTGTTTCGTCGACCATTTTGTCACACTCGCCAGTCGTGTGCTTGCGCTACTCCGCTAATCCTCGTTAGGGCTAGGGAGCGCCCACCGCTCTCGTTCTGACGGCGAGGTTTCGGCGTGCGATGCCGGTCTGTTGCGTTCCATTTTGTCAAGGGGACTCACGTTTCGATAAACGCAACGCATACTTTCTGCTCGCAACTTCAAAGTTGAAACACCCGAATAGAGAGAGCGACAGCCTCGATGACCGCCATCCCGCTGAGCCTCCAACTCGTCTGACTCCTCTTATCAACGGAAACGGAGGTGGCCTCACAGTGTTGCCGGTGTGTCGAGACTACAAAAACTCAACGTTGTGTACGTTTAGTGAAATAAGAAGTGGGACAAAATGGCGGTGGGAGAGGATCTGGGAAAGGGTAACAAGAAGTTGGCGCCACCCCAAAAGCGGAGCGGAAGCATGTAGGCACCCTACTCCAGTCAATTTCGGAAATTCTTGTATAAAGGGTGATCATGTCAAAACTACTAATGAACGATTCTATGTCATTTGTTTTCCGAAAAGTTAAGTAGTTTTCTTGCAAATCTCGTTTAAACGCAACTGAAACCTCTCCTGTGGCAGGAAACATCAGTCCTGCTCGTCAGCTACTGGACGTCACGTGTACGAAGATGTCAGCTACGTCATCAACGAAAGTGGCGGACGGCGCCCCACTCTAGTTTTTCTCTCTCCCTCGCGCCCCAAAAAGTAAGAAATAAACAAAAAAATTTTTCCTGTCGTTGATGTTCTGCGCAGTGCTGGCTCTGTCCACACAGCGGCGTTGACTGTGCTGCTCCATGCGTCGCCCACTAGATTGGACAGATTTTGGTGACTGTGGAGCCGCTCCGACTTCGTTGGCCGGTTTAATAAACCTTTAGGCGGAATAGTGTCGTAATACTTACCTGTAGGCTTTTCACATGATACGACATAGGACTGCATTGTTTTTCAACATCGAAATTTGACTGGAGTTGCCCTTTGAAGCCCCTTGGCTTTGCTTCTAGCTCTCTTGAACATGCTGCGTATGAAAGCAACAATCAAATAAAAGCTAACAAAAATAAGCTTGGCAAAATTGGCTTTTCTGAGCAAATGTGAAAGCACATGCAAACATTCAAGATTGCATTTAAGACTGTAAATTATCAAGCTAGCTGGAGGATGCCAATTGCCTCTATTGAGCAAGCATTTTCCCACAGCATAGGCCCCAACGGCCAATCAAAACCCACGGCCACGTTGTCACAAATGGAGCTTTCGCATATCGCATATCGCATATTCGCATATCGCATATTTCGCATATCGCTTATCTCAAAAACCTTTCAGGACCAACCCCCAGATATCTGAAAATAAATACATACCGTAGAATACCGCACATCCGCCCATTCCACATTAAGCGCCAATACCCAAATTTTTAAGATTTGAGAAAATATGCACAGTACATTTATATGTAGAATGGACGACCGGACAAGCGCCCATCCCCCATTTTTTTCCGATTGTCTCGAAATTTTGAGTGGGCGCTCGTGTGGTATTTTACGGTATATAAAAAAAAAACAGACGGGGCACAGCAAACAATGAACTGGAGGCCTAAACATTGGTTGATGAAGAAACAATATACCAAAAACAAAAACGCACAAAAAGGTCAATTGTTATGCAAAAACAATGCACAAAAAAGGGGAAAAAGAAAAAAGAAAAAGTCCAGTGTCATGAGCTTTGCAGCTCTGCTCGGAGCCTCAAGGACAACTCAAGGACGTTTTTTGTCTCATTTACCCCCTTCCCCCCCCCCCTACTAATGTTTCTCTCCCTTGCAACCATTATCTTCTACTCTTACTTTTTTTTCATGTTCTTTTTCATACCGTAAAATCCCGAGAGATGCCCCACTCTCGAAAGATGGCCCACCCCCATGTTTTGCTATATATTTTAAACACCGACAGATAGCCCACTTTTAGTAATAGTAGTGTTGGGGTCAATGATGGCCTTAACGTAAATGCGGCTAGTCAGCTATGGCGGGATGTAAGTGATCGTTGACTGGAAAGTACCGTCATCCTTGCTTCGTTGCCCCTTGCCACAATAACAAGCTTGGAAGGGAAGCATGACCTAAAAGTACAATTTTTCCAACTTTTCCTGATTGTACATCGAAAGTTAGCCCACTCCATATTTTCACCCGACTTGCTCCTGATTTTAGGGGGGCTATCTCTCAGGATTTTACAGTAAGCTCTTCCATTTTTTTGTGTGTGTTTCTGTTTTCTAGTTTTGCTGTCTTACCCTTTCAGGCAACATTTCATGGGCGCCGCCGTCTTGGCGTCACGTGACCCTGCCGCCATAGCCGCCCTTCAGTTTCTCGCCGTTGCTCCGCATTGTGTGCTGCACCGGCCACTAACCGGAGCTTTGTTTTCGCGTTTTTTTTTACGTTCCGCATTGAAATCGTGTGTTTTCTTTAGGTCTTTTCGATATTTCGGGCTTTCATTTAATCATTTGATATCTATATTTCAACATATCTCTTGTATTTTTTTATTTATGAAATGGAATCGGACAGCGAACGGATCGACGACACACGATTATGGCTGCAGAGACCATGTAAGTTCATCCCATTCTAACGTTTTTCTCGCTAATAAAGGCAGTAAACACCATTGCGACATATGCAAATTTCAACTGACGCAGTAAGGCTATCCAGTCGTGCTTCTCGCTGCATGTGCGCGCTTGTTTCCGTGAAGCCGACCCGCATGTAAGCGATTTAGCGTGCGACGAGACGAGCGACGTCGACAACGACGAGAGTCAGCGGCGAAGATTTCTCACTGTCGCCTGTTGCATCGCTCGGTTTTTTGGGTTTTTAGAAAACGTCGCTCACCGTCTTGGTCGCTTGCTCCCGTCGCTTCCATGCGGTTTGCCTCGTCGCGCGACTGCCCGAGCGACAGCGAAGGGGGTCACCGTCGCTTGTCTCGTTGCTCGCCGAATCGCTTGCACATGGTTTATACTTAATATCGAGGCGCCAATGGTTAATTGCTGTGTGCATGGAAATTAATTGAGTATAAACCGCATGTAAGCGATTTGGCGAGCGACCAGATAAGCGACGGCGACCCGCTTTGCTGTCGCTCAGTCAGTCGCGCGACGAGGAAAACCGCATGGAAGTGACGGAGCAAGCGACCAAGACGGTGAACGACGGTTTCTAAAAACCCAAAAAACGAGCGATGCAACAGGCGACAATATTTGTAAGTAAAAAAAAAAAAAATCCCCGTCGCTCGTCTCGTTGCACGCTAAATCGCTGACATGCGGGTCGGCTTTATGGAAACGAGCGCGCACATGCAGCGAGAAGCACGACTGCGATAGCCTTACTGCGTCAGTTGCAATTTACATATGTCGCAATAGTGTTGATTGCCCTTTATTAGCGACAAAAACGTAAGAATGGGATGAACTTACATGGTCATTGAAGCCTCATAAGTATCGTCGACCCATTCGCTGTCCGATTCCACTCCATAACTAAGAAAATACAAGAGCTATGTCGAAATATAAATATCAAATGATTAAATGAAAGTTCTATATAGCGGAATTTCAATGCGGAACGTAAATGAACACGGAAACGAAGCTCCGGTAGTGGCCTGCGCAGCACACAATTCGGAGCAACGGCGGGGAACTGAAGGTCGGCTATGGCGGCCCGGAAAGCGCGCGAAGGGCGCGCCGACTGGTGGCAGCTCGAGTAACTGACTCGCTGAAAGCGTCTATAAGCGATGCTTGCTGATAATTCTGTTGCAGTCAGTTTGTTCTCCACACAATGTGACACGTCTTGCGAGTCACATTGTGGCACGATTGACTTGACACATTAACTTGACACCGATTGAGAATTCGCACAATGCGGGATCAGTGGAATAAAAATTGAGGTACCTTGCTTACCTTTAAGACTCTACTTATCTCAAATTTTTTTCTAGTTTTTATAACTTCAAGTTAACGAAGGTTTACTGTAGGCTTGTACATGTGCTTAACATATTCTCAAGATATTGTAAATGGCCAAATGAAGAGGGGAAAATGGGTGGGGCACCTTGTGGCAGAGACAACCACCTGGGCCTTGTGCAGGTACTCCTTGAGGAACGAGTAGGCCTCCCTTGCTGCCCCAATGCTGATGTACAGCTGGCCCAGGAGTGCTGCAGAGTCCAGCATCGCCCGTTCCAGGATCCACACGGTGTGCAGGTCGCCTGTTAATCAAAACAGTGTCAAGCTTAACAGGGCACGGTACTTTTTTTATACCTTCGCTAAATACAGCTCAGAACAAATGCTTGACATTCATTATATACAAAAAGTTTTACCACCATGCCGTCCGTGATGTAGGCAGATAACTACAGAGAGCATCGTCTGTCCGCCGGGAAGCATGCCACCAGCCGAGCACTTGCCTCCGACTCTGCACATCGCAACTCCCAAACTAGCAGTCTGCCCCAAATGATGTTCATGTGAAACTTTACGACAGGAATTCCGATAGACTGCGACTCCACCAGCACACTGCTTCTCTCGTTTAAACTGCATGTGGCGACTGAAATTGGGTAGATCTATCTCTCCTAGTCCAGTGGTTCTCAAAGGCGGGCGTCCCCAAAGGCCTTTTAAGGTCCCCAAAACCCTTGACCATCAATGCATCAAGCCCTTGAGCAAAGTAATGGCCATTTTTTTATTACTATTGATGCTGGCCGTCTCAAAAATGTAAAATGACAAAGGAAAATAAATGCATTAAGCGAGTTGGATGAGGTATTCTCCAATTCAGAGCTTAAAAATTGGTTTTCATGCATTTAGGTTTTTCCATTTGCCTTTTTGTGATTGTAATCGCTCAATACTGCTCCTCTCCTCCGGTGGATGGGGTTTGGTGAATGGGGTTCCCCATTACTTCTGCCTACTTAGAAGGGTTTCCTTAAACATCAGTGGTTGAGAGCCACAGTCCTAGTCATTCAGCCATGTTTGCACAGTTTGAGCAGAGTGCAACATTGTTTGGGCCTGTACTCAGATTTTTAAAAGCTTTTAGAAAATGTTCGGAAAATACTACTTAGTTCACTGGGTGCGGACCCGACGAGACAAATCAATTGGTGCTTGAATTTCCCAACTTGGCCCTAACAGAAAAGTTGATGGCATCTGATGACAATATGAAATGCTCGGACTTAACTCTGCCAAGGACAGATAGGCCCAGATTGATGCTTGTATAGTATTGTTATTGTACTGCTAATTATGCTTGTAGGCAATGACGCAGCACTGCCGTTTTACGATTCTGCCGTTTTACGATTCTGTCGCATCAGTTCCACGGATATATTTCCACGTCGCGGCCCAAGATGTTTTTAGATCAAAAAGAGAAGGAGGGCGTTTCAATTCATCCAGCAAACAGGAAGCAGTCCAAACACTGGTGCCTGGAGCGTGTCTCCGGCTAATGTCTTTACTGTGTCAAAAAAAAAAAAAAAAAAAAAAAAATGGCCCCTTGATTTCAGCTTGAAGACGTCGTAGTAGTATCACAGTGATCCGATTGTTCAGAGTCATTTGGGAGCAGCAAAAAGAGCTTATGAAGCATGAGAGCACACTTCAGGAAATGACCAGTCATGTCGAACGGCAATAAAGATTTCGTAGTCCTCAATGTGAATGCCAGAAGCGTGGTAAATAAAGTCGTTGAACTTGAACATATCTTGATTGAACATAATCCGCATGCTGTCATTATCACTGAAACCTGGCTGAACTCATCAGTTTTAAATTGTGAAATCATCCCACCCGGATATATACTTTACAGAAAGGATTAGGAAAGTAAAGGGGGTGGCGTCGCCATAGTTATCAAGGATTGTTTAGACTGTACGAAATTAGAAGGCGCCCGACATAGAAAATAAATGGTGCAAGATTAAGTTTGGCCACGTTGAATACATTTTAGGCGCTGTTTATCGCCCGCCCGGAACGGGACTAGAATTTGTGAATAAACTGAATGACTTTCTAGATAAGCTCCGCGCGCACTCTCGTAAAGTTATCATTGCCGGCGATTTTAATCTTGCTGATATCGATTGGGATGGAATGGTTCCGACCTCTCGTGAAACTTTGGTTTCTTCCGCTCTCCTTGAAATGGTTTTTTTGCACAATCTGACTCAAGTTGTCAGAGAACCCACAAGAATTCAAGGTTCGTCCAGTTCACTTCTGGATTTGTTTCTTGTTTCTGACGGCTTGCTATCAACCACTTATGAGTGTAGCGTGTTGCCCGGTATCTCAGATCATTGCATGGTCCTTTTATCTCTTCCAAACTTAACAACCTCTTGTAGAAAGTTCACATATAGCGTATACGAGGATTTCAATCAGGCCAACGATGAGGCCATCCTGAAAGAACTACTTTTGGCACAAGGAACTTTCCAGGAAATGGCTGATATTCCAGCACTTTCGGTCAACGACTTGTGGATTTACTTAAAAGAAGTTATATTTAAGTGTATGACTAAGTATGTACCCACTAGGACAAAGAAGAAGGCAACGCACAATCCCTGGATCAATAAAAATATTATTCATTTAAAAAGAAACATATCACAATGTCGGGCTCAAATTCGCAGAACAGCCACTCCCAGTGCGCGTGAAAAAATCAGGTCGCTAAGTCAGAATCTCAAAACGTCAATTAAAGAAGCGAAACAGATGTTATAACCAAACGATGCCGGCGTTTTTAATCTCATCTCCCCGCAAATTTTGGCGGCACCTTTCACCAACAAAAGAGTGCGTGGAAAAACTTGATGTCGATGGACACACGATCGAAGATAACTACGAAATAGCAAATTGCTTTAATAATAATTTTTCTACTGTGTTTTCTTCTGATGACGGAACGACGCCTGTGTTTAACCAATCGGAAGACGTTCCCGCCATTCCTGATGTACAGTTGTCTCGGGAAGGAATTGTAGATCTGTTACTTCACCTAGACTGTAAAAAAGCAACCGGATACGATAAAATTCCAAATGCGTTTCTTCAATGATATGCCGAGTCTCTGTCCCATTATATTATTATCGTTTTTGAGAGATTCCTGTCTTCAGGTTCATTACCCAATGACTGGAAGATTGGTAAAGTGCCTGTTTTGAAGTCTGGGAAAGCTACCTCCATTAACAATTACAGACCAATCTCACTAACATCAACATGTGAAAAACTTTTACAGCATGTACCATAGCCATATTCACTCCTTCTTAAGTCATTACAACTTATTAAACAGCTCTCAGCACGGCTTTCGTAAAGGGGTATCTACTACAGTAGAACCTCGTTGATACGTTCTTGGTTGATACGTTTTCCTGTCCGTTGCGTTCAAAAACGCCGGTCCCGTTTTACTTCCATAGAGATACATGTATTAGTTTCCTGCCTGTTACGTTTGCTTTCCCGGTTGTTACGTCCAAAAGTGCCGGAATCGCGGCGCCTCGGCGCGCCGTGCGCCAAGGTGCCACGCAGCCGAACCACGCAGCGCGGATCGCGCGGCCGCGCGGCACGCGGGCGCCCCCCTTCCCTTTACCTTTACTACTTTCACCCTCTTTCCCGGTCTCCTCACAAGGCTTTGCTGAGCTCTGCGAAACGCTCGTTCTCTCTTGCTCTTTCTTTTCGTCTGTCCTCTCTCTCCGGCGCGAGTTGTTTACGCGCCGCGCGCACGCCGGGACGCTGCACTTCCAGTTTCTGTTCCGCTCGACAGCTCGACTGCGTGAACAGTGCCGTTTCTGAGTGCGTGCGCGTTGACGACGGCCATGACATCCCGAAAAAGAAAAGCACTCTCTTTTAAAGAGAAGTTTGACATACTTCGCACGGTGGATCGAAATCCCAGCCGGAAGAGGTCTGAGGTCGCAAGAGAGCTTGGACTCGCGCCGTCAACTTAAACAGTGTCGTCGCGAGACGAAAGGAGATCGAGGCGAAGGCTCCTTTCTACCAACCAGGCTTTAAACAGGCTCGGGGGGCAAAACACGCAAAGTTAGAGGAGGCCCTGTTGGTATGGTTCAAACAAGCCCGGGCATCTTGTGTCAACATCGACGGAGGCATTCTGCGAGAGAAGGCGCAAGAGATTGCTGATCGTTCGGATATCGAGCATAGCGGACATTGTGGCCGACCTCACTACTGCCGACAACGAAGAAAGTGATGAAGAAGACGAACAAAAAACCAACGATTACGCTGCACCCACGTTTGCGGACGCGATCGCTGCGTTGGACACCTTGCGCTGCTACGTAAACGTTCATGACTGCGCGGAGAGAGAGGGGACTGCGGCTTCTGGAGAAACGACTTTTACTGCATACCATTAATTCGAAGCGGCAGGTGGATATTACGCGTTTTTGTGAACGTGTCTGAGTCCAAAAGAGTTCGGTAAGTGCATAAAATAAACCATTGCATAAGAGCTGCTTTCTATCTTATATAGAGTGCCTTTAAGTGCGTTATCGGTTGCTGCGCTTTCCCGGTTGATACGCTTTTTTTCCGCGGTCCCCTGAAAAACGTATCAACGAGGTTCTACTGTATTACTCAGCTGGTTGAAGTCACGCATGATTTTTCTGAAGTACTGAACCGTAAAGGCCAAGTTGATGTTATTTTTTTAGATTTAAAAAAAGCATTTGATAAGGTTAACCATAGAAAATTATTACTCAAATTAAAATATATTCTGAAAAACCCAGGTCTGATCAGACGGATAGAGATGTTTTTGTACGGAAGAAGACAATTTGTAGAAATTAAAGATAAACATTCCGATTTGATCGATGTAAAATCAGGTGTACCTCAAGGAACAGTGCTCGGTCCTTTGTTTTTTTTAATATTTATTAATGATATTCTCTTCAATTTAACTGTTAAGGCTAGGCTCTTTGCCGACGACTGTATCTTGTATACAGTGGTTAAGGAGCCCATAGATCAACTTAACGTTAAGACGTGTTTAGCACGCGTTGGTCAGTGGAGCAATACTTGGCAAATGTCACTAAACTTAGATAAAACCTATTATGACTATGACTATTACACATAAAACAATGCCCATTGAATTCACGTACGCCATCGAAGGGTATCCACTAGAGAGGGTAAGCAGTTACAAATATCTGGGTGCCATTATTTCTCACGATCTCCGTTGGAGTGCTCATATTAATAGTATTGTATAAAAAGCGAATTATAAACTGTGGTATTTAAGGCGGTCTTTGAAACTAAGTTCAATGAACACAAAACTTTTAGCTTATAAATCACTCATTCGTCCGTTGATGGAATATGCATGCGAAATTTGGGATCCTCATATTGTTAAAGATGTGCTAAAGCTAGAAAAGGTGCAACGACTTGCTTTACGTTTTATTTTTTCCAAATACAGTAAAACCTCGTTATAACAAAGTTGAAGGAGCGGTCGTAATTATTTTGTTATAACCATTAGTTTGTTATAGCCAATGTCCATTTCTTCCCACTATTAGCAAGCAAGGGGAATTGTGATTGCTTTGTTATATCCATTAGTTTGTTATATCCCGTTTTGTTATAACGAGGTTTTACTGTATCGTCGACTGGATTCACTTACGGCACTGTATTCAAAAGCCAACATTCCATTACTTAAGATGAGGCGTAAAGAAAAAAGATTAAAATTTTTATATATGATTAATAATGGCTTATTGCAGATAGATAAAACAGCCTACCTAGTTCCTGATGAGTCGAGAAGTACTCGGAACAAACACAGTAAGGGACTTCATCAGCCCCGGTTCTTCAAGGACTGTTTCAGATACTCATTCTTTCCACAAACCATCAGTGACTGGAATCTTCTTTCGGAGGAAGCTGTGGTATGCCAATCACTTGAAGCTTTTTCTTCTTATATAGCATCTTGCAAAATGTGAAATAAAATGTTTTTTTTGTATGGTTTTTCCACCAACGCATTATAGCGCATGATGGATCTAATTTTTTTATCTTTCATTGTCAAAGCATTTTTTGTGATCATTGGTGATATCTCTTTTATAGTACCTTTTCAAGTGTGTGCTGCTCTTGTACACTTGTACACTTGTATACCCACCCTATCATAGTCTCAATAGAGGCTGATAGTATTTTGAAATAAATAAATAAATATTCATACCACTGTACACATATTACATTAAATGCATGTGTTGGCCTGTCCAACTAGAAGGCAATGTCTACTTTGGCTTCTCATTTATGTGCATCCCTTTGTTAGCATCGACTGCACAGCAGGAGCGATTCCTTCAAACACAAAACTAGCTGTTTATTGTGTGTAGAAGCACCAGACACGGTAGCAAGAGGATACTGATAAAGGACAGCACAAACTGCGCTAAATGGTTATTTTAGGTACGAAATCCCACAAAAATAATGTTAGAATACAATAATTTTGAGCCTAAATTTATATTTTCTCTAAGTTCTAGAGGTAGTAATAAAAGTGCAGTTTTTTACTCAAATGAAGAAACAGAGCTCTTGTAATTTCATTATAAAACATCAATTAAATTTTTTCATGTACACTTCGGAGCAAAAATTGACTTGTGAATGATTAATACGCCTTTCTAAAAACAATCCCGCCGAACTCGTCAAGGTTCTTTCCAAGCTTCCATCTTCTACTCCTGCTAATTTAGTTTTAATTTAGTCACTAATATACAAAAGTGATAACTAAACAAAAGAATTGACATAGAACATAAACATACAAAAGAATCCATATAAATCTTCTTGCAATACCGAAGTATCCTCGCTAAATTCCAAATTAGAAAAAGATACCACAAGAACATCGCAGTCTATCATTAACACAAGCCAAAATATTATTCTTAAATTGTGTTGAGTCTCACTCCGGAGGAGTATTTTCTCCTTAGCATGCAAGTGCGCTGCAGCGAAGCAAGGCACAGAAAATTACGATGCCTACTCTGTGGCTGTCGCTTCACTGCAGTACACCAGTGTGCGGTGAAACAACTCAACGAAACTAACTAACCCACCGGAACATCAACATGCACATGAGATTAGGCTACTTCCAAAAATCTACATGCAACAATGTGTCCATAGCATTATGGGACCTCTTTGGACAAGGAGTGAAGTGGCATTGTATCAATTTCAATTGCCCTGTTGACGAAATAATGCATCTCAATACTGCATGAAAATAAGGTCCGCACTCGCTTCCAATGTACCCATTCATCTTCGTGAGGTCCCCTGTTGAAACACTGACCTCCACCAGACGTAGGGATTTGCCTAGGCTTAGCCAGCGATAAGTGCAAAACCATCCACGTCCCATACCCTGCTGGCAGTCTGGCTACCACTCCAGAGTGCAGCATGACCTTCCCAGCTCATGAATAGCCCATTGAGGAGAAGTTAAGATGACCGGCCCAGAATACTTCTTTGTGCCTTTGAAGTCCTGTTTACTTGTGCACAAACTCTAGCACATTAAAAACACCCCACCCCACTCAAGAAAAAGAAATGTACACTAGCATTTTATCTGTATTGGTAAGCAATACCAACAGTATTAAAAATTCAAGGCGAGCCACATATACGAAAATGCATACACTGTATTTGGTCGCGACGGGAAGTTGGCAAGTCGAAACCGAAAATCTAGCCAAGGGGTACACCCAAGATGCTTGGCACGGCACTACGTCCTTACGAAAAGCTCCAATTTTGCAAGAGGTCTATTATCGCGAACTTCCAAGTATGTATAGTTGAACTCAGATATATAGAATTCAAAGGTGGTCGTAAAATAGTTGGATATATCGATAATTTGATATACAAAAATATGTTAACTTAAGCTCCCAGCTGAAATTTCCGCGCGTCTCTGATAATACCGAAGGCTGCACCAAACGGGACCTTATCAAATAGAGCAACTAAGAGCCGCTAAACACAGTAGAGCTTAGTTGGTGAAAATCCCAAACAACCGCCGCATTTATGCAACAATGTTTGCGATCATTTACGCAATCGCGACCTCCGCACAGCATCGGCAACAAAAACACTTTCAGCCTTTCCACTTCTGTGAAGAAGGAAGAACAGTGGAGCTGTAGCTTCTGTTCTCGGCGGTGGCTTTCCAGGCGAGCGATCTGCTCTTCTTTCGCAAGGAAATCCGAAGCGCTCGACGCAATGTAACTTTACGCGATAGCGGCCTCACGGCGGTTACTAAACCATTCGCGCTGCTGCGCACCTCGCCGCTCATTCCGTTCCCGCCCTTCTTCCCCCGAAGAAATGTTGCAGCGATCATCATATGAGCGACGGCAGCAAGCGGACAACTGGCAAACAACATTCTGGACAGCTACCGCCATCTATGAGTGAAGACTGCAACCAGAGTTTTGCGTCGACATTTCTTTGCGGGGGACACAGTCCTGGGGAAACTAGCCCTTAACAGCTCTGCTGTAAAACGCTTGATCCATAGAATAAAGATAAGCAAGCAACAAAAAAGAAACCTCACTAAATTCAGGCAACAAAAAAAGAAAGGCAAAAAAAAAAAAAAAACACACAAACCAAAACTGCGAAAGAGAAAGGTAAACAAAGATAAGGTGTTCAAAGTGTGATTGCTCACCCTCAGCTTGACGAGGACTTTTTTGTTTTGCTAATTTTATTTTGGGGCTAAGGACCATTCTCTGCCCTCCCTACGCACGTGCCCTTCCCTTTGCTTTTGCCATCCTCCACTTTTTTTTTTTTTACGGTTGCTCTTTTTCTTTTTTTTTACAACTGCTTTTTTCTTGAGCATCCCCATGCGCGTATGCTGGCTTGGCTCTGCCAGCCCGGCAATGTGAGCTATGTGCTCCGCCCGTGCAATCTGACTGCAGGAGAAGCGAAAGGCCGCCGTGCTTCGTTCGCTATATCGAGTGTCCCTGCCATAAGAGTCTATGGGAGTTCGATACAAAAAGACAACGCTCCTATACTATTACATGTGACCTCCATGGGGTTGTTCGGACTGTTTGATATAAGCAATAGTTTGAAATACCCGGGTGTGATATAACCGGGCTCGACTGTAGTGTTAGTGTTCGAAGCAAAATCAGATCGAAAAGCATATTATATGAGGAGATAATCGAAAGTTCTGAAAACTCGCACAATTCTATCATAATGATCCGGCCAGGTTGCAATTATAGCTTTGAGCTAACATATTTTCAGATTATTAAAGTGAAATTAAGTTTTGGTGCAATGTTGGCACAAATTCCTCACATTTTGGTCAAATGTAGCAAGAGGCAGCAGGTCAAGTCTTTTGACGCAGTTTGGCACGAATGGTGCAGTAATCTCATCACTGGTTTCATGCTGTCGCTGGCCGCAATCCTGGCGATTGCGGCCGCAATCGCCAGCTGGCCGCAATCACAACAGCGATTGTGGATGTGGCAGACGCCTGTTCTGCTGCAGGTCGCTCTCAAGGTGGACAGTCCCAGAAAGCTTTGACAGCCAGGAGTTGGGACATCATGACAACAGCGGCACTTGCATTTGCTTGTGCTTTTTGCCGGAACTTATGACCAACTGCCAGGATAGCGACATCCGACAACCGACACCCCGGCTTCTGCGATGTCACTCGTTGCCACTTCGGAAACCCTTTCGATGCATGGGCGAAATGGGATGCCAAACACAGCTGTCGGAGATGTGATCCAGGCCACATGGTCTAAACTCACAAGATTCAGCGATGGCCTCCTCGCCGATGTGTCGCATGACTGCCAGGGCCATCCTGAGTGCCTCCTGGGCCAGGCTGATGGGCGTATCGCTCAGCTCTTCCCTGAAGGCAGCGCTGATGGCTGCAGGCAGCAGGCTGTAGCGGCAGGCCAGCTGCTTCACCTCGGACATGAACAGCATGCACGACTTGGTGTTCTTCTGCATCAGGGGGTGCCGCAGCACCTCACCCAGCAGCCGGAAGCCCTCGGAGAACTGCCCGAGCGACAGGAGTTTGTTAGTACTGGCTAACCGCATAGCTCATAGCACTTACAAAACTGCAAGAAAAAAGCAAACTTAAAGGGCAACTCCGCTTCATATTTGTTCTCAAGAAAAGCAATGCAGTCCTCATCAGTATCACCTATAAAGACAACATGTCAAATATTACGACCTAGTTCTGTCTATATGTTTCTTAAACGGTCCGGTAAACTTTGCAACGTGCCAAGTTGCCGAAATCGGCTGTCATTACCATTGTTTCATTTTGTTTGTTTTGACTTCTCCGGACAAGCGTAGTGGGCGACATCAACAACATTTCCTCTCGTCGCTCAGCCGTATACACACGATTGGCATAATGCGCCTGTGCAACGCAATCTTTGAAAGCCGTCCGGCCATCCCGCTGTTACCGACGTCTCCCGCGTGACCTGCCGTCGTCGTCTCACTATTTGTGATTTTTGTCTCTCGGATTTTCATTCACAAGACATGCACAGACTGATGCCGCAGTTATGTAGGCATCGTCGTAAAATTGTTTTATGACATCCTTTTTCCATCTAAGCAGTTTAAAAAAAATGTTTTTTTCCTTTGCATGTGTCCTTTAAGGGAGTGGTTTGAAGGGGCAATAACACCCCAGTTTTTTTTTTTTTTTGGTTGCCTAAAACGATGCAAGTTGTAGTCATAGACACGCAAGAAAATACCACAATGCAAAAAAACGTTCCCACGCGCGCGCACCTTTTAATTTTTGGCATCTTTCTCTCCCATTTTTCACCACCTCGCTTCTTTTCACTTGTGACGTCAGAAATTATAAAATTTAGATGCTTTTTAAGCAACATTTTTTTATAATATTTAATAACGGCATTCATAAAACATATTTTTTAATACGATTGCAAAAGAAAAAACGGCTCTTTTCAAAATACCGAAAATCAATATTTTGAAATGAAATAAAAAAAAAAAGCAATAAACAAAACTTGGACTATTTTCAATCTATCCGAGTCAAAAGCAGTCCAACTGTACGCAAGGTAGCAGTAGCACAAAACTACCAAACCGCAACCTGTCTTTCGATGTAAAATACATTCCATTTCTGTTTCTGAGGAAGTGCTCGTGGGACCAGGAGGGAGGTGGAGGAGAGTGAATGTATGTGTATGTGTGCGTGTGGGGGGGAGGGTAGGGGAGGGAGCCATGAGCCGCACTTCAGCACGCGAAGAGCCGCATGCGGCTCGTGAGCCACAGCTTGGCCAACCCTGGCATAGACTCTGACAGCTACAGGGCGATGCTGCGTGCTGCGTTGATACTTCCACACCGATGTCAGGCGTGACGCTGGTTTTGGGACTTCAGTGGAGTAGAGAGAGGGACGAGCTGAAGTACTCTTTAGAAAGCCCTTGGAGCTTCTGACAATCAACTGACACAAAAAGCTTTGTACTGCAAGCATCAGCAAGAATTTTCGACTCCCTTGGCCTCCTCAGCCCAGTGACGGTAACAGCCAAGAGGTTATTTCAAGAACTTTGGGCACTTGGGCTGGACTGGGACACTTTGCTACCTCCAAGCGTAAGTCTGAGGTGGAGTAACTGGATAAAGGCTTGCATCATCTCGAGGACATTTCGATCCCTCGTTGCTATGCTGCATACAGCGGTCAAACTGAGCTGCACGTCTTCACGGACGCTAGCCCCCAGGCCTATGGGACAGTCGTGTACGTATTTGCGTAGTGACAGTGATAACCAGACGACAGTGAACCTCGTTATGGCCAAGAGGCGCGTTGCACCAGTAAAGACCTTGACTCTACCGAGACTGGGACTGATGGGAGCGTTACTGGGCGCTCGACTATGTGCCTACTTTAAGGGAGTTAAGTCAGATCTCTTAGGAGTGACGCTGTAGACAGACTATGGTTGCTCTACACTGGGAAAAGGGCCTGGCTACTCAGTGGAAACCATTCGTGGCAAACCGTGTTAGAAAGATCCAAGCGGCGGTGTCAATTTAGGACATCAGGCCTCATCACGAATAACGCCTCGCAGGAATAACAGACGAGCTGGATGCCCTGACAAGGGACCAAGGAGCATGTGCTAAAAAGAGAAGAAGAAAGGCTACCGGCACGAGCAGAGCCTAGTTGGAATCGTTGGTCGGTACAACGTCAACCTTCAAGAGCCTTCCCCATGTCTGAACTGTAAATACGTTGTATAAATCTCTTTTCTAAACCGGAGTAATCTAAATTATCAAACAGAATGCAGAGCACGCCTTCTCCTCGCCGCTCTGACTTTGGATGTTTGGTGTTACTGGCCCGCTGACGGACATGCAGCGCCATGGGGTGGCAGACGTTGAAACTGAAGCACAGTGGCCAATAGGAGCCTTCTCGACGCGTGCCAGCCAATGGGACTGAAGCCGAAATCCATCAGCTTTACTCCGCTTTTTTGGGATCAGGGAAACTAGGTGCCGTTTGGCTAGGCTTTTCGCATGGTTTCATAGCTGGGAGCTGACTTAACTTGGCAAAAGGATTTAAGGTGACGTTTGGTGCAGTTTCAAAGCTGATGACGTTGGCTCGCTCCATGGGACCCAGTTAACGCTTTCGCATTAAAAACCAGACATGCACCCCAGTACCTGTGCCTTGGCGTAGAGCACTTTCGAGCGAGAAAGCATGAAGCGCAGCTTGGAAAGGCTGTCCTCCAGGGTTTCCAGGGTGCTGAGGTTCTGCTGAACCACCTCCGAAGCAGCCTTTACCATGCCCACCTTGAGCAGGCTGTTGCTGAGGCTGGCAGCTGCCAGCACAATCTCATGACCCAGTTTCAGGTCCCTGACCACGTTGTACCAAAGCGTGAGAGCCTTGATCTCTTCCGAAACCTAGACAAGGCAGAAAGGCAGTTACCACTATGCGAAGTTACTGCACACATGTAGTCGTGTTGCGAGGTGCTGCATCTATGCACGACTGTGACTGAAAAGTGAGAGTTTGAGACATCAACAGGAAACACAGTTTTAGATGCGGAGCATCTCTTGCTCGGGCTATGTCCCGCGGCGTCGTAGTCCGCACTCACACTACGCATGCGCAACTCTCCTAGCTGCGCGTGCGTTCTCTCTCTCTCCAACAGCTGCTCGAAGTGCACGCAGCTACCACCTGCGTCCCTCTCTCCAACAGCTGCGCGTGCGTTCTCTCTCTCTTCAACAGCTGCGCGAAGAACACGCAACTACTAGCTGCGTGCGCGCGCAGGCGCAACTCTCCTCCTCTAGTTTCTTCTCCTTCAAGTTTGAATGTAAGCAGCGGTAGCGCGCTGCGCGCGTTCAAGGGGAGGAAGTGGCCGAGTGGGCTAACGTGTCTCAGCTCGGAGCGTGGAGCGAAAGCTTGCGCTGGGAACCTCCTGAGTTCGAGTCCCCGCCACCCCCGCCCGTTTCGATCTGGATGAGTTTTGTACCGGCACGCGTTCGTGTGATGACTACTGCGTGATGCACGTTAAGAAACCCAGGTTAGCAGTTGTACTGCACTGGCTAAATTTCTCATCTACAGCTAAGAGACCGATTACCCGTTGAGGCGCATCTCCATCAAGGCTGTATAAACATAAAGAGCAAACCTATTTTTTCGCGCGTTCAGTTCACCGCTGTTGACTCCACTTCACTTCGTTCTTCCGATGAAGTGTGATGGAACGATGCTCCGCATCACCCCATGGTTCTTCTCGGGAAGATGGTGTAATTTTTTTTGTTTGGTAGACCTAGCAGTATGATAAACTAAAAAGTTTCCCAGTAAAAAAAGCTAACAGTTTTATTTGATCCACTTTTAGCACTAGAGACATACCGTAATGTTCCGAGTCATCACCATCCCCGAATCATTGCCCACCCCACTTTTTGGGCAAATATTACCCAAAAAGTGGTTAAAGGCCTTCTGTGACAAAGTAAAACGAAGGAAGAAAAGACACTTCTCTTTGTTTACACATTTTCTCCCAGATTTCCGCGACCCAGAAGTTGGAGTACATGCATGCAAAAGGAAAACGATGGAGATAACAGAATAAAACGTTTTGCTTACAAAAAAGATTGTTCACACAAAAAAAAGAAGTTGTAAGGATAACACGAGCAGTCACCCATTCAAGGATTGCGGGGTCAGCGAATGCCAGAAATCCTGGAACGTAACCACAAAGTCTAAGTTCAAAGTCCGTCTCCACCGAAGTAAGGACACAACAAACCCGCTTCTTTTCCCCGGAACGTCACAACCATGGTTGCTAAGGTTGTGCATTGTTTAAGACAAAGCCATCAAGTAAATAAAGATGTGCTGGGATGCCACACACAAATGTTTGTAAAGTGTCCCATTTCGAGCTCCGTGTTGCTGCGTGCCGTCCACGACATGCAGCAACACCGCCTCAACCCGTGTTGACAGCACGCCATGCACAGACACACGCATGATGCATGCATGCACCGAACAAGAAATTTGCACAAGGGCCTGCTCCTTGTGATTGGAAAGCGCCCAACTTGACCCGACGGCAAAGTATTAGTCAATGCAATCGCTAGCTTTCCCGCTTCCCCAGCATCACTCTTCGTCGCTCGTTTGCTCATTGTGCCTGGTTGGTTTTCTTATTTTCTTGACGACTTTTTTTTTTACTAACGTGCTTTCACGGAACAAACATTCGTGCTGTATGCTGATCGGCGGTGTTCATCGCACGTGTGCAAGAAATGGAGTTTGCAATAGTAAAACATTCTTTCGTGAGCATTTCTTGCATAAAACAATTAAACTAATTCCAGTTTTGAGTTTAATGTATCTCTCGTGCAGCTGCACTAGATATGTTAAGAAAAAATAGGCGTTTTTATAGCTTTTTGCTAACCTTTTATGCTTACCCACTGAGAGATGGCCCACCCCATTTTTTTATGAATTTCAGGTGGCAGGGGAGGTGGGTGATGATACGGGATATTACGGTAGTGGTAATGTTTGATTGATTTATACCAGCAGACTCGTTGGCAATCGCGACAGTAAAGAAAAACAATAGACCATTCTCACTAACTGTTCAACGTATGTGTGACGCTTCTGTAACTGTAGTCCACAGAAGGCAGGCGCCAGTGCACAATACAGCTCTCGCCGTCTCGTTCTTTGCTCACGGAAGCCCTCAGCGGTGCTGTCGCACGTACAGAAAGACTACAGTTCCCACGATGCATGCCGATAGCGGCGGCATACTGAAACTGGCTAGTGAGATCCGTCTATTCTGGGATTGTCTGCCATTCATACTCCCAAAGTCACAAAGCCAATGTCACTTAGGCATTGCAAGTTGCCAAATGCCATAGAGGCCTACATGCAAGGGCTGGCTACCCCTCAGCCCGAAGTTAATCTCTTCAAAATTTATATTTTTGCAGGCATGACAGCTCTCAAAATCTATTAGGCCAGCCGTTCTGGAAACAAACAACCGTGTTCTTGCCGATACAAGTGCATTTGCTGAACAAATGCAAACTAGCCAACTATATCAGCTTTATCTAACAAACACCATGCACTCACAGTGCTGCAAAAGACTGAAAACTAGCTTTGTAACCAAAAGGGAGGAAGACTGCACTACAGTCGAGCCTGGTTATATCACACCCGGGTATTTCGAATTATTGATTATATCGAACAGTCCAAACATCCCCTTGAAAATCACATGTAATAGTATAGGAGCGTTGTCTTTTTGTGTCGAACTCCCGGGGACACTCAATATAGCGAACTAAGCACAGCGGCCCTTCGCTTCTCCCTGGGTCAGATTGCGCCCGCGGAGAACAAGTTTGCGTTGCCGGGCTGGCAGACCGCCAAGCCAGCATACGCGCACGGGGATTACAAGGATACTCAACAAAAAAAAACAGTTGGGAAAAAAAAATAAAAAAGACCAACGGAAAAAAAAAAAAAGTGGAGGATGGCGAAAGCAAAGGGAAGGGCACGCGCGAGCGTAGGCAGGGCAGGGGGTGCTTTTTAGCCCCAAAATAAAACACTACGCAAAAAAAAAAAGAAGAAAAAGAAGTCTTCCTCAAGTCAAGTGTGTCGACAATGGTTGAGCAATCGCACTTTGAACGCCTTATCTTCGTTTACCTTTTTCTTTCGCGGCTTTTGCTTTGCACTTTTTTTTTTGGGGGGTTGCATTTAGTGGTTTCTTTTTTATGTTAACTTTATTCAATGGATCGAGTGTTTTTTGTTTGTTTTTATACAACTTGCTTTTTCCGCTCTTTCCTTTTTTTTTTTAAATTCGTGTTTTGTTGCTGGTGGTGTGCGGAGGTCGCACGCGCGTATACGGTCGCAAACATTGTGGCGTAAACACGGCGATGTTTGTGATCTTTACCAGCTAAGCTCTACGGTATTTAGCAACTCTTAGTGGCTCTATTTGGTAAAATCTCGTTTGTCGCGGCCTTCGATATTAGCAGAGAAGCGCGGAAATTTCAACTGGAGCTTAAGTTAACATATTGTTGCATATCAAATTATCGATATATCAAACTATTTTACGATCCCCTTCGAATTCGATATATCCGGGTTCGACTGTAGTGGGACTTTGCAAGGTACCATTGACATAGCTACATGAAATAAAGGTACCTCAAAGAAAGGCATTTGCAACAGTGCTTTATGCACCTCAAAAATGAACCTAAATGAAGTTTACTTTTCTTCTAACTTATTAACCCAAAGATACAATAACATTACTAGTAAAATAGAGTGTCATCCCTATTGATGTTTCATAATGAAGAGCTCTTTCTCAAGCTCTTGTCTACTCAGAATGAAATTTAAAATTTTCAAGTCTCTTCCCAAGAATTTTGACCAAGGTCAAGTTCACTATAGGGTCGCATGAGTGGCATGTTTCTTTCCAAACGATTAATTTCTAAAGATGAAGTGGGTATAAAAAAAGCTTTAAGACCATAAAATGGCTTTTGAAATTTGGCTACTATTGCACTAAATAAAACTTGGATGTGCACTAAATACAAAATGCAAGGAAAGAGCTAAGCAGCCTTTGCCCTGCCACACTTCAAAATCGGCAGCAGAAATATTGACCCCCAGCCCGAGCTTCCAAAAGCATTGGCAAAGGGCTCCGGTTTCGAAAATTACCCACTCCCCCCCTGGAAATTGGATAAATGCAAAGTCCCCCCTCCCTCATTAAGAAACTGACATTTTAGTGTGGCTGCAATAAACTGCATCAAATAATGTTTGAAAAGTGCACATCAAGGTCAGTTCTAGGTGACTCCAAGGTCATTTCTAGAACAGATTGAGACCACTTCCAAGACCCCTTCACGGTGTCACAGACTCACCCTGAAGGAGGAGGCATACACCTCGGCAACCACCTTGACCTGTTCGAGGAACCATCCCTCGGCCAGGTCCCTGAGCAGCGCACTCCAGCCAGAGGTGCAGCCGTTCAGGGCAGAGCTCCAGAGGGCCACCGCCTGGTCCAGGACCCCCTGAGAGGCCAGCTCGTGGCCCACATTGATATGCCGGTAGTTGAGGGTCACGTCACAAGAGTAGTCCTTGTCCTCCGCTAGAACCTGGCTAAGGATCGGGTCCGTGCACTTCACCTCCAAAGGGTCCACCGCAGCCTCCGTCACTTCTTTCTGCAGCCGGTCGCAGACGACAAATTGCGACTGTAGTCCGTTGTTGTTTGTTGGTGTTTTATGGTGCAAGGGCAACACGAGGGCCAAATAGCGCAAAGATCCTATTTAGCTGATTTAATATGTAGTATGTTAGTGCCTATGTACAAAAACTAATGTGCTATGTTTAACTAATACACAAATGGGTAATAAGGCCTATAGAGCGTAAAGGGCCCCGAAAATTCATGTATATTAGAGAAGTGACTTGAGGCCACTTTTTTGAAGGAACGTGAATAAGTCTTTGAGCGGAATCTGAGGTTCAGGACCTAACACCAAACACGGATGAAATGGAATGTTTAATCTTCTTAGTGGTGCTAAAAGTGGTTTAAGGAAAGGTTCCAGCTTCCTGCAAACAAAGAGATGCATTACTGTAAGGTCTGAGTCACAGACTGTAGTCCGCATCCAGAACTGAAGGAAGCCCTGTTCGGCTGACCCCCATCAGCCCGTGTTTCTTTCCGAAAGTGTAGTGTCAGGGCAGTACAGCCTCCGTATTCAGCGGCTACGAGTTGCCTAGAGGGTGCGAGTTGCACTCTATTTCCGGTGGAGGCCAATTTATTCTTATGGAAATCATCTCCATCTTGGAGACTTCCCCTCACAATCATACCAAATCGTAAATGACTAATCTCACCCTTCCGGTGGTTGCGATCAAGACTGGTGGCAACTGCTAACATCCGTTTGCTCTACTGATTGCCAGCTCCTGATTAGCTCAGTGCTCAGTTGTCGGAGCGCTTTGCTAGTCTTGGAGAGGTGTCAAATTTGAATCCTAGACCAGGCGGATTTTTTCCGGTAGCTACCAGTTGCCTAGAGGGCACAAGTCGTGCTGTTTTAGGTGGAAGCCAGTTTATCTTTATGTAAATCTTCTCCACCTTGGGGACTTGTTCTAAAAATCATTACATCAATACACCGTCTCTCAAGCCAAGCTTCTGGAAGAAGGTGAATGACACACCAATACCTTAAAACTATGGTTAACTGACCCAGATGAAAGCTTTAGGCTGTCTTGCAGCACCCCTGCCTGTTTACAAAGAGAAGTTTCGAGTATCCGCTGAGGACATTCAACAGATTCTCAATTTGGCTCGTGCAACAATATTAAATTGGATTTTGAGTGCTGGCACCTCCCAGCAAAAGTTAAGGCATTAATTGATGGCACTTGGGGCCTTTGATGTGCAACTGAAAATAAGTTACATGGCCACCTCCAGCACAGTAAGCAGACAAAGCGGAACACCCCCGGAGATAGCCAAAGTATATTATACCAACTAATGCATAACCTCATTGAGGAAGTAGGCGTAGGACACCTCATTTTGTGCAAATTGTTCTTTGTGTTGCTTCTGAAAATGCTAAATGTAACGTGCCAAACTTACGGCAGCAAGGTTGCGCAGTGTGTCAATGTCCTTCATGTACAGCCAGAAATAATTGGCTGCGAGCAACAGCTGGGCCACAGGAGCATCCTCTCCGGCTGTCTTCAGGAGTTCCTTGGCACTGCCGATTCCCTTTTGACAGCTCTCATCAAAAGAACTAGAGAAAATGGTACCAAAACAGATAGATATTACTGCAAACCTTTGTCCATCACATCCATGAAAATGATGCTGTATCAGGCCAATCTAATAGGGCACAAGCATGAAAACCAGATAAACTATGAATACCAACAAATAAAGACGTCCTCCTGACCTCTATACGCCATCCTTTTTGCCCTTCAGACGCATGAGGTCGGGAATCCAGATCCCGGCACGCCTATGGTGTTCACAAACTCTTAGGACACAATGTGTGCACTTAAAGGAAGATGGGGCACTTCTATATTTCATATGGCCTTTAGATTAACAGATATCAAAATTGTATTTCAATGCGACGCGCCGGAGAGCCATACGAGCAATTTCAAAATAGGACTGAAGCCCCGCCTCCCTAGCCTTGGGCAGCCAAAAGAGCAGTCGATGACGTCACGGACAGCGACTGTCTTTCGCGTTTTTCTCGCGTTTAACAATACTTGCATAGCAAATGGTTTGGGTATTCGGGTTCACGGGGTAAGAATACACTAGAATTCACTTCTAACTCATTTTTTCCAAGAAGCTCCGTAGCTTCACTTTAAGATTCATCTAATCACATAGAGTCTGACAATCGACTCTGTTTTTGACACTGCACTTCGCCTGTAACGTCATAGAAACACCCGAGTCAGTATACGTTGGGTGCCACAACATGTGGGCATTGCCGGCAACGAGAAAGCCCATGAGGCTGCATTGGAGGAGCTGTGTAGAGATTTCCCCTCCTCCCAGCGGACCTTACTGGTGCCTCACTCGTTGCCCAACGATGACCAGTTTCCCGAAGATGTACGACCCAGTAGATGCTGTTTGCCTCGTCCGTCAGGACTGGAAATGCCGACTCGACAACTCTTGGGCCCCAGAACAGTTCCCAATACATGATTACACTCTGTGAACACCAGATGGTCTTGCTTTGACGCATTCGGACAGGTGGAGTGGTCACGCCTCATCACGTCTATTGGTTTCAGCTGACCCAGCAACAAAAAAACTTGACCCTTATTATGTCTCACCTGACCCGTGCTTCCAGCAATGCAAAGACCCAGATGCCCTCTCAAAACTTCACTATCTCATTTGGGAGTGTGCAGCTCAGGTTGCCCAGCGTCCGGCAGCCTGGGCTACTCTTCCTCCAGAAGACCTACCAACAACCATGCAAGGCTGGGCGCATCCTGCTGGCAACTCCGAGCGCCAGACGAGGGTCCTGACTTTCCTCCTCGACTTTGTGTTGCAGAGCAAACTTGGGTTCTCGTTGTACTAATATACATCATCATTTCATGCCAGCCAAAGACTTAGACGCCAAGCTTGGAAGCGTGGCGCTGCGCCGGGCCCTTGGGCCGGGGCCGTACTGCTCGTGCATTGCGCGAAGGATGGCCTGCGGACGTGAATCACCAGGGTGTTTGCGGTTTCGTGTGGCATGTGCCAAGTTCCTCCTTGGACATGTTGCCCTGCGGCATTTGGGGTACAGATCTCGCAGTGGTTAGCACTCAAATCTGCCTGCGGACTGTCTTTTGTGTGGTGTCTGACCGGAGTAGCCCCCGCTTTGGGGACTGATGTTTTTCCTAGATTTAAATAAGCATTTTCCTCAGCTCACTTTACAGCTCGAAAAGATGCAGTGCATGCTACAGTCACAATTGTATTTTTGTTATCTAAAGCGCAACACCAGTAGAAATTTTCAAGGTGAGAGGAACACGAAGCTCACTTGTTCAGGGAAAGCTCGAGATGTGAAAATCGCGACAGGAAGTAAGTGGTCTCCGTCTGGACATAGCAGCTCTTGAGGGGGTCGTCCATTCTAGATGTCAATTGCTGCAGCTCAAGAAGAACCGCTAGGCAGCACTCTGCAGGGAGCCTGTAAAATGCAACACATTTTTCTCCCCATTGCACATTCAGGATAAGGGTAAGAGTGATGCAGTAGTACTCCCAAATTCTCAATTAATTGAAGTCTGCTTATGCTGGAAGAGCTAACTTAATTTTGTTGTTTTTCAGTTCTCCCATTGGAAGAGACAGCAGTTTTAGGCCACACAAAATTATTCAACTCTTGATAATGCCATGTTTGTAAGAGAAAGTGAGTAGGTTCAATAAATGTTGTCAGGGTTAAGAGAAAGTAAGTAGGTTCAATAAATGTTGTCAGGGTTAACAGAGGCCTATCCTCCATTTCCTTCCTCCGTGAGCACCATATGTGAGCAACACTTGTCACCTTGATGTCGAGTGCGCTCGGCCTCTTCACTCCTTACAGAGTGGAACAAGTCACACAAGAAAGATGGGGAGACATACTTCATTTCTCCCTACAATGAACCACAGCAGATGCTACAAGCCATCCCAGCCAATCAAGAGCTGTTAATGTATTATGGGCCTATGCACCTCATGCGGAGCTGCCAACGGTTACTGCACGCCTCCAAAAGGTCATGTGACACTCGTGTGGCGTTTTATTGGCTCCAATGGCGTAGTGCTAGCTGCAGTCCTGCGCAAGGTGAAACGGTGTTTAGTGCTAGACAATTTCCCTTAGCTCTCCCCTAGGAAATTTGTCTCTACTATAGTGATTGCAACACGAAAAAGGGAGGCAAGCATAGTATTGCACCGCCCTAGAAAGTTACCCTTGACCCACCATAGAAATTTGTTACTGTGGCTACTGGAACAGAAAAAAAAGGGAGGCAGGCATCATTTCTGGTGTCCCAGGCACTTTATGCCATTATACGGAGCCATATCGGTCACTCACGTCACCCACAAAATATTACGTGGAAGCACATTAGTATCACCTCTAGAATTGAGAGGAATTGTCCCTTATAGCCCAGAGTAAGTGAACACTGGGAAAAAGGTTGATGGTTCAGACTAGGGTACCTTCATGTGCCCTTCGCTTTGCTTTGCCTAAGGTGACAACACTTTTCATTTTCTTGTTCTGGAGCGCATGAAAGCGTGTCTCCCGGCATGAGCTCTTGGCACTAACAATGCTACGGCGGCCCTTTGTTATTGGCCCTTTCTTTGTATTTTCCAGAGAGCTTGCGCCATCGGCGTAGTGTGCTACAAAGATTGTCATCACCCTAAACGGGAAGACATTGAGGAACCCTAGTTCGGACATACTAAAGTAAGCAAGAGACACGCTCACCCTTCTTTCATAGAGATGTTGAGTTCAGCCGTAAGAAGCTCGAACCGGTCATCATTCGAGAGCACAGACATGCCTGACTGTTGCAGTTCAAACTGAAGGTTTCTGAAAGGACCAAAGAATGTTATTTATAAGGTACTTTTCATTATAGGGCAAGCAGTACGAAGAACACTGTCCATCTTAAAAAAACATTAAACCTAGGAGAAAAAAAAATTTCTACCTGGGTAGGAGAGGAATGTTTTAAAAAAAAACTGTTCGACAAAAAAACATTTTTTTTTTTTGCCCAATAATTAAGCAACAATATGAATTTTAAGATTCGCAGGCAAAACCGAAACATACCCCTCTGGGATGATGATGATATGTAGCGTTTAAGCTAAGAATACAGTCAAACCTACAAGCGCGAACCAGCCCGAGCTCCTGGTTTTGAAACGCGTCTTCCTAGCACAAGCGCTTGTTCAGCGGAAGAACGCTTCAAAGCCACGACTTTGTGCTCGAGCGCGTGTAGTATTGGTTGCAGTCTCAGCTTAAAGGGATACTACAACTAAATTTCAGCGCTTATCTTTTGGTCTATACGTGTTCAAAGGAGCAGTATCACATAGGACACACCAATATTTTCCTAAAAAAAGACACAAAAAGGAATTTTAAAACAAATTAAACGATTAGCAAAAAGAACCTGGTGGATGTCGCTACAGCTTCGTTTGTAATGCCCGTCTAGGAACCTTGACAGATAGTGACAATAAAGCGCCGTTCACATATATGCAATTGAGTACGACCGAGAGTGACCAGACCAGTTTTTAAGCCTCTTGCGACATCTTAGGACCGGATGGGCTGCAGCGGAGCTGGTCTTAAGATGTTGTAAGAGGCTTAAAAACCGGTCTGGTCTCTCTCAGTCCTACTCGGTCGCATATGTGTGAACGGCGCTTAACTGTCTCGCCTAGAACTATAGATGCTTTGAATCTGAAGTCATCCCGACAGCTCTATGGCCAGCACAAGAGAAGAGGGGAGGGAGGAACTCTCCACTCAACGGGACTCTCTTTTGAATGCCCAGACTTACGTCGTTCTCCCTCTAAAGATTACAAAAGATTAACCTATCACTCAAAATTCACACAAAAGCAGCTTTGCGGTTAGTTGCGGTGGCCTGATCGCTGGCGTGCTTCGACCGCTTTGGTGGCTGGAAAGGCTAGGGCATCCTGACTACATCAGCCTCGCCGCAGCTTTGCTGATCCCGAGACAAACATGTTACAATTGCGCCGGATGTAACGAGCCCTCCGCTGGCTGCTCTCCGAGCACTTGCCCAGAGTGGGTCATTTATAACAAAAAATACAGCCATCGTGCTCAAAATATAAACGTGTGATTGTCATTTACGGATAATGCGTATGATATTCAGCCAATTTCTGAACACAACAGGTATATTTCAAATCTCGTTGAAGCATTCCTTTAAGACTGAACGAAGTATAGTGTGCTTTGAGGTCCAGCAAACTGAGAGTGCACACTAGTCAGGTACAAACGCTATCATCATTATCCCACAGGGGTAGTTTTGGTTTCGCTCAGAAATCGAAAAATTTGTATTGTAACAAATAATGGGCAATCTTTTTTTTTTTTTTTTTTTCGGTTACAAACAAATTTTGAGATTTGTTTGTCTTAGCAAGGTAAGAAAAAACATGTTTTCTCCCTAAATTAATTTTTTTTTTTTTTTAAGGGGGATACGGAAAAAAAGAAAGCAATCTTTTTCAACATAGCGATTTTGGGTTTTGGAGAGTTTCGTTGTTTTTGAACCCCTACCTTTTGTATGAAAAAAATAGGGACCCAACGTTTTCCCCAAATTAGTCAAATATGCATATGAAGTACTCCTGGCAATTTAATAAAAAAACAGACATCGAAGGCCTCACCCACTAAAACATTTATTTTGAGAAGTATGGCTTCTTTCCCCCACATTCTTTCATTAGCTTTCATTTCTCATGGAAAAGAACAAAAATGTTTCCTGCTGCAACACATGACGCTACGCTTCTATTGTAATAAACACATTTTTCTTTTTTTTTTTGAATCTGGGGCATCTTAACAGTTTACGGGCAAGAACTTTTGTGATTAACATGGCCGTATCAAAACCGAATTGGCAAGCATATACTATAGAATATGTAGAACTCTACTATGAAGGTTTGGTTATGATGCATGCCTTTATAGTTATAAAAATTTACCAAAACGTTTGCCAGCCTTTTGGATATGGTTTTTCTTCAATTGTTCCGCAAATAAAGGAGGTCTAGCACTCACTATTTCTATCATTTGTTGCACTCCTGGTTTATGTAGAGCGGAATAGCTTATTTCACAATGCACTTTTAGGTTTGTGGCCATGTTCCATGAGTGCACAAGAACATGCATCTTTTGTTTGTACATTGCATCCAGAACATAAAAAAAACATAGAAATTATATAAAAACTAATACCAGATTTATATAACAAAGAATAGGCACTATAACTGAAATTTGCCTCGAACTATTGTAGATATTTGTAAAAAAAGTTTTCCCATGGCAGTTTTTAAAATCTGAAGAGTTCCTAAAACAGGCATCTCCAGAACTATTTGTTTGTCTGCTTGTTCCACCTTGTTTTAATCTTTTTGATGTTAGGGTGGTTACAGTGTTTTGAAGATTGTACCTTAGTTGATGGTGCAGTTGAAGAACTAACAGTAAGGTGGGAAAATTTAGGATATCCCGCAAAACATTCGCTCTTGTGAAATGTAGTGCCAAGGTCACCGCATAGATGGCACCAGCGTGCCAGTGTGTTCTCTTGTCCTAAGAAATTTTAAGAGGTTTCAACAAGTCTCGTCTCTCTTGGTCATACTTGATTGCTAGTGCGTGAACAGGCCTAGACACTTAAAGGGGTACTCCGGCGATTTTTTGAGCTACCTCAACACACTATATTTTCTGACTCCCCGGCCTTTACCTTTTCCGGTATGCTATCTAGTATCGCAAAATTCATAATAGTTCATGCGAAATCGGCAAATGAAAATGATGCAAAAAGCAACATGCAAATATACCCGCACTTTTCAGTGCCGTGACGTCAGTGGTGGGCAGGCTTGCCAGTCGAACGAGCAGTCTAAAAAATAGAATATGCCAATCATTTGTTCCGTGCTGGAGTGCGAAGACTGGAGCGAGCTTCCAAAGCATTCATTTGACATCATGAAACTGCTTCGAATCAGTTGGGAACAAATTCTACAGTCCAAAGAGTGAACCCCTGCACTTCCACTGACGTCACTTTTTTGTTGTTGCCAGTAGAAACTTTCAGTTTGAAAAACACGGTGAGGACCAAAATTTTAAATTCAATAACTTTGTGAAAAAAAATATTGTGATCTTATATTTGGGATACTATTTTGGCGATGTTTGGCGAGTTCAGCAAAATTTCAAACAAATCGGGGATTATGAAGAAATCGCCGGAGTACCCCTTCAAGACTGCTAACGTGTAGGAATGCGAAAGCATTGATACACGTAGCACATTCCTACACGCTGCAGACTGCGCTGAGCCCGGTTGAGCGACCTGGGCTGCCTGGGCGGGCTCTGCAGAGCCCGACCACCTTCTCCCTGTTACTGGCGGCCAGGCCGCTGGGCCATAAAGAGGGATTCTTTGTGGGGTGGCGTTCCCTGGAACTGTGCCGAACGCCAGCCAATGGAAGGTTATCCATCAATTTGCTGCTACAGACTACAAGCTTTGCTCCACGGGACAGGGGAATTTAGGTGCTGTTCGGCGCGGCTTCTAGAGCTGATAAACCCTGTTGGCTCCATGGGACATTGATGCTTTTGCATTAAAAAAGGATATTATATTAGTAAGCTACGAGTATGTACAAGTCAAGCGAGACAGTGGTATAGCGCATTTGCAAAATTATCTACAGGTGTGGAGTGAACAATGGTGTCAGGCACTACCCACCAGAGAGATGAGTATTAAAAAGAATTTGCAGTAACTTCCATATTAACATAATTTTTAAAAGGTTCAAACCGACTCGCCCTAATTTATAGAGAGAGGTAGAAACCATGGTTTCATGATAGATTACATTAAGTAAATCAATGGGCTCAACAATGCGGATCTTCCAAGCTTTTAAATATTTCTTAAACACACATTTTCAGTAATTTAAAATTTATAAAAATCATACATTTTTAGGTGGCACATAAGATGTGAAAGGCTAGCACCACACAAGGACTGACACATCTGCATTATCCAATGGCATGCCAAATTCTTTGCGGAAGACCAGGTGCCGAACTCTGTTGCTGTTCTCCAATATATACTATACTCGCAGACAACTTTCTGTGGCATTTCAGAGGTGGAGAGTGCAAATGCACAGCTTTGGTCAGGGCTCAAACTGCACAAGAGCCCATGCACCCTTAGCTTTGACCAGATAGCCACAGAGAATTGACCACAAGCCACTGCTGGGGCTATCCCTAGCCTCAACAGTGCATATATGGAGCTTTGGAAAGAGAATATAAAAGGCATTTTCAGTGACATGCGAAAGCGAGTTTGAATAAAACCTCACCTCTTTAGCAGTGCAGGATTAACTATGTCCTTCTTGACCTTGACCCACCTAGTCACCACATGAGATCTAAGGCCTGGTACTAAAGACAGTATCCAGGCCATCAAATCCAGAGCTTCCTCGTACAGCCTCTCCTGTCGAAACTGCCAGATGAGCAGCTCGCACCTCTTCCAAAATGTCTTCTGCAGGGTACAGGCATGTATCACGATGGCATACCGACAGCCCCATATGACAAAATAAAAAATGAAAAGACTAATGCATATGGGTGCAGTGCTGGCAGAAAAAGTGATGAAAAGAGAAGTATAAACAAAAAAGAACAAAAAGAAGGGCAACAGGTTGAGAGCATTTGTTGCTTTCCATTATTTTTACAAAATGACCAGCATGCTCCTTCTCATCGAGAGGTGAAAAACAAGAAAATTAGTATTATACGAAGCCACTTTTGGTAACTTTTGTTCTTTTACTTATTGGGTCAATTTACCGGGTGCTTTGCAAAAACGTTTAGCGTGACTTCCGATCATTAACTCGCCAAGGTTCCAGACCAACCCAGGATTGTGAGAAAACAGGGCTAGACTTGCCTCAGTTTCAATGCCACCGTCGGTGCACTGCTTAAGGTGAAGGGCAGTCCAGTTAACACTCAGCTTGCCAAGCGGAATGATGAACTGGATCAGCTTGCTCTGGTAGCTGCTAAATGCCAAGGAGTATAATATAGACGCTATGCTGGAAACGTCTTTGACATGCTCGATGTGGTCGTTCACAAGCTCTTGCAGGAGGTCGGGACACAAGTCGAGCACACGCCCCAAGGTCTCGGCCAGTTGCTCGTCGTCTTTGGCCTCCTGAACCATGTGGAGATGAAAGAGCAGCAGACATCTGAGCACCTTGAAAGCAGTGGCAACCTGGCTTCCTTCAACGTCAACAGAGTGCAGGTGAATCAGATGAGCCCTGATCAGAGGCGAAAACTCCAGCACCCCAGCCACAACCTCCCTAGAGACTTGCGCTTGGGACTGCGTCTCGATCAGGCACTGCAGCTCGGATAACTTTGTTTTCACCGCCGCAATTGCGGCCAACCAACAGCTGAAGTGTTCCGAGCCTGGCTGACAGGTCTGCCAGTCAACGGCATCTGGGATTTTGGCAGCACGACAGGGACTACCCGTGAGAGCGCTGTGGTGCAGGCTGTACGCGCGGTCAACAATGCCAAGGAGGATAGAGATGTCGTTATACAACTGTTTCTTCTCGCTAAACAGGGATGGACTGGCCACTTTCTTCCACTCTGCTTGCGGGCTGACTCTTTGGCCTAGCCTTGAGAAGAGTTTGCACTCTTCCAGGATCAGGTCGACGACAAACGGGGCGCCAGAACGTCGCTGGTCGAGACGGCGCAGCAAGGCATCGTGGACGAGGGGCAGAACTGTCTGGTACACCAAGGAGAGCTTTTGGACGTTCTTCAGCTTCGAAGTGCACCACGAGGCCAGGTAGGACACTTTCTCAGAGATGACCCTGAAGTCGTCCTTGAAGCAGAGAAACTGGATGGCCAGGAGAAGCAGCTCGTATCGGGTCTCCTGGAGGGTTTCGGGGTTGTCCTCGCTTAGCCTCAAAGCGGTGTTCCACAATACCACGTAGGTGTTGGAAATTATCACGGGCATTTGGGAGTCGTGCAAGCTCCGGCTCTGCGTCAGGGTCAGGATTATATGAGCAGTGGCCAAGGCTTGAGGCAAGCATTCCTGCAAGTACGGAGAATACCCATGGCAACCGTTGATGAAATTGCAGTTTTCATCCCAAACTCAATCGCTTCGTTGCAAGCTTTTTTGTTTTTACAAATTTAAGGGAGCTGTGTAATGATTTTAACGTTGAAAGAATTTGCATCTTCTACTTTTGATATTGTTTATCGTGTCACAAAAGACAAAAAACACATCTTCCTTTGAAATGTTGCGTTTCCGCCGCGTAATCACGAGGCAAAAATTCGAATATTTCCCGACCTGCACCCTCGACTGGCTTCAATGAGAACCAATCGGTGTGATGTCAAAGGGGGACTTGGAAAAAGGTAATTTTTCTATAAATCTTATCGTTCCAACATAAATACAAATGCGTCAAAAACCTGATGTAATCAACAAAACTATAATAATACGAAGTTTTAGAAGCGCCATCTATCCAAGGTCAACAAAACTGTCAGCTCTATATGCTACTGCGAACAGCCGCCAGAAGCCGGAGGGGGACAGAGGCAAAGCCGGATGGCCGGACCTAAGTGAGCACGTTGGCACTTTCCTCCTTTCGTCATGCTAGTTGCGCTGCCTGTGCTGCGCAAGCACGTGGTCACGTGGTCGTGAATGGGTGAGTTTTCACTGCTCACCGATGGCTCTAGCGATAGAGCTTTCCCGAAACCCTGCATGTCCTCCTTTCACCTCACAGCACACGTGACTCGGAAGATGAAGGAGTTGAGAGGTGCTGAAAACCTCAATCTTTGGCAGTTTTTAAAATAAAAACTAGAATATGCAGGCAAAATCATTTTGTTTTATACTTCAAAAAGGCTGATACACCAACTCCCAAATTATTCAAGCAAAGCACTGAAATTGTTGCACAGCTCCTTTAAAGGGACTCTGAAGGCCAAAATGAAACCGCAATGCCACGGAAGCAATCGTTTTCCTGAGCCAGTGCAATCAAATTGGCATTAGTGGTTCAACCAACTATGACAGCTTAATGAGTGTCTTATTTTCAAACTTCTTCACCACGTCGCTTTCTCTGCTGGCGCTCACTACTGTGTCCGTTTATAATTCTTTTCCTCCAATTTTACGCTCTACAGTTCTGCCTGCCATTAATATTGATAAAAAAAAAAATATGAACTAAGGATTGATTTATTTTGCAGGTTAAACTCTGCTATAAACCCCAAAAACAAGGGTCTCAAAATGTAAGCAAAGCATGGCCACCAGTCGTTTGAACACTTCGCTAATGTGACAATCAGGAGGCTTCACTGGTGTCCAATGCCTCAAAGCCCGAATCTTTCATACAGCAGTAACATAAAAAGGGATTATTTTGGAGTTTTGGCTATCTAAACAGTATGCACCAACAAAATCTATGTAAAAAAAATAAGAAAAAGAAACTAATTTTTGAGAAGCAGTGTTGCAGGCAACATGAACAGAAACCACACCTGAGCAGTTTTAAAAAGAGCATGCTACGCACCTGTTTAACAAGCAAATAGAAGATGTGATAGAGGATGTTGGGCAGATCGCTGCTGTCTCCGCCCTTGAAGATTTTTGCGAGTGTTTGAAGGCAGACTTCAATTGATTTGAGCAATTCATGAGGAAGCTGTCCTTCACTTTTGTCCAGCTGTGTCTTGATGACCTGCTTGAAGAAGCTCCTGATGAAGCTAATGCACCGGTCCACATTGTCACCGATTGTAGCAAGCGAACCCTGGAAGTAATATGCACATGACAATGCAACACCAAAAATGAAGAACCCTTTATCGGTGAACCCTTCAGATAAGGAATTGGTTTCCAGCAATCACTCTTACCTTGACAGCATCAGCAAAACCATAAAGCTCCGAGCATTTGAGCTTCTCATAGAGTTGTTGCTCACTCGGAGTCTTCTTACAAGAGCTAAAAATAAAATGAAGAGTAAACATTACTAGTAGCGACACACTTTTTGTTAAAAATGTTGGAAATATTCCAAAAGACAAAGAAGCTTGGAAAAATCCCATTGCTAACATGTAAAACACATTCAATTTGCAGAATTTGAGGCAGTTTTTTTTTTGTTACTTTATTGAATGACAATGTATGCACTACAATTCTAAGAATAAAAAGAATACACATTTTTTGGGAGTTGACGTGCCATACAGGCATTTATAGGGTAACCAGACGTCCCATTTTGGCCGGGACAGTCCCGTTTTTGAGGTCCACTTCTGCCGTCCCGTCTTTTTATCCCAATACAGAAGCATGTCTTGTTTTCACAGGAGTACACTGTTTCGAAATTGGCACCAAGCAAATAGAAGCAACCCGAAACTATGCCTAATCGTTACAAGTATATAAGTATATTTTACGAAATAACTGTAGGTACTCCGCCCCCCCCCCCCCCCCCCAAACAAAATCCTGGCCATGTGCCTGTTGCATGGATGTAGAATCATGTAGATATAGTACGCATGTAGAATTTCATAAAATGTTTTCTCCCAGTGCGCAGCCGCCGCCGCCGCCCCCCCCCCCCCCCCCCCCCCCCCCCTTTTTCTTTCTCGCTGGGATGTCCCGTTTTCTACCTTGAGGAATATAATCACCCTAGGCATTTATCATGTCCCAGTAATTCAAATGAGATGCGGCTCTTCAATGTAAAACCAAATTCTTGGGCACATAAAGCTTACACAACAAAATGCTGTGTCTCAAAACTATACAAGATTCAGAAAAAAAAAAAAGAGGTTCAAAATAGTTTTTATGCTTTAAAGGTCAACTTGAATCATTTTCAGGGCACTCAAATAAAAGCAGAAATGCAGATTCTTGTCCAGTAAGTTCTTAATGATACGGGGCTGAGATCTCCATGACATGTGGAAAGCGAGGGGAGGGGTACTGATACTGAAATGCCCTCCCTCCCCCCCCCCCCCCCACCCCTCTTTCCCCCCCAGCTAGGCCCCCATGAAATCTCGGACTGTTTTCTCAACATCTTTGTAGCGAAAAGAACAAATCAAAGTAAGGGTATATGTTGGCGCTTGTGTAAATACTCCAAAAACCAAGTAATTGCACTATAAAAAAAAAATAATTCTAAATAACAGAGACAAAAAAAAAAGTTTTAGCAAATGTTTTGTTTCCGTAGCGCGCTGGGGCATTTGAATTGCCGCCCACTGCTTTGTACCATTGCAGTCAGGTGCCTCCCGCGTGGGAGCCAAAACGCTCTCGCAATTCTTACATATGTGACGAGCTGCAGCTTTATTTTTACCAAACACTAATTTAAATTACCATGTTTCCGTATGCTAAACTATCTCCATTCAAAGCTTTGGAGTGGCACAAAAGGCAAGGGCGACCTACAAGAGCATTGCGTGGTTAGCGTCTCATAGAGACTGAAGAAAGACGTAAAAGAGGAAGGCAGACATCAATCATTATGCAACGATCTTTTGAAATAATTCGCGCGTGCTACAGCATAACCAAAGGATGCACTGCTCGCTCGTATTTTTAGCTGGAAATGCCGCGCAACAGTACCTCATTGTTCTTGCTTCACAGCGGAAATCAGAGACCGCAGTGCGGCGGAAAAGTGCGACGTCCCTTTTTTCAGCGAGCTGCGAAGAGTGGGTCGTGGAAAAAAGTGACGCATTAGCGTCAAATCAACTGGACGTGACTCGGCAACTGGTTCAGCCACCTTCCGCTACCTCTTCTACCGACCGCTTCGTTTGAATGCGGCGGCAGCCATGACCAGAGCCAAAGCAGCCAAAGCAGCCAAAGCTGCCAAAGCGGCCAAAATAGCCGAAGAGCCTAATCGGCCGAACCAAGCCCGAGCTGGCGGCGCTGGGGCACGTAGGGCAATAAGTTGACAATATAATAAATATATAATAATATAAAAATATTATAAAATAGTGTTTCTTAATTTTAGTTGGATATATGGTATTTTATAAACAAATCAAAATGTAGTCTCTGCACTGCAGATTGATTGTAGCGCCAGTGCGTCCGTTGTAGTCGCTCCTACAAATATTGAAAAAGCTAAGCGGACAAGCCTGTCGTTATGTGTGCAGTCGGCTAAAATCACTTTGGACGCGAAAGCGAAATCTAACCTCGGTCAACGGAGCGGAACCTTTAAAACCTCCGAAATCAAGCGCGATCATGGCAGAAAAGGATGACTACATAGAAAATGTTGGATTCCTTTATCGCACCATGGGTGAGCAAAATAAATGAACATGATCGGAGGCACACACCCAAACCAGCGATGCCTGTCGAAGTTATCCAGTCTTGCGACGTCGTTAGACGAAGTTGTATTTTTTTTTTCTTCCTTTTTGAATTATTGAGAAGTTTAATAGTGCAATTTGAGCGTGTTGTTGATGTGTCCTTCGAACCTGTCGCTCATTTTACGCCCGCAGTCGAGAGGGACCCGAGCAAAAGAAGAGTGAAGCCCGTTGAGGGCCATCTGCAACTCTTGGACTTCGCCGACCTGGGTGACAGTTCTGACGACAGCGACTTTCAGATTGACGATCACGAAAAAGGTTAGATGACTAATATGCACGTACTCTGTTGTGCTTCCCGCTTACCTCGGAGAATCGTATCTTTCTCTGAGCAACGCAACTGGTGCGAGCTACTCCTGAATTATTACCGCCGTGAAACACTGGGGTCTACGGTTCTATGCACAAAATCCCGGCGTCAAAACACAATCGTATACACACGCAAAAAAAAAAAAAAAAAAAATGAAGGGTTAACGAGCAGAATGAATCAGAATCAATCATATGGCATGCCCTAGCAAAGGACTGACAACTCCTTCAAAGTATTTGAAAGTAAACATATTCGGCAGAAATCTGCCTGGTTGGGTGAGAATTCACGTCCGAAACATGTAGCTCCAGCCAAAACTCGAAAAGAAGCCCAAGGTTTCGAAACCAGCTCTGTTTCTTCTTCAAGGGTGTCGGAAAGCACGCTGAACAGCCGCAGCCCCTAAGCTTTTCTCAAAACAGACATTAAAAAACAGGGAATTAAGAAATTAAAAATCGTAAAATAGTTTTTAGTTATGGAGACTGTCATCTCTTCAGCTTTCTCGTCAGGTCACGGAGGCCATGTGCGTGCACAGAGGGCAATGCGCCCAGGGACCTGAAGTTTCCTGGCATATGCTGGATTTGCCACGATTCCAAGAAAAGTCTTCTTCGGTAATTGGGCTCTGTGTGCACCACGTGTGCCTTTGTGAAGTAAGTGTTATGGTCAAGGGTATTGCAATGTTCAGAGATGGCGCTGCGCTACCTAGACCATCGCATTGACTTTGCGAACACGCACGTGGTGGACACAAAGCCCAGCTTCCAAAGAAGACTTTTCTTGGAATCGTGGCAAATCCAGCATACGCCAGGAAACATAAACAGGTTCCTGGGCACATTGCCCTCTGTGTACGCACATGGCCTCCGTGACCTGACGAGAAAGCTGAAGAGATGACCATCTCTATAACCAAAAATTATTTTTATAATTTCTTAATTTCCTTTTTTTATTGTCATTTTTGAAGACAAAGAGGTTAGGAGCTGCTGCTGTTCCGCATGCTTTCAGTCACCCTTGAAGGAGAAACCGAGTTTGTCTTAAAATGTCGGGTTTCCTTTCTAGTTTTTGTTAGAGCTACATTTTTGGATGGAGTTGCTGGCATTTCCGTAGCATGGCCGCCACCACCGCTGCCATGATGCTGTTCAGGCTCTTCTGTCCATGACCGCCGCCCTTCGATGCCTTGTCAGCCTCATCGGGCTGATTGAGCACAGCTCATATTTGCTGCCTTAGCTTATAAGGCAACCAATCGATGTATCCTTCCCATGGATTATTAAGTGTTCCCCAAGAAAGAGTGACTTTTTACACATCTTGATTATAACTCTGGCTACTTGGTGGGAACGTTGACACTGTTGTATCGCTTCGTTGACCTTCGAACAGCTTGTAACGAGGCCTGTAACAGCACAACATACCTCTGATATTCTCATGATCTCCTGTCGTTGAGTGCTACTGGCAAATTCGCTTTTGTGGCTGCCACAACATGCCGGTGGAGCCGGTGGAGTGCTTGCCACTTATTGAGCTTCTCACCGGCTCAACGTCTACAAGTGGCACGCGGAGAGATCGCTCACATCTTGCAAAGAGCACAAGAATCCACTCGGCGAGCGCTCGCCATTTGCCACGGGAAGAGTCTATGAGGATTAATCTATCGTGCAAACAAAATCGAGAATTGCGAGAAGATGGATGAAAGTAATAGCCAAAAGTGGCGGGGTGGGGAAAGTTGACGGGGCTTTTTACAGTTGTTATTACTCATAAATTTATTTATAAAAGACATTCAAGCCGTCTGTGTGGAAGCCCCGAGAAAAAAAGAAAACAAAGGGGAAGACGCACAAGGTTGCGTGTTGTTGTCACATTTGTCTGTCTTGTCCTCAGTCGAGTCACTACCAAACAAGCTTCCCCCGAAAAATGGAGCAGGAATATACAGCTTGTTAAAAATCTCTTTTCTACCTTCTTTTTTTTTTTTAATCTCTATTAGTGTTTTTGGTGATATTCCTTATTTTCTGCAATACTGAGTTAATGTGGCCAAAAAGGTTTCTCATAGCCATTAAATTGAATCATAAAAAAACCTCCAATATCCTTCTAGAAAACTGTTTTGAAGTCACTATAAATTTTAAAATATTAATTAAAATATTTTAACTTCACTTTTGTCGTGAAAATCTGCTTTTCAGATTTCGTAACTATACCCTCTTTTACAAAAATGCCACCTTATGATCAGTCAAAACAGAATGCTGGCAAATTCGGAACAAACTTCTAGGATGTTACTGTCCCAGTTGAAATGGGGCATCTAGTAAAAAAAGAAAAAGCTTGTAAAACATAAAATCACTTTCCTCTTCCATAAAAATGATAAAGCCAAGACCAGACCCTTCGGTTTCGATTTTGTTTCCTGAGATTTACGAGAAAAAGTACATAATTTGGAACAATCGAAAACGAGCGTGTTTTTAATAGATACAAAACTTGAAAGTATAAAAACAGTGGGGACGACGACGGGAACAGGACATCTTTCAAAAGATGTCCTGTTCCCGTCGTCGTCCCCGCTGTTTTTATACTTTCAGGTTTTGTATAATTTGGAAAGTTGAGCTTATTGGTGCAACGATTTCATAAGTTGGCAATTTGACACCACTGTTTGCGATTCTTCCTTCTTGCAAAGATCTAGAGTCCGACGACCAAGGCGACACGTCGGAGAACAACGATGAGGACGAATCTTCTGGAGAGGCAGTCTCAGAGGCGGAGGAAAAATTTGTGTCGGCCGAGGTCACCAACGGTGCAGTGGAGCCGCAGGAGACCAAGAAGGTCCCTAAACTCATAGTTGGAGATCTGATTGAGCGGGCTAGGCAAAGGCAGAGCCAAGCAAGGCAGAGGGCAAGCACAGTACTCTCTTATTTGTTTTTTTGTACCAGAGTTGAGAGTGGAGACTAGCATTATTCACCTTGATATTTGTTCTTTGTCTCTCCTGGTTTTCCCAGCAGATTTCGAGTGAATGTGGATCTTCTCTGAAGCTCAAAATAACAATCTGTGCTGTCTGCCTCGGGGATATCAGGTGACCAACAATACCGCAGTCGTCACCATTGGTGTTTGATTTCGAGCTTCCCTGATATTGTGTGGAAATGCTCCCCACTGTCCGAGTGCTGAGCTCTGTATGGTACACTTTAAATCTGACGCTTTTTTTTCTGTCATTTTAGTGTGGAGGATGATGAAATCGTGGAGTGTGACTGTTGCAGTGTTTCTGTCCATGAAGGTAAGTAAAATTTTATATAGTAAAACCTCGTTAATTCGGATCTCACGTGACCGGCAAAACAAAATATTGAATGGAAAAAGAAAACTGCGCAAAAGGCTTTCCCTGTGACATACCTTTATATTGAGAACAAATCTGTTATTGCCGACTGCTCTCTGGACAACATTTGAGCAGAGACTACAACTTTCCTTAGCGCAATCAGGTGCTTCACCACACTTACTGTCAGAGGTGCTGTTGGAAAATTCTTCGAGCACAACAACAACCTCCGCGGCCTCTCGCACAGTGCGACGCGGTGGCAGCTCCTCACACAGAGAGTCATCTTCGTTTGAAGCACGCCCGTCGTCACATAGGGCATCCCTCATGGTCTCATCGTCACTCGGCTGATCGGCCACAGCAATACCGTCGTCAATCGCAAGGTAGTCAGCAAGTTGCACTTGGACTGGGAGGACACCATCGAAACAGCCGTCGTCGTCTTCAGCGACGTCTGGGGTCTCCACTACCTGGCAAGCTTCGGACCGGAAAGCCGTTGTGCTTAAAACAAAACAATTCGCGATAATCTCAACGGGCATGTTGTTCCACACTTACGACAAAATGTGGATTGCACTGGGAGCAAAAGTTCATATTCCTTCGCAGCCTCAATGCACAGCAATATTCTCTCCAATACATTCTTCCTGTATGTGCTTTTTACATACTGAATTATCTTTTGATCCATCGGTTGAAAGACAGCAGTAGTTTTCGGAGGCAAAAACATGACCTGAATGCACTCCAGTCCTGACACATTAGATTGTATGCTGCAATTATCAACAAACATCAACACTTTGCACTTCTTGGTGCGGAAGCATTGGTCTAGCGAGTGCAGCCAAGCTCGAAGAAAAGTTTCAGACGTCATCTAGGCTTTCCAATTCGCTTGATTGTCCACGGAAAGTCGTTTGAGGTTTTTGAAACGTCTCAGCTTCTTCGCCTTTCCAATCGCAGGTGGCAAGCGCTCTGTACCAGTCATGTTTGCTCCAACGAGAACTTCTTTTGCCGCCTATGCAAGGTCTCCTTTCAGTGTGATGGTTTTGTCTGGTGGGGCTTTGTGAAACAACGCTGTCTTGTCTGCATTAAAGATGTTGTTCGGCTCATATGCAGCAAGGTGCTCGCGAAGCTTAACATTCTTCCAGTCATTGATTACGTCGCTGTCGACGGCACCTTTCTCTCCGCATATGTTTCTGAAGACCAGTTCATGTCTGTCTTTGAAGTGAGCAACCCAGCCGTCCGATGCTTTGAATGAAACAATCTTCATCTTCAGTGCATACTTCTCTACTTGCGGATGAGAGGACCACTCGAGGGCAGCTGCGCATCCCATGCACTGACAACCCACCGCAGCAAGGGCTCTTCTAGTTTCGGATGCGCCGTCTTCTGCAGCTGCTTTCTTTTCGTTTTGAACTTGCTCTCGAAAGCCCGTAGGATCTCAGCCTCATTTTTCACGTACGTAGCCAAAGTGCTTCTCTTGATGTCATACCTTTCCATCAGTTGTCGAAAGACTCCGTCTTTCAAAACCTTCAGTATTTCCACTTTTGTTTCTAAATCCTTGTCCTGATACTTCTGCCACTTCTCTGGCGATGCCGCCATGGAGGTTGCTGCAGTTGCTGCACGAGATGACGACATGCCAGGAGCGTGCGAACCAGTGCGCCAAACACACGGCGTTCCAATTTAAAGCTGGCACGAATCAGGGAGAACCAGAAGAGATGGGAATAATCCGAAGAACCACGTGTGCACCTCGAATAGATAGCAGTCATACCCCTTGGAACGTGCAGTAGCTTGCGCCACCCTGCCAGATTCCTCCGAATTACTCATGACGCGCCCAACTGCTTCTGAATTAACGGGCATTCGGTACCATTGACTATTACCGTAAAGTTCAGAGAGAACGCCCTCCCCCGAAAGATCGCCCATCCCGTTTTTCTGGCTAAGTATCTGCAACATAAAAATTCCGAAACATTGCCCTCTCTCCGATTCCCGTCGGACGTCATGCAATGTCCGACGGGGATCGCATAAACCGCGCAATGCGCTGTACCGGCACGTCTGACAAGCGAGTTTAAAGCGTTTTTGTCCGCGATCTGCACACGCGATATCGGCTCCTGCAACACGCGAGTTGTTCCCACGTGTATGTTGCACTGTGAAATGCGAACCTGCTGCATCCGCGATTTGTGGTATATGTTCCCGTGACATAAAGTTTTTAGCGGGTTGCCGCGTTTTTGTCAGCGATCTGCGTGCGCGATCCCCATTCTAGGTGAGTTGGTCCCGCATGTATATTGCATCGTAAAATATGATTCTGCTGCGGTCACGATCTGCGGTATTTGTTTCCGTAACATACGAGTTTGTAGCTTATTCCTGCCTTTTTGTCCATGATCTGCGCGCGATATCGGTTCCCGTGACAGACAAGATTGTAGCAGGTTCCCGCGTGTTTATTGCACCATAAAACTTGCATCTACTGCGTCCGCGATTTGCGGTATTCGTTCCCGTGAGATGCGAGTTCTCGCCGGATTTCCGCAGGTCCTTAGCACTGTGAAACATGAATCTGCTGTGTCTACTGCCTGTGGTGTCCTTTCCCATGACACCGGAGTTCATAGCGAATTCCCGCGTGTTTATCGCATCATGTCACGCGAATTTGCGGTGTCTGCGATCTGCGGTATCGATTCTCGCATCACGTGGTTTGTAGCCGGTTTTTGATAAAGTTTCGCTGTGGCGTCTCCAAAGACCTCCCACCCCATGTTTTCCACCATTTATCTCTTCATTTTGGGTGGGCACTCTTTCTGAACTTTTTGGTACGTATGTTTGACGGGACCAGATCAGCAGTTCAAATTATCAGAATTTCTGAATGGGGGGGGGGGGGGGTTGAATTAACGAGGTTTTACTGTATCCACGCTGCCAGTTTGTTCTTTGATCATTTGTTTTTGAAGTTTTATGAGCCAATGTTTCTATCCTTTTAAGGTTGCTATGGCATTACCGACACTGATTCTGTCATGAGCACGATTTCTTCAAGCTCAACAGAGCCGTGGTTTTGCGACGCATGCAGAGCTGGGCAGAAAGATCCAGTAAGTGATTGTAGCTACTCTATCTGGCATGTAGCAAAACAGTGGAAGTGTTAATGCCATTTCATTGGCCTTGTACAACTACTTTGTCAATGCATAATATTCTTTTTAGTAGAACCCTCCAACCCCAAAATTTCGTCCGTCTTTTCATGGATTTCTCCCTGAATTTAGCGGGGAAATCGACATCACGTGACCTTTATACCAATTCAGTCTCCACGCTAAATTTATCAGGAAGTCACGTGATCTAAACACCAATTCAAATTCCCCGCTAAATTTAATGTAAAAATTTGTCTCATGACCAGATTTCATGAGACCTATACACCAGTTTAATTTCTCCGCTAAATTTGGTGGAAAAACGTCATGGGACCTGTACACCAAATCAGTTTCTTCGCTAGATTTGGCGAGAAAATCGATGCCACGTGATCTATGCACTAAGTCGGTTTTCCCTCTAAATTTAGGGCGGAAATCGGTAAAAATATACTGGGTTCTTCCACTTCCCAAAATAACTGTTTAATGTCTTCTAAACCAATTTGAATGATTGCTTCTTAACCCTTTGAGGGTCGAGTTTTTCTTCCCCCAAGAGATATTTCCCAGTGGTCTGGTTTTGTTTGCAAACAAATAGTATAAAAACGGGGCAAACAGTTTTTTTTAAATTATTATTATTATTATTTAGTGGGAACACGTACAGCGCTTGCAAGCTGTTCAGGTTTAGAAACATCAAATGAAAATATTGAATGCACAAAGTTGTCGACTTTCTTTCATTTGGTTTCATTTTGGCGCATCTGCTTCCGCGACATTCCAGCAGCTTCAAATCCCTCAAAACAGAGCAATCAAAATGGAACTTCTTTGTCAGATGATGAGCTCTCATCCTCTAAATTTAATTCTGAAAAGTGTCTGAATCGGAAGAGCCAGTGCTCCCATTGGCGCTACTGCCAGAGTGGCCTGTGTGCAAAGTGAGCATCACGTGTGCAGAGCACCTAATTTGAAAACTATAAATAGAATATAATGTTTATAATGCACCAACAACATAACAAAGAGCAGCACCTCACACAGTGTGTGCAGTTTTGTGTTTAGGCAAGCACTTTCAAATGTATAATCACCGCCGTGTATGTAAGGTGATGACTGGCGAAATATTAACGATCGATTTTTATGAAGTTTTCACCGTGCAATAAATATCCACCTCTTAATATTCCTACAAATTATGTCATTGAAATTTCAATTTTCTTTCGTGAAAATGAATTTTGAAGTTTACATAAGAAAGACGAATCATCTGAAATTTCGTGCTGAAAACCTTGAAACGTTTGCTGGTCATTGCTTGACTCAGACAAGCTTGACGAATCATAGTCGTCCATTTCTTGAACTTGAAGTTGCAAGTTAGTTTGGTGTCGGTTTCATCATAATTCTGCAATGTAAATTTTAAAAGTTTTTGGGAAGTTTAGTTGGTGCTTTAAGCTCATTTTCTCGTGCTCTTTCAGAAATTATGTTTAGTTGAAAACGGTTAGATCAATGCTAGAGGTATTCTTTAAATACTGCATTTCATGCGTTATAGGGCTTGGAGATACTGCCAATTTTTGTGTTACTGCCAATTTTTATGTTACCCTCTAGCATTTCCTGCAGTAAAATTCTGAAATTGTTTTATAATCTTGAGGCAGACACAAACCTCCTCATTCCACCCTGCATGGCTTATTTTTTAAGGTCTGTGAGCTTTGCCCCAATTCTGGAGGAATCTTCAAGGAAACAGACGTGGGCAAGTATGTGATTCACTACAACTTCAAAGAAGAGGTTCTTTTTTTTAATTTGTTGAAAGCACTCATTGTGAATAACACAAGTACTCGGTGCGAACGTGTCCAAGGCTCCGGAATCTCAGGACAGACCTACTAAATATAATAATTTTATGACAAAGTCACACATATGTGAGCAGTAGTTGGACAAAACAGTTTTAAGTCTGTTGGTAGCTACGACAAACTGCTAGTGTGGTGGCTACGGCATCCTTTGTATGGTAGTTTTCACTAAGCATTAAAATATGTTTTACTTTTTTAGGGGCTTTATTTCTTTTTCATGGTTGCACTAAACAAGATAGCGACCATGGTTCATAGCATTGGACGTTGACAAAGGTGTCAATGTTGGGCTTGTCTTGGCTAGCATCATCCACATTGGTCAAACCTCAAAAACAAAGCTGGCAAACAGTGTTGCACCCCTTGCTGTTTGCACTGCAGCAGTGCTGGTTTCCTTCTTTATGCTGGCTGCTGTATAGTGCCTTAAAGCTGTTTTTTTTTTTTAGGTATACCTTATTTATACACTAACAGTGTAAACCTCATCGTTATCATGAAAGTACCCTCGAGCAACGCATGCATAATAATGCTGGCAATTTATGAACCACAGCTTTTATAGGCTCTAGTTTGTTTAATTTTGCATTTTTTAAGCATTGTTGGAAGCTTTGTCCATTCTGAAAGGAAGGGAGGGACTTGTTTGAGATTGTTGGCAAATTAACATGATGCTACATGCTAGGACTGAAGCTACTGGCTCGTTTCTTTCCAGGTGGGTGCACCTAGTGTGTGCCCTCTACATTCCAGGAGTAGCCTTTGGCAATGTGGAGAAGCTCACCCCAGTGACACTTTTTGAGATGCCCTACTCTCGCTGGGGAGCCAAGGTTTGTATGGCCTTGTAGCCCAAACCACTTCTTTTTTCTTGTTTATTAGTCTGAATCTTATCTAATCATAATCTTGAGAAGAGTGGGTCTGTGTCTTATGAAATGTTTTTAGGCGAGTTCAGTTATAATTTTAGCACCCTACAAATTGATATTCCAGTCCTGTGCCCTGTGTGAAGACGAAAGTCTAAGCCGGACCGGAGTCTGCATTGGTTGTGATGCCGGCATGTGCAAGACCTTCTTCCACGTCACATGGCAAGTCTGCTCCCGCTTTGCATGGATAAGCAGGATCATCTATATTCTTGGCAAGGAATGGTGCTGTCTTCTTGCAATGGGGATCGAAGCCACAGTGTCTCCTGTGCGGTAGCCGGAGTGCGCTTAACAATTGAGAGAAGTGGTGCAGGTTGGTTGGAAAGTGATGCCCCTTGGGACGTCCTATCTGTTGAGGAGCTTAGCTTTTTCTCAAATGGTTGAAGGATGTGTATGAGAGGAGTCTGAGAAAGTGGTTTTGTTTTAGCAAGCATCTTGAGTTCGAAGTGCAACAGCTTTTGTCAGATTAGCCATGCTTCATATAGCTATTTAAAGGAGGTGTGCAATGATTTTAACGTTGGAAGAATTGGCATCTTCTACTTTTGACATTGTTCATCTTGTCACAAAGGACAGAAAACACACCTCCTTCCTTCGAAATGTTGCGATTCCGCCGCGTAGTCGCGAGGCAAAAATTAGAATATTCCCCGACCTGCAGCCGCGAGCGGTGGCCATGAGAAGCACGCAGCGTGACGTCTTCTAGAAAGATGACAAGTTGTGCGAATACCTGCTCGATAAAAGGCAACTTTTCTTTAAATCTTGTCGTTCCAACATAAATATAAATGCATCAAAAACCTGGTGATCATCGACAAAACTTTTATTATACGGAGTTTTAGTGGTGCCATCTACCCTAGGTCTACAAAACCGCCAGTGCTCTCTGTTACCGCGAACAGCCACCACAAGCCGGAGGGGGAGGGGACAGAGCCGGACGGGTATGACCGGACCCGGATGAGATTTTTTTTCTTTCACCATATTGTTCGCGCTGCGCCCGCCAGCAATGGTCATGCGGTCGCGAGCGGGTGAGTTCTCGCTGCTCATTGATGGCTCTAGAGAGAGAACTTTACCGGAACCCCGCGCCTACCCCATCAACGTCACTGCGCTCGTGACCCGGAAGACGATGTACGAGTTGAGAGGTGGCCAAAACCTGTATCTTTTTCATTTCTTAAAATAAAATCTAGGGTATATAGGCAAAATCTGTTTTCTGTAGTTCACTTCAAAAGTGTCAGGAATCAACTTCCACAATTATTGAAGCAAAGCCCTGAAATTCTTGCACAACTCCTTTAAGGATATGGTTTTGCACATTCCACGCTTTAGCTCTAGAGAAGTATGAACTTAATGTAACAATAAGCATAGGCTCGCGCGCATATTGCATAGCTCTTGTAAGTGTGTGCAGTGGAATCATATTGTGAGTTGTCACGTCTTTTCTTTCCAGTGCCCAGCGTGAAGGATTGCTTTCAGAAGCTTCAATGGAGGAGGTGCGATGCATTTTGCTTCTACCGTTCACACTCCTACGAGGTATTGAAGATGAGGTGGTTTGAACTTAATCTGCCACACTTTTATAACAACACTGTGATTTCTTTTTCAAGTTTTGCACGGGAGATATCTGCACTCAAAACTTTCATAATTATAATCTCAGGTCGTATCTCCTACAAGTAGTTAATTTCTTTATTCATCCATTGAGTACACTTGGACTTTTTAAATTTCAAATAAACACTTTGCAGTTTCTACTGTTGAATAGCTGTAATGCCTAGCAAAGGCATTCCAAAAAAGCACTGACCTAGTTTAGACGTTTTAGTGAGTCAGTCCCCACTTCCTCTTCTAATAGGATATTGCATCAAAACTTGCTGTGGTACACATGGGAGTAGCGAGAAAGCTAATATGAAGATAAGATATGATTAATGAACTGTATGTGAGGCATATAGCTATTTAGCCCATTCGCTACCGCATGCGTCGCGCACTGCCGGGTCGTGTGTACTGCATGTTTTTTTCCCTAAAACAGGACCGCACTGGGCGTGACTGATATAATAAGCTTTTACAGTAAAAGTTGCAGCAGAAAACAAGAAATCATGTTTATGTACATGCTTAAGTGGTTTGATCAAGTCTTTAAATCAATAGGCCCTCAGAAATTCTTCCTCGTATGAAAGATTTCAAAGCACTTCATCCTCGGTCGCTTAGGCGTTGCACAACCAATGCGCTCTTGTCGTGATTCGGACTCGGAACTGCTGTCGGAATCGCTCCCGTCATTGACAGAAGGCTCCGAAAACCCACTACCCTCACGAGACGTCCCATCATCATCGTTGTCGAAGAGGATATCTATGAATTCATCGTCAGAAAGGCCTCACCGTATAGTGGACGCTGCCATTTTCTCCAAGCAGGCAGCGATCGAGCCGGAAGGACGACACACAAAAGAACAAGCTCAGACAAAGACAGCGAACAGAACAGCCCTCGCCATCTGTTGGCAATGTATCTAACTACGCTACCCCAAGTCTACATAGCGTGCCATCTATGAATGGCTCTTTATAACAGAAATTCATGCAGACCGGCGAATTGCCGGCTTTGGCAATATGGCCCCTGACGGCACGCCCGGCGATTCGCCGGCTTTGGTAGTGAATGTGTTAAAAGGCTATATGGCTGTTGTAGTCATTAGCACACAAAGGCACCTGAGTTGATGCTGCATTGGTTTGACTGTTATAAATTCTCATTGTCTTTTTTATGATTGCTACACTAAATGATGGGGACCTTTGCTGTCTTGCTTGGATTTGAAAACTTTGGGGTATGCATTGGGGCACACCATCTGAGACCCTTTTTTTCATTGCACAGATTGCAGACCCATTCTTTGCCTACTGCAAGATGCACGCCGACAAGAACATTGTGCGCAGCAAACGTAAAAACTGGCTGGCACTGCAGTCCCGGAACAAGAATCAAGCTGCTGTGCACGACCCCAAGGAGAAGGTTTGTGCACCTGCATCCCCAGTCTCCTTCATGTCAGTCTGTTTTGAGCTGACTCGACTACTTCGACTGTGTTTCTCGAAGTAGTTGAGTCACTATACCCGTTTTCACCTGAAGAAAAAAGAAAAAAATGAAAGATATTTACAACTCCCTTTAATGCCGAATTAGAGCACAGCTCTTGAGGAGGAAGAGGGGAGGATATGGAAAGAAGGGTATGCCCCTCCTCCTCTTTCATACCCTCTCCTCCACTCCTTCTCGTCCCTCCTCCTCACCTTCTCCTCCTACCTACCCTCCTCCTCATCCCATTCTCCTTCCCTCCTCCTTCCTTCCTCTTCCCCCTCCCCTCCCTCCCTCTTCCCTCGTGACGTCACTTGTGAAGGTTGTGACCCTGGTGACGTGACATCATGTGTGACGCTATTATGGGAAACGTCCCATAATGCAACGCGCGCCAATAGGTCCTCACAGATTCTTCCTTGTATGAAAGATTTCGAAGCACTCCATCCTCGGTCGTTTAGGCGTCGCACAACCAATGCGTTCTTGTCGTGATTTGGACTTAGAGCTGCTGTCGGAATCACTCCCGTTGTCGACAGAAGGCTCCGAAAGCTCACTATCCTTACCAGACATCCGGTCATCATCCCTGTTGAAGAGGATATCTATGATTTCATTGTCAGAAAGGCCACACCATACACTTGACGCTGCCATTTTCTCCAAGCAGGCAGCGATCGAGCCAGACAGAGGACACACAAAAGAACAAGCTCAAACAGACACAGCGAACAGAACAACCCTCGCCATCTGTTGGCAATGTATCTAACTACACTACCTTTAGTGACGTCACTCGTAACCCTTGTGACGTCACGTGTGGTGTCATTATGAGAAACGTCCCATAATGCAACGCGTGGTTATGCCGACGGTGACACTGCTCAGGCCAGAAATGGGCACCTAAGAGCTGCGCTCTAAAAGCAAGTTTTGCGCATTGTTCATATGCGGCGCAAAGTAGTTGTTACGAGATTTGGTAGTTGGAGGAAAAAGCAATGCTTCTGGTGTTTGAAATCTGCACGTTTTGATAAGATAACATATATGTAACCTAATATGCACCTACATATATCTGAATTCTCTACATAAAGGGGGAAATCAGTAACGCTCCGCAAAAAGTCTTGACTTTTTTTACTACGGTTCTTGAGGTGAAAACAGGTATAGAATACACCAATATTAGGGATGGGACTGATTTTCAGTAGGATGTTGGGAAGTGTGTATTCAAATTGTTTGAACTTTTTTTTCAAGTAAATGAGTCCTACTTGCGAAACCATAAATTTAAGCTGGTAATGTTTGCTATGAGACCTGAAACTGCCGCATCATCTTTCGGTCTATTATGCTAGTTCGTGCTTCAGTCGCCATTAGAGAAGGGACCTATTATTGCAGCACTGTAGCTAGGTGCTGCCGCCTTCAGAAACATTGCCGGTACTACTCTATTGCAAAGGGAAACGAAAAGCTTTGGATCTAGGCATGCCCCAGCCGCAGTCGTGATGGAACGTTGTGGTGGGATTCTGACAAGAACTAAATTATGCTGTATACTAGAAGTCACCGTGTACTACAGTTAAACCTCTACTGCACCTAACAAAACCACATTAAGGTCAGCTTAGCCCAAATTTTATAAATTCTAATTGGTAAAACAAATCAAGCTGTAGACTGTAGCAAGGTGTGTGGTTGAGCGAGTTGGTGCATTTTTTCTGCGTATTCCACTTGTCCTTGTGTCCATTTTGCGCTATTTTATTTATACTCAAGCCATGGTCGCTCACAAGATGAGAACAGCTTGGCATCTCTTTGGGATGCCCGACCTTGAGCAAGCACTCGTTGCCTTCCGCCATAACTCGACTGCGCGTGCACGTGCGAGGTTCACGAGACGTCGAAGGTAGGAACTCGTGCTAGAGGCAGGATAACTGAAGCTCCTCCCACTTGTCCTTTCATTGTGTCAGTGACCATAACATGTGAAAGATGCCATAAATAAAAAGTCTTATTTTTCGCCCACAATTTGCAAAAGAAATGAAAGTGATAGCTATAGCACAGTCGCACAATACGGGTGGAGTGTTGCCATCACATACCCGAGGATGGAGGTGCGAAATGATTAATTCTCATAGCCATCGTGGTTGGCGTCGTAGATGCCACTGACGACTGCCACCAATAATCCGCAAAGTAAGTGGGTAAGCACGGTGGAAGTTTCTGAAACCATCCAACATTGCGCGTGGCAGCTGGATACTGCCAAAGTGGGATTTCGCATAACGTGAGTAATGCATGAAAACAAGTTTTTAAAGCAGACGACACGAAAGACTCAACTTTCGTCGCGTCGTTACTGGCGGGGTGCCGGGGCCCCCCATTTCTGCGCTGTGCGGCCGGCGGAAAGCGCAGAGAGAAGGGTCTTTGCGTAGCGACGACGACAAGGGATGAGGTCAAAGTCCCTGCAAAATCTTGCCCGTAAAGCTAATGCTTTAAAAACGCAGCCAGACCTCGTTCTCTCATTGGAAACTGCATTTGTAAGTTTGCTCGACATCCAAACCGAGGGTTCAAACGCCGCCCCTTTCAGGCACGGGTGGAGCGCAAGCTGGCCTGGCACCGTGAGCGGTACCAGGTGCACCGGGCGGAGCGGCCCGCCCCGTGGGTGCCCACGCAGAAGATGCCGCGCCTGCTCACAAGCAGCCCCTGGGCGTGCCGGCAGCTGCTACGCAAGGCCCAGCTTCTGGGCATCTCCCAGCAGAGCCACCTGGCCGCCGAGAGCATGGTGGACGTGCGCCGCAAGTGGCACGTGCCCCCCGCCTTCAGCCTGGAGTTTGTGAGCTACTACCTCGGTGGGTTTCCTTGACCCGGCGTGCAGCCGGCGTAGGGAGATGCGTTCCGAGATTTTGCTCGATCTCGCCGAGTGCTCCTTGGCATTCGAAAACCTACTTGCATCCAGCTTTGCTCTTTTTATTCGTTATCGTGCAATAAAACCCACGGGAGTAATTTAGGTCTACTCGAGTAAGATTTGAAACACAACCAAGGGGTCGCTGTTTGGCAGAACTTAGGTGGAACTGCAGGTCAGACAGATTCGTCCTCTTGGGGTGGGTGGAGGGCTTAGCTTGTATTTTTATCTGAAAGTCCAGTGAGCCCCTAAACTGATCGCTTGAAGGGGTGCTTTGACATTTTCTTCAGAGTCCCCGATTTGCCTGAAAATTTGTTCAACACTAACAAACATCACTGAAATAGTAACCCAGCTATTGGGTAAGAATTTTTTTTTTTTCAAGGTTATTGAATTTGTTATTTTGGTCCTTATTGTGCTTTTCAAAGTGAAAGTCTACTGGCAACGACGAAAAAGTGATGCAGCAGATGGCAGGGTTTCACTTTTTAGAATGTAAACTTTTCCCAACCGATTACAACCTGTGTCATGGTGTCAGATAAATGCTTTGGAAGCTCGCTCCAGCACCTGCGCAGCAGCACGGAACAAATGCTCGGCATGGTCCACTTTTAGACTGCCCGCTCGACCTGTAAGCCTGCCTTCCCCTGACGTCACTGCACTGAGAAGCGCAGGTATATTTGGATGGTTTTGGCATCATTTTCACTTGCCGATTTCACAATAACTATTCTGAATTTTGCAATACTAAATGGCACACCGGAAAGGGTAAAGGCCGGTGATTATGAAAGTTTAGTTAGTTAGGGTAGCTCGAAAAATCGCCAGAGTACCCCATTAAGGCATGCATACCTCTTGACTGTATATTTGGTTCCTTGGGCCAGAAACTTGATGGAGGCACCTTCATACTATTTTTGCGCCAGAGTTGAAAAAGTCTATGGTAAACGGCACAGCGCCTAGCAAACCCGTAAGCATTGCTTAGTGGACACAGCTCTATTGAGAGTGAAACCTGCTTGCCGTAAAATTTCATAAGAATGCCCACTTAATATGGAGACAAATAAATGGTAAAAAACATGGGGTGAACAATCTTTAAAAATGTGACAGTATTATTTTATCACAAAATTTAGATAAACACAGACGTGAAACGAGAACTGATACTGCATATGCAGCAGATTCGCACTTCACGGTGCTATAAACACGCAAGAACTTGCTACAAACTCAGGTGTCACGGGAACTGATATCGCGCATGTGGATAGCAGATAGCAACAAAAGCGCGGGAACCTGCAATGCACTTGCATGTCATAGATACGGCAGATTGTAAGTGGAGCAGGTTTATGTTGCACGGTGCAATAAACATGCAAGAAACTACTACAAACTCGTGTATCATGGGAACCGATATCATGCGCTTAAATTGCAAGCAAGAAAAGACGTGGAAACGAGCTACGAGCTTGCATGTCACGAGAATGGATACCGCAAATCGCGGATGCAGCAGATTCGTACGTCACGGTGCAATAAGAATGAGCAAACTCGCTATGAACACGCTTGTCACACGCACTCTGCGGTATTGCAGATCGCGTGTTTGATGTGATTCCTGTCAGACATTGCGAAATAGATATCCGGTGGGAATTAGGAAAGTGGGCAATGTTACGGATATTTGCCCCAAAAAAACGGGATGGGCAATCTCTCGGGGGCGGGCATTCATATGGGATTTTACAGTAGTCGAATCCACTGCCTCAAAGAAGTAACATGTCACCTCAAGTGTGCGGATCTACTTGGGTGCTAAATGATTATGGTAATGATTATATGTGATTTTCAAGTTGTCTTTGCTTACTGGATCCTGTGCTGTAAATGCAATTATTGTTAAAGGGCAACTCCGGCCAAACCTCAAAATGAAATAAATTACTGGTATTGCTGTAGTGACACAAAATACGACCCCAGCCAAAATATTACGTCCTTGGGACGCCGCATTCTCAACTAATGCCGATAATAAAAATGCGACCCGCCGCGAGCCGCTGCTCCTTAGCGGGCGGCCAGCGGGTTGCCGATTGCTAAAGCAACATTGGGATGAGACGTCAGTATCGTTTTTTTTTTTTCCTTCGGTTCGGGCGTTGCGCGGAGTGCGCTTCTTTGAGCCGCTACCACCTCTACTTCGGCTTGTGATTGGCGCGTTTAGCCGTTGCTTTTATCTGTAGCCCGTGTAGCTTCGGTATAGCTTTTTGTTTATTTGCTTGTGAGGACTCCAAGACTCGTTTTAGCGAGCAACTCGGTGCACCCAAGACTGTCCAGCTGTTCCTCGAAAGATGCCGAGTGCAACTTGTAGCACTGTGGGCTGCTCAAACAACCCGCTGCGCAACACGGAGGTGCTTTTTCACAAGTTTCCAACGGACCGGAAATTGGAGAAAGTGTGGGTAAACGCTGTTCGACGAGTGGACTTTGGGCTTTGGCTTTTACGCGCCCGAGGAAAAAAAGAACGAAAAAACAGATGTGTACAGCCCACCACACGTGTGTGTTCGGGTGCCGTGGCCCGTGCCAGAGAGCCTCAAAGCTTCATGTCTGGGACTGACCCGCAGCGCGAAAGCGAGAGGGCCCCCAGTACTGTACGTCACTGGCAGCGCAGCGTAGAGCAACGCCGCTCCATCCACAGAGCCCCGATGACTACTTAGGCCTTGCGACGAGTACGGAAGACCGCACACACGGCGACAGCCGCTGAGTACGGCAGCGAACGAGTTCACTCGTTTTCCAATCGCTTTTGGGTATACAAGCGACGAGTACGGCATTGCGCACGCACGGCGGCGGCCGCCGAGTACGGCACCGTACGAGTTCACGGGTTTTCCAGTCGCTAGCTTTTGGGTATACACACTAACTTTTACTACATATGCTGGATAACTACCACATATACAGAATTAAAACAAAATCAGTATCCTCTTATTTTTAGAAGGCTAGCTCAACAGAGGTAGGTGCCGCTCGGCCTGCATACTCGTTGAACGAGAACGATCTTGACGTCACGCTCATATAGCGGCTGATTTCCAGTGTTGCCGAGGCCTCGAGCGGCTAGTTTCGGTTTTGTTGGCCGCACCCCAAACAAAACTTTGAAGCGTCGATATCTTTAAAACTATGCACAATAACGAGAAAAAAAATGACACCTTGCAATTCAGAGACGCTGACTGCACTAAAACAGTCATAATCCCAAAATCGAAAGTATGGACCGAAGTTGCCCTTTAAATGTCCTTTTTTTTTCTTTTTTTTTTCTTTTTTGTAAAAGTGATCGGTGTCAGTTTTTTTTTTCTTTTTTTTTTTTCTTTTTTGTAAAAGTGATCGGTGTCAGTGGAATGATCGGTGTCAGTTTCCATTTCTGCTAACATGCCTTTGTTTCTTCACACCATGTCATATAATCTTTAAGCTTCTCCAGTCAGATTTCAGTCAGTTTTTACGTTCAAAGAGATGTTGCATTTGTACCCAATCCACCTTTTTCCTGCTTACCAGCTTGAGAATACACAACGGATATATTGCCAGGCCAGATTAGGCTGGGAGGAAAACAAAGTTGCCATTTTGCTTGACATGAGTGATTGCATGTGATTCCCAATTTTGCTTGGATGTCAAAACACCGTTTTGCATTCGGATGTCAGAAATGACACCGGCCAGGGGAAGGAAAGAGATTTTTTTGGTTTCCTTCGAAGATTTCGGCCCTGATCGAAGTGCGGCTTGGGTTTGTGCAGTGAAGATAGTTGACCCGTCAGACTTGACAAAGGCTTGGGAGGCAAAACAATCATTCCCAATTATGCGGAGCTCACTTCGTCACAGATCAGTCGCTTTAATTGCTCATCAGAAAAGCATGTTAGAAAGTTGCGTGATTTTTACATGCAAGAAAACCTTCACTAGACAAACATAACCCAAACTTTGTGCCAGCTGTGTTCTCTCACACGAAATAGGGATTACCTCTCAGTCGCTAAGAGTGATGAAAAAATCACACTTTTCCAAAAAATATTGCCACATTTCGTCTTTCGATAGGCCTGCGAACTGCAATGGCTTCTCAACCCAGCCGCTGCATTGAAAAGAAAATGAGATGTCCTCGTCCTCGGCCGTCCTCAGTTACCAAAAAGTAGCAGAGCCACAGAAACTAACTGGAAAGCCGATGTGCTGTAGAACAAACCTAGTAGCTTGCAGAAATCAAGTTTAATGGTGCCCTTGTTTTCCACCCAAGAACCGCTCGAACCCAGTCACAACCAAGTTCCAATCTTCGCCGACGTAGAGAAAGCCTGTCGCTCGGCTAGGCACAAAGTTTGGGGTAGGTATTCTCCATGGATGTCGAACCCCAAACTGAAAGAGAATGGGTGAGCAAAGTGCAAGAACAAGTACAAACTGTCGAGACCGGATGCTGGATAACAGGCATGAGGCAACATCCTACCATTCACCTGTGCACTATCTTTGATTGAAGACTGAGATCGCCCCCGACATTCTGCAGAAACACACTGGGGAGTCGACTACTTACCAACAGCCGTGGCAGTGCTCTGAGCATTCAATCTTACCGAAGCAAGTAGAGCGCAGCAGGATGAGTAGGAGATGCAGAGTTTGCAAAGGTAGAAAGAAGAGACTATTCCCCACTTGCTGCCATTCTGCATGGTGCTGCTACCAGCACCACTTGTGAACTCTCGCATCAAGTAGGCACTTGGTTCCACCAATGAGCAGAGCCATGTAGCCTGCTCTAAGCGGAGACTCGAAGCCTGATGAAAGTTTTGCCGGCGAGAACACTATGCAAGACTAAGAAAGTAGGCGTTGTTTGGCCACTGGTGCAAGATAAATCAGTGGGGCCTGTGGAATTCTTTGGTTTGATTGTTCTTGCTCTAATGACCATTGGTGGACAAGATGGTTGGACTCTCGTTTGTGCCAGCCTCTTCCCTTTTTGTTTAATTTTTGGTGTGTCTGTTTGTAGACTCGTTTCAAAGAGATTGCACCGCAAATATACATACATACAGAGGATGGATTTTGTGTACATGTGCTCTCCATCCGATACCTACCACATCTTTTCAGTGTGCATGTGTGTGTGTGTCCCAATCAGTGTCGGAAACTAGTTTTGTTAGCATGAAAAAACTGTCCTGTTCATTACTTTTAGGTTCGTAGGTGGGCAAGTGTGCTATTTGCAGTAGAAGTTCCAGTTTCAATGCAGGGTCTCTCTGTAGCTGTGGTCTTGTGCATAAATGCGTAAATTTATTAATGTAATTAGTTCTGTGTCTGATGAACAAGGCCTACCTTTTCCGTAAGGCACAAGTACAATAAACAATGATTACAAGCTAAGAGATCATGCATTCTCACCCAGCAATGCTATCTATGACGCAACACTGATTATGAAATTTCAGATGTTCGTAATGAAATGCACTCTATGTGTTGAGCAAAAAAAAAAACATTTTCTTGGCCATGTCATTTATTCATTAGTCATCTGTTGCAGATTGTAATAATGCCATATGTGTGCCCTGCAAGTAAATAGGCGGGCCTATTCGTAAACAATATGTGCAATTTTTCTAGCAAATATAGTATAAAGTCTGTGTGGAAATTTCTTTTTTAGGGCATTCCCTCACACTTCCATTTCGAGGAGCACTCACAATGTCCAGTTTTCTCCGTTTACCATCATCAATTTAACAACTGGGACAGAAAGAAAAAACATTTTACAGTGGTAGAAAAAGAAACAGAGAGGCAATGTCTCTATTTCTATATGTAGAGATATACGGTATACATAGACAGTCAATGTCTCTATATGTTGAGGCATTGTCTGTTTTCATTTTTTTTCTACCACTAAAAAATGTTTTCTTCCTTCTGCCCCAGTGTCAGGTTAAATTCATTTTGGTAAACTTCCACCAGCTCGGCTGTGCACCGATTGTATTTTCGTTTCTCCGTTTGTCACTGTTACACAGACCGCGGCAATCGAGTTCTGACAATGCGTCGCCACTTGGACGAGTTGCTGCAGCAGAACACTGAACTTCAGGAACAGGAGCAACTGCTGCGGCAGAAGTACGACCAGGTGAGGAAATAACGACCATCGCTGGTGTATGGCCTGCTGATGAGGCAGAAACTCTGATACTGTTTCGACGTGCAGGCCATCATTCAGCTGGACGAGCTGAAGAAGGAGAATACTCGCATGCACGACTGTGGCACAGAACTCTGGAAAATACTCTGCGACCTCACAAACAAGGTGACTTTGTACCCTCTCCGTTGAGCAACATTTTTAATGCAGAATGCATTTTAAAAAGGCTCTCACACCCCAAAGGTTCTTTTTTGTCTAAGACAACGCAAGTTGTAGTCATAGACACGCAAAAAAATACAACAAAAAATATATATACAGTCAGACCTCGATGTAACAAACTTCAATATGACTAAACCCTCGATGTAATGAACTGCATAACTTTTTCTAATCACAAGTGTATGCACACCATGTATTTTTGACCTCTATGTAACGAAGACCCATTTGTCGAAATTTCTATGTAACGAAGTTTCACGGACAATTCGGCACAAACTTTTGCATCCCAAAGGAGATTTTGAGGAGAACATCTGCTGAAATGGGCCCCCGACAAAGCTTAAAGGGTGAAACGGGCCGAATCTGGCGAACGGGGGTGCACAGAACGGCCGTCGGCTTCGTGCATGCTGTGTAGTTCATTTCGAGGCCTAACTAAAAGCGTGCGTTTCTCGCTGTCCTGGGAGATGGAGCTTTGAAGGCGATGAAGCCACCCCTAACAACGTCGACTTCAACGACTTTCTATGCGCCAACTCTGCTGTCATGTAACGGAGGAGGTGACTGGTGAGGCGATAGCTAGCGATGTTTGTGGGAACTCGCGAGACGGGGATGACATCAAGCCTGATGAGAAAGACACGTGCGATGTGCCCAGTAACCGTGAAGTAATGGACGCGATCAATGTTTTAAGGCGGTTCGCAAGCACACAGCAAGGCGAAGACACGATGCAGGCCGTCTGGCTCAGCGAACGTCGTGTGATGCCAATAATAATGCCGAGAGTGACCCAGAAAATGGTGACGGACTGGTTTCAATCGAAATAAAGGCGTCCTCGGTGAGTTTTGTGCACCCGAGAAACATTTGTGGAAACTTTCTTTAACGTTAGCCCCCAATTTCTGTGTAGCGAAATTTCAATGTAAAGAAGTAAATTCCGAACTTTACCGACTTCGTTACATCGAGGTTTGACTGTAAATATATCCCCGTGCTCGTGCCTTTTTATTATTGCCACTTTTCTCTCCCCTTTTTCACGTCCTCGCTTCTTCTTATTTGTGATCTAATTGAATTTGAAATATAGAAGCTTTGTAAGCGACATTTCTATAATATTTAATAACGGCATTCCTAAAATATGTTCTTTATTGCAATTGCGAACGCACCATGGCCCTTCTTTTTGAAATACCGAAAATCGGAGTCCAGACTGATGTCCCCTCCTGGCTTTTTATCCTCCCTCAAAAACATGGCAGCGCTCGGCACACGCACTGAGGATGATCGGTGAGTCGGGGAATTGTACGAAGTTCTTTTTTTTAAATGCCCGACAACCCCTCAGACTTAAAAGAGGCAATCGTCAAACGGTCAAAACAACTGGGTTTGGTGTCTGTGTACCGCAGTTTCGAATGTGACTCTGCCGGGGCAGCCTTTCACGCAGAACCGGCGCAACATGGCCCCTCACGTCGCACAGAAAAGTCCACTGCGCATTCCCTTCGACCTCACCCCGTTTCAAAGAATTCGAGATTGCTGAAAGCACCCTACAAGAACTTCAAACTCGAAAGTGGAGCGTCATCTGCTCACAACGATAGGCGGCAGGTGCGGAGGAAAGCGGTTGATCGCAAGACACGGGCGAACACGACACTTCTGGTCGGGACGGTTCGGAGGCGTGAGGGAAACTTGAGTTGCAGGACGACTCAATCCTTGGCGTCACTGCTTTGGCGCGGATTGTGCAGGAACTTCAAATTCGGCTTTGGGAAATTGGTTTTTTACTTCACAAATTCTGAGTTCCCAAGTTTTGAATTTTTAGAATAACGTCCTGGCATTGTTTTCATTCGTTTCGGATAACAAAAAAAAGAATGTGGATCATAAAAAAAAAAAAATTTTGACCTGACAATGCCCCTTTAACCCATTCGCTTCCGAAGACGGCGATCCGCCGTCCGCGGGAGAAAGGTCCAAAGTGAAATAAGACGGCGAATCGCCGTCCTCCACAAAACAGTTTGTTTCCAAAATATATTGATAGATGGCGACACTTTACAGGCTGTAGGTGTTTTGATTAGTACTTTTGACACCAGATGGTACCACGTACGTGATTATTTTATGAATATTTAGAAGTGAAAAGGAAGAAGTTCGCGGTTCTTTTTCTTTGTATGAAAACATGGCGTCGCGGAAGAGGAGGTGTCTCACCAGCGAGGAAATTCTTGAGCTGGTATTTGAAAGTGATGAGGATGACGACTGCGACGACCCGGAATTCACCATGGACATCCAAAGCAGTGATTCGGACAGTGACAACGATGCTGAGGCTTCGGACTCAGAAGAACCACTTGATTCTTCGGTGCCCGTCGCGCCACCACCATCGAAAGCTCCAAGGCTCGACGCCTGGCAATGGGAGGACGACGACAGTGCCGACAAAGTCGCAAAGATCCCTTTCGCCGGAACACCAGGTGTAAAGAGAACTGTTCAGATAGCCGTAGGGGACAGTCCTACAGCCCTCTCAATGTTCAATGCTTTGATAGGCGAAGACTTTTGGCAGATGCTTGCACGTTACACGAATGCCTACGCACTTGAGAAGCAGGCCTCCTCTCCGGACCCTTCATGGTTTCCCACAACTCCAGGTGAGATGAAGGCGTACTTTGCCCTTTGTATTCTCATGAGCCAAGTGAAAAAAAGCAGCATTCAAGCCTACTGGTCTCAGAGAAGCGTGATTAGCACGCCCTTCTTCGCGTCCGTGATGCCCAGGCAGCGGTTTTGGGCGCTCTCACGATACCTTCACCTGTGCGACAACAGCCTGCCAGTTGATGACGACAAACTTCGAAAGCTGCGTCCAGTCCTGGACTATGTTTTGAAGGTGTTTGGCGAGTCGTATTCTCCAGGAGAGGGACTGGCGGTAGACGAGAGCCTCATGAAGTTTCGTGGTCGTCTATCCTACATTCAATTCAATCCGTCAAAGCGCGCACGCTTTGGAATCAAATTTTACAAGCTGTGCGAGTCGTCAAGCGGATACTGCCTGAACTTTTTTATTTACACCGGAAAAAGTGAGAGGACCCCGGCAACAGCTGGAATGCTGTGCAGCGAGGCTGTTGTAATCGACCTTGTGGGAGACCGTCTTGGGAATGGTCACACCATCTATACAGACAACTGGTACTCGTCCCCGCTACTCTTTCTCCACATCAAGGAAGCGGGGTCTAACGCTGTCGGGACAGTTCGCGTGCATCGAAAGAACATGCCGCAAGAGCTGAAAAAAATCAAGCTTCAAAAGGGTGACTGTCGCAGCCTCTTTTCCCGTGGACTGATGGCTGTAACATGGCAGGACAAGAAGCCCGTAACCTTGCTTTCAACCTCCCATGACGCAACAAACCTGACAGATACAGGAAAACAGAGAAAAGACAACCAGCCAATCCTCAAACCCCAGGTTGTGCTTGATTACAACAGAGGTATGGGAGGCGTCGACCGTGAGGATCAGCAGCTGGCTTCGTTTCCCATTATGCGGAGATATGCCAAGGGGTACAAAAAGATCTTCTTCTACGTCATGAATATAGCTGTCTACAACAGCTATATACTTTGTGGAAAGACCACAGGCAAGAAGTCTAGCTACACGGACTGGAAAGTCGACCTCGCCGAGCAGATCGTGGAGGAGACGGTGTTGCCCGGGTACAAGCGACGGGGAAAGCCATCCGTAAGTGCCTCGCCGATGCGCCTAGAGGGATGCGAATGGGCGCATTTCCCTCGCCAGATCCCAGCCAACGCTACGAAACCAAACCCATCTAGGCGGTGCCACGTCTGCAAGGTCCAGGGCAAAAGAAGTGAGAGCCGCTGGGAGTGCGAAAAATGTGAAGTCGCACTTCACATGCCCGTGTGCTTTAAGCTATTTCACACTCGAAAGTCTTTTTAAGTGCATTCCGCTTGCCTGTGATGCACGATTGAAATAAAACAAAAGTTATCCTCCTGTGACGTTTTGTGCGGAAGTTATTAAACTTTTTCCTCGGCGCCGCAGAAAGCACGGGTGCAGTGAAAACGGGGCGCGGAATACCACGCGGGAAGGGGCCACATCATGGCGGAAGCGAAGGGGTTAAGGCTGGCTTCTAGGTCTGTAGCATCACAAAATGTGGTAACAAAAAAAAACATAACACGCTGGGTTTCCTTCAAAAATCACTTTGTACTTTGGTGGGAATCGAACTGATGAACTTTCAGTTGGTAGTCCACTGCTCTGCCTCTGCACTACAACCAGGTTAGGAAAAGTGTTTTTCCGGCAAATACATGTGTACTCGTGTGGCCGCGAAAGAAATGTTGCACCGTTGTCGGGGGCCGTCACATGCCACGTGTCACAAGCCGCAACAGCTGATCAGCTATGGTGGCTTCTCTCTACGCTATGATGACTAGGAAGGAGACGGTTTACGAATGTCTTGACACTCGCTGCGAGGGAAGGGAGAAGAAAAAGTTTATGAAGACAAAGATGAAGTGGAAGACAAAGAACTATAAGGAGAGATTTCTATAACATCTGAGAGAAGAGCAGCAAATGTTTTGGAGTTGCTTGTGGAACGGCTGTTCTGAGCTAAAGTCAGAAAAAAAGTAGCTTGAACCAAAACTCGAAAAGAAGCCCGACGTTTCAAAACCAACTTGGTTTCTTTCTCTAGGGTGACTGAAAGCATGCGGAAGAGCAGCAACTCCTAACCTCTTCGTCTTCAAAGAAAAGAAAAAAGGCTCGAGGTACACTTAAGGGGAGACACCCCCTGGGAGGGTCAACTTTTGAACCCTAGCTTAAACTTAATGAAATTTACAAGGTAGGCTGGTGGTCATGCTAGAGGGTGCATAACAAAATTTCAGGTCTGTCGGTTCAAGGGGAAGGAAATTAGGGCAGCTTCTATCAGCAACACCCCTACATTGTTTAGTTAATCTATCATCGGAAAACTATCATGATATTCAAGATCTTTATTTGCTAGATATGTAGCAGAATACCTAGGAGGTGCACCTATGGAAAGTTTTTTTGTAAAAAGTCATTGATTTCTATCAATTTTCTCTTCTGCAAAATTGGCCAACTTTTTGGTCTTCTGTGTCTTTGACAAAATGTCAACATTTTTTATAAAAGACATTTATAAGGTAACAAACAAACTCGATAGGCGCATTCCTTATTAAATTTCAGTCAGGAAAAGTGAAGATCGAGCCTTCCCTGTATCGCCATTATCGAACGATAGATTGACCAAAAAGGAATTTATACCAAAAAGTGGAATGGAGAAAAATGTGTTCAAAGTGCTCCAAACCCTACCTTTTCTTTAGCTTCGGTGGACAGAAAATAATTTATTAAAAATTAACTATGCAGTGTAAACTAGTGAAAGTTTCTGGGAATACTCTCTGGATGTAGCTGGATGTGAATATGTAATTTTTCAAAATCAATCTTTTTTGCAAAATTTTTTTTTCTCTGGGTAATGTCCCCCCTTAAGTACTTTTTGTGAGTTGTGTATGCGAAAGCATGCATGCCGTTCTTCCGCTCCTGTGTTTCGTTTGCGACGTATTTGCGTTGGCCGTGCGAGTGCTCTTCCAGCTCTCCTTGCAGCTCTGACCTTGGGCGCTTTGTGTTATAGGCGTGCTCGCAGCACGGACAAGCAGTGCCATGGGCAAACGGTCGTTGAAACTGGCGCGCTTAGCGACCAATGGGGGCCTTGTCGACGCGCGTCAGCCAGTGTGACCGAAGGGAAATCCTTCAGCTTTACCGCTCCTTTGGGATCGGGGAAACTAAATACCGTTGCCTAGGCTGTTCGTGTGGTTTCATAGCTGGAAGCTGTCTTCACTTGGAGCAAGGATTTAAGGTGCCGTTTGGTGCGCTTCAAACTGATAACGTTTTACTCGCTCCATAAAACAATTAATGCTTTTGCATTTACAAAAAAAAATTTTTGTTGAGACGAAGAGGTTAGGAGCTGCTGCTGTTCTGCATGCTTTCAGTCACCCTTAAAGAAACCGAGTTGGTTTTGAAACGTCGGGTTTTCGAGTTTTGGTTGCAGCTACTTTTTTCAAATCTTAATCCTCACACGACCAGGCAGACTTCGGCTGAATATGTTTACTTTGTTCTGAGCTGTTTGATCGGGAAATAGTCGAATTTTCTTTGTGAAGTGTGCATTTATCTTCAGGTCTAACTTTGTGACTTATGTGCTTTTCATTCCTCCTCTGTAGTAGGTGCACAGAAAAAAAAGGCTCATAATGTTTTATGTTTTTCTTTCCAGAAACTCCCTTTGCCAGGAGTTTTAGAAGCTAGAAAACTGCCAGTCAAGCCAGCCAGCAGAACAAACCGTCGTGCCGATTCTGGGACTTCGTTTCTTTTTGAGTAAGAAATCTTTGACAATGAAGTAAAGAACAGAAACGTGCAACTCAAACAGTGCAAACTTGACGACTGATGAGAGCAATGCCAATCATACATTCTCTGGAACTAATATGGTTTGTGTGAGCTTGGCTTGTGTGCTTTGGTGTAAACTCATGCTGAGCCAAATTAGAGCACAGTATGAAATAGCTTCTTTCTTTTCTTGTTAAGTCTGGCCGACACTCTTTTAATTGTGCAGTCAAGTGGTATTGTATTTTGTATTCACCCAAACTTAAGACTAACCTTTTCGTTTTATTCTTACTTTCTACATGTCCGAGTCACTCCTCTACTTCCGCTGTACTAATTTCCACACCAGCATAGTGCATGTTGTAAAGTTCGGTCCTGCGACATGCTTGCGGTGCAGGTGTGGTGTCTGCAAGAGATCTCAAGACCAGCATCAGCTTGCCAAATGCGACAACTGCCAGCTACACTACCACCTCTACTGCCTTGATCCGCCGCTGACGAGGATGCCCAAGAAAACCAAGTCAATGGGATGGTGAGTCGTTGGCCCTACTTTCATAGCACAAACCTTTGCACCTTGAACATGGACTGTTTACGAGGTACCATCCATTGGAATCGGAAAATAAGCGACCTTAGGTGCACTTCTGAAAGCTTGGTGGACTTTAACAGTTTGTCTTTGCCTGAGTCTGGAGACCTTAAACATCAAAGGACTCGTACTAAATAAAACATACCGTTATACTTTGCACAAGCACTATTTATGCAGAATTCATTGCATGTTTGTGTCGACTTGTGTTGATCCGTTTTGCCTGTTTTGCCCATTCGGCTTTTGGGATAATCTGTTGGTGGTGCTGGCAGAAATGCATAATGTAATCTGCGTCACTCGGTTTTATGGAGAGTGTCAAGGAAAGCTTGAATTCTTGCATCTCTCCTACGATGAGTCTTAAGCGGCGTGATCTCCTTTGTTATCGGTGACTGTGGGTGACATGGTCATGTGGCTGTGTCACTTTCACGCAGCATATCGCATCAATAGTGGTGTGACTGTAGCATTATCACGCCGCCTTGAAGAATAGCATACACCACGACGATTTTGCAGCATTCCTTGTCACAAGGGTGACCACTAAGCGAACGAAGGGAAGGCATCGGCATAGAGGAAGCTTGCGCTGGTCTCGAGGGGACGGGATTTTCCGAGCGAAGGCATAGAGCACAAAGAACACGACTATACAATTCTCACATCGTCACACAAAAACTAACACAAAAAAACGCTCGCATCGCCACGATTTTGCAATGCGACTTGTCTCAATGACAAAAACTAATTTTCGTCGCCTTCGAAGGCCGATGCCATTACGGCATTCCATTGAAGCTTCATAACCAACGACCAGATGGTTTTTGGTTCTTGTTTAATTCAGTTTAAAATATCTTTTCTTGTGTTTTTCAATGAGATATTGATGTTTCTGAGGTTTTACTGCTACCTACATCATGTTGAAGCGAAAGAATGAGCTCCAGAATTTGGTTTCTATACCCGGCGTCTAGAGCTTGCAGTCTTGTACCAAGCTTGTGGCATAAAAAAGTGTCTTTAAATTTCCGACACAAACAACTCCCGATATATTTACACATATAGCGTTCAACCAGTTTTTACCCGACTCAAAGTAGTTGTAGGCCTCGAGAGACTTGTACACTTGCACCGTGTCGGCCATAAATTAGCTTGGCCAAAACACTAGGCAGATGACAATGTGTGCCATCGAGGTTGATGGCAGCAACTTGGCTGATTTGGCGTCTGAGCACCAGCGCTCCTTGCTCATGGCATAGGGATCCTCGAAGGCAACGCCGTCGATACACAGTTTCTCGCTGTATCGCTGCTGCTCGGGCTCTGGCAGCGAGTGCCAATAGTCAAACATAACATATAAAAGAATATGACACAGAGGTGAGACTAGAAACGCCAGTTTCAGCTTTGGTTAGCGAGCTTACAACCCGAGTCGCAATGAAGAAAACGCGGCGAGAGTGGCCATTCTTGGGGGGCCCGCACCCCTCCTGCACATGTGCCGCTCTCCTGTCGTGTTTGTAAACATAGCTCGCCACACATCGGTGTGTAGTGATTACATGATAATGTGACCGCATGACCCCTCCCAACATTGGGGCAACAGCTTTTTGCTTCAACACGAGTACTTAGCAGCTTAAATAATGCTTATCTAAACCATTTCCTTTGCAGAGTGCTGGCTCAGCAACCACCATGTCACAAAGGCAGCTTGTCCGCAGCAGTTTTAAGCCAGGGGCTTTATGTGCCCTACGTCCTTCTTTTTTGCAGGCAGTGTAGTGAATGCAACAAGAACTCTGATGAAGACAAGGAGAGGCATTGCGACCCCAACGCTCCACGCAGACTCCGTGACCAGCCCCGGGGTACCATGCGGTACGAGGACTGCCCATACCGGGACGACTTCCGCAGGGTGGGTACCTCTCCTCATGCTATCTTTGTCATGCAACTCTCCTGATGCAACTTTTAATGTGCAACTTTCATCATGCAACTTTTGTAATGCACTTTTATAATGCAACTTTCATTGTGCAAGTTACACTATGCACTGTGTGTAGCATTAACAACAATATTGTAAACTAGAAAGAAAAAAAAAATTTTTAGAGGGTTTTATTCTAATTTACGGTGGAACAGCTGGGTGAAGGCACTCCTCAAGATTACAAGAAATGAAATTTAAAGGATTTGTTTGAAGTATTGCTTTGCTGAAGATAAATAATTCTGAGGGTGCAAGTGGGTTAGATACCTGTAATGTATCTTTGTCAAATAGATCAGTTCCATTATTCTTTGAGGTTAAATACAGATGTGCTCTTATCTCAACATCGCTTCCTATCCTTTCGGTTCCGCTAAAAGCTGCTATTTTATCAAAATTGCTTTGTAATGTCACTAATAGACCGATCTCAGTGAGCGTTCGGCACATGTCTGGCACCGCCATAACTTTAGTTCAAAGGAGGCAGATGGTCGTGCATGCTGGGGCTCGTGCCGTCTCAAGCTCCACATGCGCAGAGCTCCAGCAGGGTTGTTGCACGTGCAGAAAAACTAAAGTTCCCTCGATTCATTGTGGCAGCGGTGGCATAGTCAAACTGGCTGGTGAGATCGGTCCATTAAAGGAGCTGTGCAACAGTTTCAGGGCTCTGCTTAAATAATTGTGGAAGTTGATGCCTGACCACTTCTGAAGTGAACTACAGAAAACAGATTTTTCCTGGATACCCTAGTTTTTATTTGAAAAATAAAAAAGATCCAGGTTTTTGCCGCCTCTCAACTTCTACATCGTCTTCCGGGTCACGTGCACAGCAAGCGGGGGGGAGGGGGGGGTAGGCGTGGGGTTTCGGCAAAGTTCTCCCTTTAGAGCCATCAGTCAGCAGCAAGAACTCATCTGCTCGTGACCGCGTGAACACGTGCTGGCGGGCGCCTCGCAAACAATATGGTGAAAGGAGGAAAGTCTCATCCGTGTCCGGCCGTACCCGTCCGGCCCTGTCCCCCTCCCCCTCTGGCTTCTGGCGGCTATTTGCGGTAGCAGATAGAGCTGACGGTTTCGTGAACCTAGGATAGATGGCGCCACTGAAACTCCGTATAATAAAAGTTTTGTCAATGATACCAGGTTTTTGACGCATTAGTAGATATGTTGGAACGACAAGATTTATATAAAAGTTACCTTTTATCGAGTAGGTATTCGCACAACTTGCTATCTTTCTACAAGATTCCCCATTGACGTCATGCCGCGTGTTTCTCGTGGCCGCCGCTCGCGGCTGCAGGTCGGGGAATATTCCAATTTTTTTCCTCGTTATTACGCGGCGGAATCCCAACATTTCAATGAAAGGAGGTTTGTTTTCTGTCATTTGTGACGAGGTGAACAATATCAAAAACAGAAGATGCCAATTCTTTCAACGTTAAAATCGTTGCACAGCTCCTTTAAAGATGTCTGTGTAGTAGTAGTAGTACTATTATCTTAACTTTTTGGGGGTAATAACTCCAAGTGTAAAATTTAACATTTTTTTTTATCTGATCCCAATTAAGCGTGTTATTTATTAATGAAAAAAATATGAGCAATTGCAAACGACCACACAAAGCATGCTGCGATTGACAGCGATAGCCGCTGCAGTTTTCAAAGGTGTGTGGAAGGAGGTTTGCCTACTGCGCCTATTGCGCCAAACTGCGCCAAGGGGCTAATTCTGCTGCATCCTGCTACATTTTTCCGAAATATGGGTAATCTGCGCCAAGCCTGCACCATAAAACCAATTTCGGTCGCCTTTCAAAATCGAAACTAAGCCTGGTACCGTAATTGAGCATGCGAGTGTTATATGGTGCGAGAGGCCGCCCGACACAAAGTACTCTGCATCAATTGTCCATCAGGTCTTGCTTGGTTTTCCCGCCGTCTCGTGTTTCGCTTTCTTGTCGTCTCGTGGGTCTCGTCTCACGTATTTTTTTAAAATATTTTCAACGATAGACTTGGGTGTGTGCAGACGCTCCGACGCTAGCGTTACGGGTACCAGCCATGCGGTCATGCTGTGAAACGAAACCACATTTTTGCGTGGCGGGAGTTACTTAGTGAGCTAAAGTACTTGCTTCTGAAAGCAACGTCCGTGGGAAAACTATATTTGGTCCCTGCCTTCCAATCACCATGGTCGCGCGACGTCGGGCGGGTGTTGCCATCTCCACGTTGCTTCAGATCTGGCTCTTTCTAAAATGAAATTAAGTACTGCCGCATGTTCATCAACATTCCTGTTCTTGTTTAAATCATACGTTACTACAAAAATCCCTCTTTAACTCATAGACTGCTGTGTTGAAGTATTGATTACCTAGGTTTTTCTCGGTGGGCTTTCTTTCGGGAGAGACCCCGGTATGTGAAAAATCTGCCACGAAAGAAATTTGGTAACGAGAAGTGAGCTAAAACAAAGAAGGCAATGTCTGCATGCTGAACCCACACAGCGCGCTTGTGTTTCGAGGTCAGTCGTTGCACTAAGCGCTCCAAGAACTTTTTGACCCTGGCTCGCGATGTCTTGCATCAATGTGCTCAGGTTCTTTTTTCTTTTTTCTTGTGTGTTTAGCTTGTACCTTGTTTGCCGACTTAGCGAGCACGCACTGCTAGACTGTTTTTTGTCGTATGCTCAACAGTTACATTTTACATACAATTTTGGGAATCGGTTGGCGACGGTGCGGAGTGGCATGGTTTCGGTTTCGATCGAACAGTCGTTGTCTCCGCTCGCGCAACGAAGCATCTGCAACTGCAAGCCTTGCCGAAGTTGCCCTCACGTGTTTGTGAACATGGTTGCACGAAAGAGGCACCAGCTGGGACACTTGCAATTCATTGTTTTACGTTTGCCTACTTTTGACGAAAATCTGGCACGTTGGGAACCAGTAAAACGGTGGCAAGGGTTTTATTCTGGAATTGCTCAGCAATGCTACAGTACAGTACTCTTGTGGGATTTCTCAGCAGTAAAAAACACAAGCAGTGAGTTGCGTCACAACACGTCACGTCAGAGCACAGCACAATACAAAGTGCCCTTTGTTTCTATAGCACTTAAAACTAATATTTTTATTTTTCTAAGAATATCGGCTTCAACATTGCTCCGAAACACTGTCTTGGTTGCTCCAAAGCCCAGATTTGCTGCTCCAAAACACTCTTTTGGCTGCTTCGATATGTTCTCCAAAATGGCTTAGGCCAATCCCATCACTGCACTGTGGGCAAGCACAAGTAGAAGCGGGCGGGAGAAGCGCTATTTTTTATTCGTCTTTGTCCGTAGCACTACTATTTGTGTCCATTTTGCATTCATTCAACTAGCCCAATAGTTCATGTTGGTACACCGACATGCCGCTCAGCATCAGTGTAAGGAACAGTGGAAGTGATTGTTGAGCGTGCGGTTCTTCCAGAGTGTGGGCCGGCTGAGCCAGCGGGTGCGGCAGTCCCGGCCGTCCCTTGCTCTGGCGGCCGCCCTGGTGCCAGCCGTCGCCGCTGCTCCCGCCACAGAGGACTGCCCGGTCCCTGCCGCAGTCCCTGACAAAGGGAGCCGGGGGCCAGTTTGGGTCCCCGTAGCTCCCCAGCGCTCCAAAAGGAGCTTTGGGGCGAGAGCTCGGGGCAAGGGCAAGAAGCGCAAGGCCAGCACTGGGACCCCAGCCGTGGGAACGAAGACCGAGCAGGCACCGGGCCCCCAGGTGAGCGGTGCTGGCACCCTCTCGGGCCGGCCCGTGCTAGAAATGTGCGGACAAACGGGGACGAGGCAGTGATCGTTGGCGGATGTTTTGGATCGTTGTTCTTTGTGCGTTTATGCATCCTGCAAACCTTGTTTTCATGAATTGCTAGATTGGTGTTGTTTGAAGCAACTGCGGAAGAATGGAGGTGCCTTTTTCTTGAGCTTGGATGCAGGACGGGGTTCAGCTGTCTTCAGGGATATTGTGGTAGTGTCTAAAATGAAAGAAGCTATACACAAGCATAAACAGTGCAGCATGTACCACATTGTTCTGTTTCGTTTTTTGTATTATACCGGTATTGTATAGGTTCCTTCAGCTTACACAGTGCTGTTATGTCCCAAAAGATACCCCAACCGTAAAGATAGGTGACCCTCCCTTGTTTTCTGTTCAGTCTTTCCTCTTGAAGAATGCTAACAGCCCACGCCCCATAAACAGTGGGAGACGGATTCCTGTCACTCGCGTGATATAGGCAATCTTAGTTTGGTGGGGGTCCAAAGTTTGTTCCAACAAATTTGGAACCTTCGCCTGGATATACAGTGTAATCCACTTATAACGATAATGAGAAAACCCGAATATTCAATCGTTATAACCGAATATTGTTCTATATAGACTAGGCACTGAGCGTTTCTAGTCTAGAAACTGCTCGTTATAAGTAGTACATTGTTATATGCGGTATCATTATAAGTGGATTGCACTCTGGCAGGCTGACAAATATTTGTGCTAAGAAAAAAAAAAAAAAGAAATTGATTTTGACAGTGATAGTTACTGCTTCTTTGACATTTTAGGAGAGAACTGTATCCTTTTTTATTTTTGAAGGAATCATGGCATTGCTGCTGTTTAGGCAGGGCACCTAAAATGCAGATATTTGTCCGTAAAGATTTATGTCAATGCTTTGGGACAACGAACCGAAAGAAAAGTTAGCCTGTCGCCTCTTTCTGCCCGATTTGGCCTATGGAACGCGGCTATCTTTCAGCACATCACGTTACTTGTCATATTGAATTTTTACTGAAACAAAAAATGATCTTTAGGATAGTGACTTTACCGTGATCTGTTGAATTTAGCAGGGAAATTTTCCCACTAAATAGGAGGGGAGCAGGAGAGGAGGAGGGGAAGGTATGGGAAGGGGCGTACCCTATCTTCCGTACCCTCCCCTCTTCCTCCTCAAGAGCTGAGCTTTAATTCGGCACTATAAAGTTCAAAGTTACGCCGCGTCCTGTCTAGTTCTCCCTTCGTTTTTAGAGCGCAGCTCTTAGGGGCCCGTTCCCGGCTTGAGCGGCGTCGCCGTTGGCATCGCCGTCGGCGTAACCAAGGTCACCCCAGGGTCACATGACCCCCAAGGTCATCCCAAGGTCACGGGACCCCCCCCCCCCCCCCCCCCCCCCCCCGAGGTCACGTGACCCCCCGAAGTCACGTGACACCCCTCGAGGTCACGTGACCCCCTGAGGTCACGTGAACCCCCGAGGTCATCATCACAGATGACGTCATCAGTGACGTCACTGATGACGTCACCGACATCATCATCGTCATCATCGCTGATGACGTCATCGGAGTCCGCATCGTCAACGTCACTGATGACGTCACTAATGACGTCATCAGTGACGTCACTAATGACATTATCGGCATCGTCACGTGACCCCTCAAGGTCACGTGACCCCCCCAGGTCACTTCACCCCCCCAGTACCCTTCCCTCCTCCTCAAGAGCTGCGCTCTAATTCGGCGTTACAGGGAGTTGTAAACGGCTTTCACTTTTTTGTCCCTGTTGTTTTGGCATATTACACCATCATGCAAAACCAACTAGCCCAACTAGCCATCCTTACACAGTATAGAGAATTGTAAACGTCTTTCACTTTTTATTTTTCAGTTTGACGACGCTGTACCAGGGGTCTCTGGGATCAGGATGCCTGCCAAGAGAACCCAGCCGGACCGAGAGATCAAAACCGAATGTGCCAGGTGTGGCTCACCGGGCGACAGCACAAACCTTGTCGTGTGAGTTGTCTGGAAGTCTTTTTGTCTTTTTGCATGGCACATTTTATGACGTGCAGGTGCAGGGCACATAATGTTACGACAACGCAGGAGGTCCGTTGAAGACGATACAGGCTGTGTCGTCTGTATCATTTTCTATGTCCCTCTTTTGTTATCGTAATTTAGACACCAATGTGCTCAATCAGCCACATTAATATAATTTTTTTGGTACACCTTTTTGTGTAGTAGAAGGATGTCTACATTCTATTTTACACACCAAATCCGAGCACAGCCAACGCTACGACCAGACGGAGCCAATCAAGCAGCGCTAAAAGTGCATTATCACGATGCTTGTCATCTTTGTGCACTTTCCCGATCCGTGCGATTAGTAAAGCTTGTCATAGCCTGAAAAGAATCTGCTTGCTTTGATTGGAGCTTCCAAATTATATGCTGCATCCTGTCGGCTCATGGTAGCCTCATGCAAAGCAGAGACTTGCCTGTAAAGTCCCCTCGCTAGCGGCTACGCTCACCAGAAAACCGTAAGGATCAGGAATGAGGTGGCAATGCCTGTATCGATCTGCTGACCCTCTCTTGTTCCTATACCTTAAACTTCTATTTCTCTCTGCTGATGTCCCAAGTTGATAACCTCTTCAGTTGGCAGTTACGGGGCTCTTGTACAAGGACGGGTCCATGAGCCTCCTGCTTCTTTCTATTCAATGTCGGGCAGGTGCGATGACTGCAAGAAGGGCTACCACTTCCTGTGCCTGTACCCTCCCGTGCGCAAGAGCCCCAAGGCAAGAGGATACACCTGGAACTGCGAGGAGTGCAACTCCTCGGTGAGCAGTCGGTAGTTTGCACTGTCTGAAGAGCAACTTGCTTGAAGCATTAGGTTGTTTTTGTTGGAAGTGCCAATGTACTAGAAGGGTCTCGTGTATAGGTAGTGGGATATTATCATCCCTTCAAAGTGAAGTCAGGTGGTTTGATTGATAAATTTTATAGTTCCCAGCCTGATTTTTCTCACGGCCCTAGATCAAAGAAGGAAATGCATAGTCCCAGCACACAGAAAAAGTCTGGGAGAGAAGATCACAATGCTGTTTTTATTTTCTTGGTGCTTTCTTTCATTGAGTGTGGCGAGAATGTGCTGTGCGAGGCGCGAGTAACTGCGAGGTGTTTAGGCGAGGGCTTTCAGTCTCCCTTAAGTTTGGGATTGTAGCGCAACACTCACGATTTATTGGCCGTTGCACATTCAGACAGCATGTGTCTGGCACCCCACAGTAAGCGCTGCTCGTTGGTACAGTGCGTGAACCATGCTCGTCAACTGTATGCTGACTAACTCTTTGCTCCTGTGTCCTCTGCACCCATCTTTGCAGTAGGAGCACCGCATGCACCCTAACAAAAGGCAGAGAAGAGTAAGCATCCATGTCGATTCTGTCGCCACGGTGCTGTGATTGAAGTTAGCCCCGCGATGTACCTCAAGATCTCGGGAAAGCGTGTGCCAGAAACATGTTACGCGGAGCGAGGATCTTATTGCTTGAAATGGTTGATTATCGTAATGCTTTCCTGAACTGTGTGCTGTTATCCCGCACCTAGTCTTGAACCATGCATTTGATTTGTCTCTGGCACGCTTCGTGAAGTTGTGTTTTCTGGTTGTGCGAAAGAGCGGTGGTTTTTCCGCTTACGCGAGCATCGATTGAGTAATCGGCGAAGTGGAAGGAACGTTGCGAATCGTCTCTGCACGTATTACCGTGAAGGGCATGAAGCATGAATGGATGGTGTGTCGAATGGAGAAACAAACGACTTAGTGTAATCTGCATTAGATTTTAGTGTGCCATAGATCTCTTTAATGCTTCACTGATTAGCCTAACCGTTGAAGACTCAGGAGGGAAGGGGGTAATGTCAATCATGAGCACTTGTTGTCACTGACGGGGTGAGAACGGCAGGGCGGCCCCTCAGTTGCCCCAACTCCGACACAAGCTTCCTACATTCGATAACACTTGGGTGCCTCGTGGGCCTCCAGCACGCATGCGCAGCCAAAGCGTGGCAGAAGGCGACGAGCGAGTGCTGGAAGCCGGGCCTCGGAAAGAGACACCCTGCCTTTCTCATTCGGCCGGTGACTGTGGTAGGGTAGGGGAGGGAGGGGGAGGGGAGTTTGCTGAGATATGAAGTTACGTCCGAAACGTTGCCCAGATCTATCTTGTTGACCCAGTATTTACTATATCACCAAAAACTGACCTTTTGGCTGATGTATATCAATTTTTTCGTTAAAAACGCTTTCAGCCTTTCCACTCTGGTGAACAAGGAAAAGCAGCAGAGCTGTACTATGGAGCGACGGCGCCAACCAGACAACTGGCAAGTTGGTTGTGTGGTTGCCGCCGTCGCTCATATATGGTGGTAGCTGTCCAGGGGGTTGTGTCGAGAATTATTTGTCCACAGACACGAAATGGGGAAACTAGCCCTAAACAGCTCCTCTGTAAAAAGTTGACCTTAAAGGGCAACTCCGCTCAATTCCGAAAAATTTAGGCTTCCATGTGATTCACATTCACAAAGCACTACTAAACAACTCTACGTCTTCGGATTCGCGAAATGTGGAATATTATTTGTGTAATCCTAATTTAAACGTCAGCAGATACCGAAACCGAAACTTCGGTTGCGTCAGGCAACATCGGTCTCGGGTCGTCAAAGGCATGCGCGTCACGTCGAACCACGTGGTCTTGTGACGTTCGGGAGGGAGCGAGAAACAGGACACGCGACGCGGGCAGGTTTTTTTTTTTTTTTTTTTTTTTTATTGGACGCGGGAAGGTCGCTTCGCGTGGCGTGGACGGTGATGGCCTGGGTGAGAGGGGGAAGGGAAAAGACGAAAGAGAAGTGGAGCGGAGAAACAGACCGATAAGCGCGCAGGGCAGCGCAAAGTAGCGCATCCGTGTTACGGTGATCACGTGAACGCCCGGTCAGCCAACACCGGGAGGAGAAACTCATGACGTCATCGTTGCATTTCGCTCTGAGAAATAAAGACAAGCAAAACGTGAGAATGACGTACATGCCTCTGACGTAGTGGCTCAACGTTGGCCGCTCCAGCTCCGTGGCATTGACTGCGCTGATGATTGCGCCTCGCGCCGCACGCTAGAGTTGGCAGATTTCGGCGACTTGGCTCGCTTGAAGGTTTGCCGGCCAGTTTATTAAATAAATAAACGGAATTAGATCGTAATATTTGACGTGGGGTCTTCCTATATGATACTGAAGAGGGCTACATAGTTTTCTAAATATCAAAAATGAAGCGGAGTTGCCCTTTAAGGAACTTGGGGAGGAGGAAATCATCCAACCCTTCCCCCCCCCCCCCCCCCCCCTCCCTCCCTAAATCTGCCGCTGCCTACGGCGCGAGCTTTCTACCTTCGACAATGTTTCAATGTCTTGGGCTCCTCAAGTGCATGTGCCATGCCTTTCTTATTCTGCGAGTGACTGCAGTATGAGTAGGCCAAGCGATTCTCCCGAAATTCCAATGTATCCTTATTTCACATCAAATAGAACATAAATAATGTTGCGTGTGGAAGCGTCTTTGTTACTTAGCATTTGTCAGCTGTTCATTAGCAGCTGTCACAACCAGCTCTCTGCTTGTGCATATAATGTCCCCCACTCAGCTCGAGCCTCGTACGAGAAACATCCTACACCTTTCACAATCGAGGACATTGATTGGGCGTCACTTTCAAGGACAGGCAATGATGTCTTTGGAGCAAAAAAATAGTGATACAATGAAATAGGCCTCCTTATATTTTGGTAAGCGGAGTGTGTTGAAACAGCTGTGTCGTGTCTGCGAGTGGAATGCGGTAGGAGCTAAACTTTCCCACATATTATTTGCATGCTGGTGTCATGTTACGTACATATTTATGTTAATCTCCTCGTTTAGAAAGGACACTGAAGATAAGTATTTTTGCTTTTGTATTTATTTGAAGGATGAAGAGGACCAGAAGAAAATCCGGATTCCATAGAGCCATGTTGTATTTCTTCTTTTTTTTTCCTGTGCCATTATTGGTGTTTGTTCGTGCTGTCACACAATGTGCATTCTTTTTACTACCACAATTAAATGTGAGTGCCTGTGATAGACCTTCTCTGTATATGTCAATTGAATAAATATCTATAAAACATTCAGTCATGTTTTTCTAGTTTATTTTCGAAGTGATTAAGCTATGTGTGGCATATACGAGAAAAGCAAATCTGGGCATAGGTCTATCAATAAATAAGCCAGAAGGAACTTGTGAGTGAATTTTAGCTGTGTTTGGTTAGTAGTGACATAGACTTTCATCAGTGACGAATACAGAGGGGGGGGTCCGGATGTCCCGACCAATGTAAAAATTGGGGGTGGGGAACTGGAGGGGGCGTTTTCAAACTTGCAATAAACCAGGGGTGGCCAGGCTGACCTGGCCTAAGAGCCGCAAACAAAACCACGAAACTTCTAAGAACCGCGGGGGGGGGAGGGAACTTAATTTTTTTCAGAGTCTGACTGTACGTATGGGAGCACAAGGCTGTACGGCTGTACGTATGGGAGCACAAGGCTGTCAAACTGCAAGCTGCAGTATGCTTTATTCTGAAATCCTTTCTTTGTTTTTTTTCCTGGGAAGACGCGGAAAGGGGCCGGAAAGGGGCGAAGGAGGGGGGGGGGGGGGGGGTCCCCTCACGAGGATCCGCGATCCGCACTTGGACCAGCAAAGAGCCGCATGCGGCTCGCGAGCCCCTGCAATAAACTGTCCCCCCCCCCCCCCCCCCCCTGTAAATACCTGCATCTGCCCCTGACTTTCATTCACCCTTCTACCTACGAAATAGGATGTGACTACAACTAGAGTGTGGCTCAACAATAGAGGTGCTGTCAAGACTGAGATATAGATCTCGGTTACCTCACCAAGTACAACACATTCAAAGATGCTAACCATAAGGCATGAATGTAGATTTTTAAAAGAAATGAATTGAAAGTGGTAAGTGTACCATCTGTGCTTACAATAAGTTTGTAATAGTGACCTTCATATCCTTTGTAGCACTGAGCCAGGCACTTTTCCTGTTGGTGAAATCACTTTTGCCGCACAAGAGAACCGCATGTCTGACTAAAAGTAAAGTATGTTCTTTTACTTTCTGGGTCTTAACCATTGTCGGCGAAGCTGGCCTCTGCTACTCACTGAATGGTAACTATAGGTAATCATTCAGGGCCTTGTCCCATTTATAGGACGACGAAGCGCATGAACGCAAGGAGGCGAATGACGTTGGCTACAGTGAAGGGATCCTATTTCCTCAATGAGGATTCCCGAAAATCGCTTGTAACTTTTTAATTGGATGATGACAAGCTCTGAAGGTCTGACACTTGGTCCGCCTGGTAGTATTACATTTGGGCGAAGACTGAGTGTTCAGCGATATGCATGTTCATTTTTGTGGTGAATAGACTGGAGTCTGAGAAACACGGGACAGGTGTTTAGATTTCTTAGACTTTGTACCGTCTATTTCACACTGTTTTTAATGATGATCACCAACTAGCCCGAAAATCCACTATTTTACTGCTTATTACAGCTCTGGGGTATAGTTACAGTTTGTGAACTTAATGAAATTCCGTGTTATTAAAAAAAAAAACAGACGTGCTGGGTGAAAGCCATGCATCATGCATTTACCATAAGTTTTTTTTATGTACAATGAAAGGAAACTATTACACTGGTTGGTTTTAATTACCAGCATGAAGTGCCAATTTAAACAAAACTAATTACTGTACTTGAAGTGTTTATTTTATAAATAGAGTTTTGTATTGGTATTTTGCGCATATTTATCTTTTATATGTTGGAATTATACCAACTAAAGCTATTAAAATATAAAAAAAGGAGCAGGCATAAATTTTCGCAGAATTTATTTGGGACCATTTTGTCCGGTTTCGCATTTTGACATACGCGATCTGGCTCTTTTCATAATTGAATGACTGAAGAGAAATAAAACTACTGGTTGTTTGTAAGAAATCTGAACCAGACTTTTCGCACCGCAAAAATAAACTAGACATCGCAGAGAGCTCAAACTCCGCCAGAACATAGCCCCAGCCGTTCGAGCAAGATGCCAAGTTTCAGCTCCGACCGTTATCTTATTCAAACGTTATAAGTGATTTTTTGAAGTTTTCAATGAGAAAATGGGGCCCATTTTCGCACGTTTTCAGTTTCTGGCATCATAGAGCTCCGTGTAATCGAGAGCTCCGTCGGCCGCCATTTTCTCATTGAAATTTCCAGAAAATCGCTTAACTTTTGAATAAGATAACGGTTGGAGCTGAAACGACTGAAACTATGGCATCTTGCTCGAGGCTACGTTTTGACGGAGTTGGAGCTCCCCGCAATGTCTTTACAGTGATGTTCCATGCAGGGAATTTTCCCTTTTTCAGGAAATTTCCGGTCTCAATTTTGGTGAAAAGGGAAATGGGAATTTTTAACACATTTGCAGGGAATTTTAAGGATTAACGAGGGAATCCGGGAAAAGCTTTAGGGAGCTAAACACACTAAGAAGTCGAGTGGTCCAAAGGTTTTAAGAAGAGAAAGAAAGTTGTGGTGCAGGAAAAAGGTGTCTGAACGACTCATTTTGAAGTAGGTTTAGGAAACTTCTACTTAACTTGAAGTATGTTCTCCGCGTATGTACTTGTACATTATTTGAAGCAATTTTTTCCAGTACTTTCCGAGCAAAAGTACAACTTCCGACTACAATACATACTCCAAATTTGAAAAAAAGAAAAGTGTATTGTTATGTAAAAACACACTATTGTTTTTCAAGGTGTCATTTGGTAATTCCTTTTGAGTGAAGTAATGGCGGCTATAAGACCGATGCAAATAAGTGCCTTATAGGTTGACGGTGTTAAATAGTTTGTCAGCGAGTGTGAGATGACTACTCCGTGGCCACTTTATTTTGGAAAATAACTGATGCATCTCGATTACCCCCATGAAAGATTATGTTAAAAAGTACTTGTAATTTACTTTGGAAGTACATGATATGAAAGGCCCGTTCACACTCTTGCGACTGAGAGGGGCCAGATCGGTATTTAGGCCTCTTGCTACTTCTTAGGACCAGCTCCGCAGCAGCGCATCCGGTCCTAAGAAGTCTCAAAATGCTTAAAAACTGGTCTGGTTTCTCTCGGTCTTACTCAGTCACAAAGGTGTGAACGGCGGGTCCATATCACAAGAGCGAATGACATTTTAGCGAACGGCGACATTTGAGCGAATGTTCGTTTTAGCGAATAACGGGGGCGCGCGTTAACCCATCCGTCGCGCTGCGCTTTACGCCGCTTCGCGGCGACAGTCTGCGGCAACTCATTACAAAAATATGAACTCGCTTGGCCCACCCGAAAACGCCGCTTCGCGGCGTCCGACTATTCGCTAAAGTGTCGTTCGATGAAACGTGGGCGTTCGCTAAAACGTCATTCGATCAAGTGAGTGCCTCCCACGTAAAGACAGGGGACTCTTGCCCCCCTCCTTTTAACTTTCCCTAGGCGAAGCGTCCGGCAATAAATAATTTGTTTGTTGAAAGATGTGTTGTCCCGTCCCCTGTCTTTACGTATACAACTCTTTCTAAACTGGAATTGCTTCTGGAAACCTGAAACCCCAGGTCCAACCCAGATAGCGAAGTTATACTGGGCTTCTCAGCAGGGCAGTAACATTTTCTTATTTTTAAACATGAGATTTCACGCAGCTTTCGTGGTAAAATGTGCGCATAGTGGCCTGCATAACCACAGAAATCAGCTGATGTGAAAATAAAGGTATCAAATGCAGGGAAATAACGCGGGGATATTTCAAGATTTTGCAGAGAAAAAGTACCTAAAAAAGGGAATCTTTGTACCCAAGAAAGGAAATTCTTGGACATGGTATGGCATCACACATCACTGTGTGTTTATATTAGCGGTGCGCAAAGCCGGGTTCGGATTTCTCACAAAGAATCGGCACCTCAGGTGTCTTTGAAAGCTCAAGGCTCAAGTTCAAACCTCAACACTCCTTTTGGTGTACTCCGCCAGCGTCCCGGCTCAGAAGGCAGGCAGGTGGTGGGCGATGGGCGTTTGGTTTCGGTTTAAAAATGTCGGTGCTCCACGGGACACCTGACAACCGGCGAGCCGACGTAGTCTTTGGCTCGGTGCCAGTACTTTCAAAGCGTTCGTTTGAGCATATGGTCTGAGTCACTGGAAGCGAAGCGCGTCATAGCTCTTGACAGGCCGTGACCGTGAAAACCGTACGGAAACGGGAGAAACCTGGGCGAGTACTACGGGCTATTGAGCGGGTGGAAACAAGACAAAGCCGCATCCCTGCACTGCCGCGTTTTATAGAGCAGCCGGTACTGTGAAGACAGCGCCAACATCCTCCTCCCATCGTTTACCACTTATTGAAGAACCCGTATTCACGCACTGCCGCGTTTTCAGCCTCGCTGTCCACGTCTGGTCTGCATGACGGGCGCGGCGAAGGGGAGCTGGGAGATCAATCTGGCAGGTGTAATCTCGAAGTATGTGCAACCCCCATGCGGTGGAATCTGCGAGAAAAAACTGGTAAAACAAAGGCTCGCAGTGTTCCAGCTTTCTGTTCCACCTGTCGTACGGGCAGCTCGATCGAGCAAGCATCCCCGAAAGAAATGCGTTACAACAAACCAAAAATACGATACAATCAACCGTAACCTCGACTCTTTTTTTTTCTTTTTAATCGGAAGGTCTACTGTTGGATCGACGGCACCCAAAACTCGAAAGTGACTCTTTTCTAGGCACTGTAGTGACTCTCAACGCTAAAAGCGAAAAAAAAAAAAAAAAAAAAAAAAAAAAAACATATGGCGATTAGCGGTGGTGTTCGCGGATTTCTGGAAAGTTAAAAAAAAAAAAAAAGGGGGGGCTGGGGGGGGATACGACCATAGACGCCGACATTTGCTCCACCTCAACGATGATAGAAAAGCAGACAGACTGAAGAGGACAAAAGCTAAACATTTTTAAACGCGGTTTCCTACCGCCCCATCAGCGGCGAGTCGTTATTTCCTACACAAGTGTCGCGATAACTTGACCAACCGGACCGCAGGCGCTAATGTTGCGCCAGTCCAGCCAGTCAAGTCAAACTTCAAAAGAGAGAGAAAAAAAAAAAAAAAAAAAACGACGCAAGAAAAGGAAAAAGAGGCGGCAATCATTTCCGCCGCTTCTGGAAGGTTCTCTTCGTTTCGTGAACGAACATCAGCGCCCCCAAAGATCCCGCCAGTGGCGAAAGATATGGTGAACACCCCTCGGCTGCGCAAATATTAGCCGGCTCTGAATCTACTGCAGAGCCGCTCTGATCTGCTGATCTGCTGGGCTTGTTCAGAGATATACGGCTCTGGGCTTGTTAACGTCGGTTCGACACCTACCGGCAACTCGGCACAGCAAAGAAAAAGCCCACGTGACCGGACAGGAAAATAGCTTGGAGTGGACTCACTTTAATATTGCTGACTGCGATCTTTTCTGCGGAGCTTGGGACACGGCGAATTCTGATTGGCTAGAAACGGGGCTCTAGAATATTCTCCGTGACGTCACGGCTACATAAAAGTCGGCGAAGAACGACCATTTTGGATCGAGAACGGCTCGTGCTGTAACCGAAGAAAAATTAGTGAGTGTTCCCGGCTGTATATATAATTTATTTTAAAGAGAAACTCTCTGGGTTACGGTGAGTTACTGATCTCGCTTCTGTCTTGCTAAACTGTTCCGAAGATTGTGCCAGTCTATTCGTAAATTCGCACGGTGAAGCGTCTCATTGAAGGACATTTGCTCTTCTTTTTTTTTAGGCATGGCGAAGGTACCAGCTATCGGAATTGACCTGGGCACGACTTACTCCTGCGTCGGAGTGTTCCAGCACGGAAAGGTCGAGATCATCGCCAACGACCAGGGGAACCGAACCACACCTAGCTATGTGGCCTTCACGGACACGGAGCGACTCATCGGGGATGCCGCGAAAAATCAGGTTGCGATGAACCCGAACAACACAGTCTTCGGTAAGTCTAAAATCAGATGTGACCTTCCAAATCGCCACCTTTACTCATTCATTGGTATCGGGGATGTGTGAATCTTGCACGGAGCAGCGTGGAGGAAGTGCCGGCGGGAGTGGAAAGTAGGCTTAGCGTGCCGGGAGGGCGGGCGGTTGCCCCATTGTGCACACCTCGTGGCAAGCTCGTGTGTTTTCCGATGCGCACGATGCCGTTCATGGAGTGCTACATTAAAAGGGGAGAATATTAGCAAGGTGGTTTTTGGTTTTGTTACCGCTTTGCCAGTCGACTTCCCGACACCACTTACGAATGAATGAATGGGGTGGGAGGAGTTAGGGCTAGGTTGGACCGCATGTTTTCTGTGCTTACCGTTTGCGGTCTCTTACCTCCGCAGATGCTAAACGGCTGATCGGTCGTCGTTTCGATGACCCCGCCGTCCAGTCCGACATGAAGCACTGGCCGTTCGACGTGGTTAGCGATGGCGGAAAGCCCAAGATCCAGGTTGAATATAAGGGCGAGACGAAAACCTTCTTCCCCGAAGAGATCTCGTCGATGGTGCTCACCAAGATGAAGGAAATTGCAGAAGCCTATCTTGGCAAGACCGTCACCAACGCCGTGGTAACTGTTCCGGCCTACTTCAACGACTCGCAGCGCCAGGCAACCAAGGACGCCGGCACAATCGCTGGTCTCAACGTGCTCCGTATCATCAATGAGCCGACAGCGGCAGCCATTGCCTACGGCCTGGACAAGAGGGGGACCGGCGAACGGAACGTGCTCATCTTCGACTTGGGCGGCGGTACCTTCGATGTGTCTATTCTGACCATCGAGGACGGAATCTTCGAGGTGAAGTCGACGGCCGGTGACACACACTTGGGTGGTGAGGACTTCGACAACCGCATGGTGAACCACTTCGTGCAAGAGTTCAAGCGCAAGCACAAGAAGGACCTGACCGTGAACAAGAGGGCACTGAGGCGATTGAGGACTGCCTGCGAGAGGGCCAAGCGTACCCTGTCTTCCAGCACACAGGCTAGGTAGGTTTTTACTTGTCTAACTTGCTCTCAAGCATTGGTTACAAAGATTGCAGGCTTATGGACTCTTGGGGGTTTTAAAGCACTTCGGTGTACCTTCCTCAATAATAGACGAGCTTTGAAAGTTACCTTTTCTCCCTTCATTGTTTTTATTTAATTCGTAGCGAATTGCACTTGTTGCTTTGGCGGGAGTATTGAATGAATATTTTATTTGCAGCATCGAGATTGACTCTCTCTTCGAGGGTGTCGACTTCTACTCGACCATCACCAGGGCTCGTTTTGAAGAGCTGAATGCCGACCTGTTCCGTAGTACTCTGGAGCCTGTGGAGAAGGCCTTGCGCGATGCCAAGTTGGACAAGTCTCAGGTGCACGACATTGTGCTGGTGGGTGGCTCCACCCGTATCCCCAAGATCCAGAAGCTGCTTCAGGACTTCTTCAATGGCAAGGAGCTGAACAAGTCCATCAACCCGGACGAGGCTGTAGCCTACGGAGCTGCTGTACAAGCTGCCATCCTGATCGGCGATAAGTCCGAGCAAGTCCAGGACCTCCTGCTGTTAGACGTTACCCCCCTGTCGCTGGGTATCGAGACTGCCGGCGGAGTGATGACAGTCCTCATCAAGCGCAACACAACCATTCCCACCCGCCAGACGCAGACCTTTACCACCTACTCGGACAACCAGCCTGGAGTGCTCATCCAGGTGTTTGAGGGTGAGCGGGCGATGACCAAAGACAACAACCTGCTCGGGAAGTTCGAGCTCACAGGCATTCCACCGGCGCCCAGGGGTGTCCCTCAAATCGAGGTGACGTTCGACATCGATGCAAACGGCATCCTGAACGTGTCTGCAGTGGACAAGAGCACCGGCAAGGAGAACAAGATCACCATCACGAACGACAAAGGTCGCCTGTCCAAGGAAGAGATAGAAAGGATGGTGAAGGATGCAGAGAAGTACAAGGACGAAGACGACAAGCAGAAGACGAGGATCACTGCCAAGAATGCGCTGGAGAGCTACTCGTTCAACATCAAATCTACTGTCGAGGATGAGAAGCTCAAGGACAAGCTGTCGGAGGATGACCGCAAGAAGATCCTTGAGAAGGTGGAGGAGACCATCAAGTGGTTGGACACAAACCAGGTAGGTGTTTTATTTTATTGAGGACTGGCATAGGGCACTCAAGGTGTTCCACTTTAGAGGGGTTGTGTACTGTTGACTTTCGTTTATTCTAAACCCTTTCTCATTTGTGCAGCTTGCCGACAAAGAGGAGTATGAGCACCGGCAGAAGGAGCTTGAGCAGGTGTGCAACCCCATCATCACCAAGCTGTACCAGGATGGTGGCATGCCAGCTGGTGGTTTCCCTGGAGCTGGAGCTCCTGGTGGAGCGGGTGCTGCACCTGGTGCTGGTGCTGGCAGCGGACCAACCATTGAAGAAGTCGACTGAGCGTTTCAGCTTTGTGTTCGTTTTGGTCTTTTGCTTACCAAGTTATGTTCAATAAAAGACCCCTTGGAGCTGCTACCAGCTTTGTAGCTGTTTCCATGATGTAAATATCTATTCAGAGCGAAATAAAATGGTGACCTTTGAAGTAAATCCCCAAGTTTCCTTGTGTACGTTAGAGACTGCTGCTGGCCGTGAATAAAGTTCCAAAGGCACGCAGTTACTTTGGGGGACAAACTGGTTAAAGTAGATTGTTTGAGACGAGGTTAGTTTCTGACACCAGTCTCTGGTTTAAATTTTTTATAACTTGCACCATCTCGCCTGCACTTTTTTAATTAAAGGGCGCAGCGCTGACGGTGAGATGTGCCGGTAAGCCGAAGGCCGTTCGCTGCGAAACTGACGGCGCTGGCAGCGCGAGGTAAATCGGAGGGGTGCCGGTCTCTCTCGCGGAGGTGATCGCGCAAATTGACGTTAGTGCAAACTAAATTGCGCATTGCTCGCACGCCGCACAAGTAGGCGGGTAGCTGTTTGTGGTTAACATATTTGGGAACTTTAAGGACATCTACTCTTGTCGCCATATTGGCCCAACATTGATTTGCGCCATGCAGGCACAGGAGTGCGTGCGTCACGTGGATGAACAAACACGTCGACGAACACCGACTGAAGCTAAAGGTGTGCTCACGCACTTTTCCTCTCGTCAGAAATGCCACAAAAAGTTGTCCACACAAATTGCGCGCAAAACCGCATAGGAGAGTTCAAGTGCGTTATGCGAAGCCGTGCTTCGGAAACCTCGAGAAAAAACCACTGATCTCAGTGGAGAAAAGAAACCAAGAACGCAAGAACCATAGGCAACAACACTTTGCTGAGCCTGTGCCTCATTACGTTTCCAAAAGCACCATCGCCACCGCAATGAAATGTGTGACGTCATTCGCAAATGGCTTCCTTTTCTGCGCTTCTTCCCAGGGGGAAGGGTCGCAACACGTGTGGTTGGTTGAACTAACAATTCTTAAAGATGGCACAGTACAATTTCAAGAAAATTGAGGTGGTTCCCACCTCTAAGGTGAGTGATTTGCCTCTGGCCCTTCTCAAGGCTAGGTCGTCTCGCCGAAAGACTGTTTGGCAACGTTATGCCAGCTGGCTGGACGAGTGTTGTTGCTGTATCAAATGTCATCCTGCGGAATAACCAATAAATCGGGCGTGCTTTGCTCATTTATTTTCTTTAATTAATAACACGGGCAATTTTATTTTCAACGGCCTCATTTGCGGTCTATTCGTTCTAGTAATTAATCTTGGTTCTCTTCTGCTACAGGACTTCGTAGATACCATCCTCTCGAAAACACAGAGGAAAACCCCCACTGTCGTTCATCGACACTACAAAATAACTAGGATCCGGCAGTTCTACATGCGAAAAGTGAAGTTCACCCAGCAGAACTTTCATGATCGCCTGAGCAAGCTCCTGTCCGATTTTCCGAAGCTTGAGGTGAGCCTGCCAGTTCATCTGTGATAACTTAACTATTGCCCCCCCCCCCACCCCCCACCCCACCCCGGCCAAAAAAAAAAAGAACATTACAGAAAAGAAAAGAAAGAGTTTTGTGTTTTCTCGGACTCAATATGTTAGGTTTTCTTGTACTGTTCCCCATGCTCCTTTCCTAAATAATCTAGTAACTTAAAAAAAAAAAAAAATATATATATATATATATATATATATATATTATACAGATTGTTATTTTAGTACCTTGAACGACATCAGTACAAACAATGCCTGGATTGCCTCACAGGGAACTAGGTGACATTCATCACTTCTTTTTTTCCCCAGGACATTCATCCATTTTATGCCGACCTCATGAATGTCCTATATGATAAAGATCACTACAAGCTGTCCCTGGGGCAGCTCAATATGGCCCTTCATCTGATTGATAAGTGAGTAGAGACTACCCCATTCCTTTGGGTCTTGTATATGTAATATTTGATTGCAGTTTCCAGCCTGAACTCATTTTGTACCTTGTCTTCGTCGCAAGAAGCGGGAGAGTTTGGTCTTTAATGTGCAATATTGGTCTCGGAGGGTTCCTTGACCATGATTAAGAACTGAGCTACCATCTGAGTGACAACAACCTACATACATACAATTTTATTCGATGAAAAGTGTGTGACAGGGTTGTGAGACTAAACTATCCTCTACAACGTGGCAAGGCAAGTAGTGCCCAAACTGTAATCTTGCATTTTTGTAACTTTATGAAAAGTCTGTGTTCAGATGCTTTAACTGAGCTACAGTCGGCAGCAAAAGTTTGCAGGTCACTGGAGCACCAGCCAAAATTACTGGCTGCGCCTTCTCATGGTGCGTGGCCGCTCTCAAGACTCGCGCTTCGAGAATGTGCTTCCTTTTGTGTTCGCAGTTGTGTCTTTTTCATTCGCTTCCTTCCGACGTGTACGAGATAACCATGGCTGGTGCAAGGTGTCACTTTGTGAGGCGTTGTGCAGCACATCTGCCTCGGCCAAAGCGATGGGTGACGGTGCTCAGATGCTTCAGATAACATTTCGTGGCACCTTGCGTTTTGTTATCTCGTGTGCGTCAGACGGAAGGAACGAAAGAGAGGGAAAAAAGACATGTCTGTGAACACTGTAGGAAGCGAATGAGCAAAACGTGGGTCTTGAAAGCAGCAACGTGCCATCAGGAGGCGCAGCCAGTCATTTCGGCTGGTGCTCCTGTGTCCCACAAACGTTGCCGCCGACTTTACCTTTGGCTGTGTTTATGGCCGTTACCAGGAGCTAAGAATAGTGCTGCGTTCCATATTGTCTCTGCCATGTTTGAAAATGCCCGTTTCATCATCTGTACCTAGCTGTGTCGCTCCAACCGCTCCCTCGCGTCGTTTTGTGTGCCCTTACAGACTTGAATTCCTTAGCTTTCTTGCTTTGATGCACTCGCTCGCTCCCATTTCCCTTCCACAATCCGAGCGGATAGAATACCCTGCATCGGTTGCTTTGTTGGTTGGCTCCACGGCTCTACCTTGTAATATAAAGGCAGGCTACCTTCAGTGCCGTGTCCGGCCTTATGTGCCGAACCCTCAGCGCTGCTTTAAGTGCCAAAGGTTTGGCCATGGGTTGTGGAACTGTCAGGGTAGCGAGACGTATGCCAAATTTTCTAGTAAGGAACACGTCGCTGATGTGTGTGAGAATGAAGCTCAATGCACTAACTGTAATGGAAAACATCCTCCATACTCCCGATTTTGCCTGTTGTGGAAGCAAGAAAAAAAATTCTCACCTTGAAGTTTAATGAAAACATGTTCTACATTGATGCAGAAAAGTGTTCTGCCTTTGTCTCGAAAGGCTCTTATGCCCAGGCCGTGCATAGGGGACCGGTATGGCCAATGGTTTTGACTGGAAAACAGACGTCTACGGACAATGTGCGCCTCCCTTCGAGGTCTCCTGCGTCATCGGGAGCGATGCCAGTGACACCGCTTTCGAATCGCAAGGTGGATGCTGCCTCCTCAGCATCCATCTCAGAGCAAGGGCTGAGCCCCCCTGCTCCAGCTGGCACTTCGGCCCCTAAGAGCCAAGGCCTACCCCCTCACACCTCTGCTCCCCAGAGGAAGCGCGGAGAGTTGCCGAAGCAGTCGACCCCCAAGGGTCAGCTGCCGGCGGCAACAGACGAGCTCATGGACGAAACTGGGCTCAGGTCCGATGAGGATGCTCCCCTCTCAGGATCGGAGCCCTCTCTTTCTGTCGCCAGTGACCCCACTCGTAAACAGATAGATCCTCCTAAAAGGCAGAGCACCCCGCTTGTAAAAATAGATTTTAAACTTTAACGCTTGTATATATATTTTTTCTTCTCTAAATGGCAAAGAACTATAGTACCATGCAGTGGAATTGCCGTGGTCTTTTCCCTAATATTGATGACATCAATTTTTTTCTTGATGAGCTTCGACCTGTCGCTATATGCCTACAGGGGCTCTAATCTGGACACTTGGCGATAAGCTCGGCGAGAAATCTGGCGGGCGTGATTGGCCAACGTTGCACTTGACCTTGGCGCCGGCCAATCAGAGCGGCGGGATTTCTCGCCGACTTTCTCGCCAAGTGTCCAGATTAGGGCCCCAGGAGACTCATCTCAAGGACGCACAAACAAATGTAAGCCGTCATCAGGTTTTTAGAGAGGACTGTGCATCCCATAGCAACTCCTCTGGTGAAGTAGCTGTGGTTGTGCAGAGTGGTATTGCCTGTGCTTCTGTTCCTCTCACAACCTCTCTAGAAGTAGTGGCAGTTTGTATTCTTCTTGACCGCCTTATTACAGTTGTTTCACGTTACCTGCCACCAAATATTCCACTGCATTTACATGACCTGCATGGACTTGCAGTGCAACTTCCGCAACCTTTTTTAATCTTGGGGGGAGGGGGAGGGGGAGGGGAGGGAGGGAGGGAGGGAGGGAGGGAGGGGAGGGGGGTTTAATGCCCACCATTCCATGTGAGGTAGTGCTTGCCAAGACTCCCATGGTGGTGTCATTGAAAGATTTTTATTGTCATCCGGCCTTTGCCTTTTAAATAAACAAGATCTATATTTTTTAGTACAACTCATAATACTTTAACTTCCATCGATTTGTCTCTTTCATCCCCAACTTCCCTGTTAGTACTGTAGCACCTCCTTCACTTTCAGAACGTATCCCCAGGTGGAAATTCGATAAGCTGACTGGGCTCTTTTTGCATTGGAAGCAGTGCTTGACCCAACTGAACTTTTAGCTATGACCCCTGAAAACGCCACCTTGTGCGTTACTGACCGTATCATGAATGCTGCATCTGCTTCCATTTCACAAACATTTGAGAAACTTCCGAAGTGCCGCATGTCTTGGTGGACCAAAGACTGTACTGTTACGCTTAGATGTCAGAACAGGGCCTGGGGCACTTTTTGCCGCTACCCAACAATCTGGAACAAGATAGAGTTAAAAAAATGTAAAGCAAAGGCTTGTTGGACAAGGAAGCAAGCTAAGAAAAGCTCATGGATGAACTATGTTTCCAAGGTGAACAGTCTTGTTACTTCTCAAGAGGTGTGGGACCGAATGAGGAAACTTCGGGGTGACTACCTCTCTTTTAGGACGCCTCTTTTTACCTCGCCTCCCCAACCTTGAAGGGCCAGGCAAATGTTCTTGTGGAACATTTTTGTGAAGGGGATTTTAAACCAGTTATTAAAAAATCAATTTATGAAATTTAGCAGTTAAAATGGAATCAAGAAACAGACAATAAACTACATAATATCAAACCTTGCTTAGGATTATGGGAGAGTTCCCACCAGAGGAACCGGCTCCACGAGGTCTTGATGTGCCGCTTGTGTATTGGACACTCATTTAACACATCTATATTTACTTTGTAATGACGATACCCCGTGCTGTGAGCATTGTGGCAAAACATAGACTGTCCTACATATTCTGTGGCACTGTAGGTAGGTACACGGATCAAAAATGATGAGCATGTTTTGTACTATTTTTGGATCCCATCTTCCATTTCATCCCGCATTTTACAGCGAAGCTGTTAAGGGCTAAGTTCCCCAGGATCGTGTCCGGTATCAAACGCCTGTCGACACAAACCCACCTGGACAACTACCGCCGTCTATAAGCGAGGGCGGCAAGCACACAACCAGTCTGGTTGCCACCATCGCTCGTAGATGGCGCCAACCTTTCCAGCTGTCATAGAAGAATGGATAGTTGGCCGCGTTGGTGGGAATTCATTGTAGGAAACAGCGCGAAATGACGAACGAAATGACGACGAAAAAGAAGCATGCATAACGAGCGCAGCGCTCGTCAGGTGTGTTACTTCGTCCTCGTCTGTTTTGTGCGCTGTTTCCTACGCTCTTATCAGTTTCGGTTTGGACTTAGGGTGGGTCGGCCGCGCGCGCTTTCGGGAAAGAAGACTGGCTGCGGAAGGAGCGGCGACGTACGCAGCAGCGCGAATGGGTCTGCAACCGCCGCAAAGCCGGTGTTGCCTTGACTTTCACTGCGTTGAGCGCTTTAGATTTCCTTGCCAAAGGAGAGCACATCGCTCGTCTGGAAAGCCTCCGCCGAGAACAGAACCAGCGATGTAAAGGGCGCCGGTGGGCCAACGCCACGGACGACGATCGTGCCACAGAGGCCAAGCGCAAGCGCAAGTCCCAGCGACGACTGCACTCCACGCCGGCTGAACAGTTACCGGGCGCGGCGAGGTTCCGGAGGCAGTTTGTGGATTACCTGTTCGGCGTCACGTGCGCCGTGTGCGACCGACTCTGGTTCGCCGGAGACGTATCCAGAATCGGTGGCATGTCGGACGAGAAGAAGCGGGAAACTGGCGCGTGCGCTTTGCGGCAGTGTTTCGCGTACAGCTCCGCTGGTCTTCCTTCTTCACGAGTGTGGAAAGGCTGAACGTTTTTTGCTAAGAGATGAACCTCTTGTACCTTTCAGTAAAGTTTTGGACTTTCTTAAAATAACAGGCTATCTACACCTGTTATACCCCTCCTTTTTCACCATGTTTTTTTATTTTTCAGATAATTCCTTATTGCTTAGAACTTTTATACATGCCTGAAATTCATGTCCATAGCTTTTACACCGTTTATGTTCATACTTTTATTTCATAACAGCTACTATGGCTCTGTCTTCTCCTTAACCCTTTTCATGCAATAGTTTATGCACCTGGCACATTTTGGCCTAGTTGCTCTCGTGCCATAAAATTCCAATCAATCAATCAATCAATTGCTTTGTCAGAATTGTCTTCTGTTTAAGGAAGGGAGCTGGCAGAGAGCAAGCAAGTGGGGAGAGAGAGCCTAGAATAGGGGAGTGGTCAACTCATTCAATTGTTCTGTCGGGATCTCGTGGTGTGTAGACAATATTAAGTGCCTGATGTCTGTCATCACTGCTGGTAGGTTACATCAAAGTTCCATCAAGGTTGTCTTCGGGACTCATGCAAATTATGAACATTAAAAAATATAACTTTCTTTTAATGACTATCTTTGAAAATTTGTATATGCATACCCGGAAAAAAATTTTTTTAATGAAGACTCATCTAGCTTGTTTAGCTTAAAAAAAAAAAAAAAGTGTTTTCCAGAACTCATTTATGAATTATAATACAATTAAATTTCTTTCAGATAGAAAGATCAAAACAATATTGCAGTCTGCACTGTGTAGTCTGTGATGCTCCAGCTAGCTGCTTGTTTGGAGGAAGGCTTCTAGTCATGAGAGACCGACAACTTAAGCCGCTTATCCTATTCCTTGCTTTCTTCTGGCAGATCACGGTCCCAATTCCTTCTGCTCGTCCCATGCATAGTCTTCACTTACCTAAGTGTGACCACCTTTTTATCCCTGTTTCCTGACTAACGCACCATGACCCTTGCCAGCCACACAATGCAAGATGCTACCAGTCTTCTTCATGCCGAGTGCTTTGTTTTCTGCAATGCCTGACCTCCTTTGAAAGTGATGGCTTTATTGGGAACCCCACATGGACCTTGGTTTGCTCGTGTTGGTGTTAGTCGTGCCGCAACAAGGTCATGGGAGAGAGTGCCGGGAGCAGGCAGGGCTGTTGGTTTGACGTTATAGCGTGTGCAACAAATGACGTGTGGAGGGGAGAGGGGGAAGTGTTAGCGCACTGCTTATTCCCCTCTCTCTCCGCACGGTGCTAGGGTAGGAGGAACTGCGCAATGGTGTTATTGCACCTTCATTGCACTTGACTAAATGTTTTAACCAGGGAATTCTTTTTTCTTTTTAGTTTGTTTTTTGGGTTGTGACATTATTTTCACGAAACAATCGCTTTACAGTGTTGCAAGGGACTATGTGCGCCTGCTGAAGTATGGCGACTCCCTGTACCGGTGCAAGCAGCTGAAGCGAGCTGCGCTCGGACGGTACGGACAATTTGTCTTCCTAGTACAGGCTGGCCCTTGCAAAAGTTGGGAGCCTGACGTGTGTGTGTGTCTTGTGGCCCAGGATGGCGACCATCATGAAGCGGCAGAGCCAGAGCTTGCAGTACCTGGAGCAGGTGCGTCAGCATCTGTCTCGGCTGCCGTCCATCGACCCCAACACGCGGACCCTGCTCATCTGCGGGTTCCCAAACGTTGGCAAGTCAAGCTTCATCAACAAGGTATGGGGCCGTTGTCTTAATGGATTGATACATGGGTTCTATGTTTACTGAACCTTTTGAGACCTCTTGAACCCTGCCCTAATCCTTTCCTTCCTCGTGGGGTCGAGGTCAGCTTTGCTGACTCTTCATCCAAAGACCCAGATTATTAAGGTTCCATGGCTCCTGAACTATGTTGTGAAAATAGTGCTTTTCAAGCATCTAAAACATTTTATTATTTTTTTAGGGGTGCCCAGGGATGGAACTGCTACGCCAATTGCGCCATTGTGCGCCTAATGACTTTTCATGCGCCAGACTGATACAAAAGTATAAATAAGAACAAAATTGCGCCAAGGTGTGCCAAAACTAGGGGTGTTGCGAACCGGTCGAGGTTCGAGTTCGACCAGGTTCGACTTTTTCAAGCTTCTTGTGTAAAGTTTGACAAAGGTTCGACTCAGGTTCGACTGCTATGCGCATGCGCGACAGGCCGACCAGTTAGCTTCGGATTGGATGGCGATGGCTAAGGGATGAATTAAGGGCATCACTGATTGGCTATTTCAGTTAATACAATACAAAAATTAAAATATTAACCCTTTGCGGTAAAATGCCGCAAAGGGTTATCATCTGCGGGTTCCCAAACGTTGGCAAGTCAAGCTTTATCAACAAGGTATGAGGCCGTTGTCTTAATGGATTGATACATGGGTTCTATGTTTACTGAACCTTTTGAGACCTCTTGAACCCTGCCCTAATCCTTTCCTTCCTCGTGGGGTCGAGGTCAGCTTTGCTGACTCTTCATCCAAAGACCCAGATTATTAAGGTTCCATGGCTCCTGAACTATGTTGTGAAAATAGTGCTTTTCAAGCATCTAAAACATTTTTTTTTTTTTTAGGGGTGCCCAGGGATGGAACTGCTACGCCAATTGCGCCATTGTGCGCCTAATGACGTTTCATGCGCCAGACTGATACAAAAGTATAAATAAGAACAAAATTGCGCCAAGGTGTGCCAAAACTAGGGGTGTCGCGAACCGGTCGAGGTTCGAGTTCGACCAGGTTCGACTTTTTCGAGCTTCTTGTGTAAAGTTTGACAAAGGTTCGACTCAGGTTCGACTGCTATGCGCATGCGCGACAGGCCGACCAGTTAGCTTCGGATTGGATGGCGATGGCTAAGGGATGAATTAAGGGCATCACTGATTGGCTATTTCAGTTAATACAATACAAAAATTAAGGTATTAACCCTTTGCGGTAAAATACTCTGACCAACTTAATGGTCATTCCGGTCAGGAACTATTTTGGTTGCATGGGCTCTGAAAAGTAAAATTATTTCGGCGTACAAAGGTAACGTCCTCACACTGAACGTAAGGACAGGAAAGTCCAGGAGATTGTTTGTGTACAAACTCCGGAACAATGTTTGTGGCGGGGTGGCTCCACGGTTGCTGTCTTGCACAGTCATTTCATGTTCATCACTACTTTCACTCAAGTCACAGAGGTCGCCTCTCTATCATCTGATGGAGGGATACAGTCGTCCTCTTCACTGTGTGGTTTTCCTTGGGGCCATTGCCTTTGGGAGTACCACGTTTGCGGCGAGACGCTCTACCGCGAAGGGGGTTCGTACTCGCGTGGCACGCTGCTCGTTGAGCGCAAACAGACACCGGTCACGTTGGCCACAGTGATAAACTTTGTTTATTTACAATACAAAACAAATAACAAGAAGACAACGGCTATCAGCTGATGAACGCCGTCGGTGTGGAGATCGCCCACGGCCGAACGGTCATTCACAAAGAACAAAGGACGGGGTAAACGCTCACTGGTGCACCGGACGGTTCCCCGTTGTCGCCGCCGCCGAAATCCCAGGAAGAAGAGACTGAGATCCTGCTGTCCGCTGGTTTTAAGGGGGGACATGGCCTGGGAGGGTCAACTTTTGAACCATTCCCTTAAATTGATTCAAACTTTCAGGGTGAATTTAACCCCATTAGGATTGATGACATCTAAAATTTCAGTCTTGTAGGCCAATTCTACAACACACAGTGCTTAAAAAGCTCCAGAAAAAAGTTACTTCAGGAGGAAATGTATTTAAAAAATATAATTGCAATCCACAAAACGTTTGTTTTAATGTGAAGTAGAATAGCCATAGTGCAAGTTAAGGTAAAATTGAATTGTAGACAATGCAATTCTAAAGGAAAGCAATAACACCCCAAAAGTGCAAAAGATTTTAACAAATTTCTGTGTTTTAAAATATTCAGTTTTTGTCACGAAGAAGTTAGCTTTTTCAGAATATCAGTACCTTAACTTGTTGCTCAGGAAACTTCAGTCCAGGACACCACTGAATGAAATCTTTACACTTTCGAAATGTCAAGTAATACATTTCCTCATACCACATTTCCTGCCAAAAAGCGGAACTGAGAAAAATACATTTGAAGTTTCAACTTTAGGTTTCTTTCTTTTGCATGAGCCCGAGGTAGGCGAAATTCACCTGGGGCATTGTTAGTTCGTTGTTCCCCTGGCAATAGCTACCAGTTTGTGTCATTTGTAGGCAAGCCAACTTTTGTAGTAGGCATTCCTTGACAGATAAACTGGCAAGAACAAAGAGGCAAATGGGATACTAAGGAAGAGCAGCAAAGCAGGAATATGATCTGAAGTGGAAGATACTGAGGAAGGGTGTTACTGAAGATGACACAAAATCACATCACTGGGCAGGACCAATCGTAAACCCTGTTTCGGGTCTCAACCAGTAAGATTGCTCATACCAAATATTCAGGATTTCTTCTGTTTTGATGTAGAGGGTTCTCCTGGCCATCGATACTTTTAAACTTTGAAAGTCTCTACGGGCTAAATCTAGAGTAAATGGTGCTTCCAATGAGGGTGAGATGTTCTGGCTATGTTAAACGAGTATGAAGCAGCACTAAATAAAAAACACAAAACTTGCTCCCTGCTGACTCAAAGGGCTGCCGACATGTCGAAAATAATTTATTGTGAGATAAATCCTTCATGTATAAAAATGAAATTTTCTGAAACCATTCGTTGCAAGTTAAAAACATAAAAATATACTTTTTGAGAAAAAAAAGTTTTTTTTCTGAAGATTTGGAATTTCAAGGCCATGTCCACCCTTAAGGGGGGACACTACCCAAGAAGTAAATTTTTGAACCCCTTGTCTGATTTAAATTGCATTTACAGGGCTTGTTTCTGTTGATGTTGAGAACATTTCTGCCAAATTATGTTAACCTGGGTGAAGTACAAAAAAACTGCAAACATTCAAAGATGAAAGTGGGCGTGCCTGCATAGGAAAACTATTGTTTTGAAATTACTTATAAATTTGTCGTTTTCATGAGTTATATTGCATTAGGACTGTTCTGAGCAGACAACTATGGAGCTATATTTCTGTTATACCATCTTTCATGACAAAAAAGCCACATAAACACAAATACAGTTTTTTAGATTTCCATCCTTTGTCCAAAATTTTTGTTTTTGAGCATGAAGAATGACAAAACTAAAAAATACAAGCTCATAGTTATCTTCCCCTTAAAATTTCACCCCAGAAAAACTCATGAAAATGAATCCAAGTTATGTAATAACAAAATTCCTGAAGTGAAATTTATGCCAGAAAGTGGAATGGAGAAAAATGCGTTCAAAGTGTTCCAACCTCTACCTTTTCTTTAGCGTTGGTGGACCGAAAATAATTTATAAAAAATTAACTATGCAGTACAATCTAATGAAACTTTGTGGGAATACCCTCTGATGTTGGTGGATGTAAATATGACATTTTTCAAAATGAATGTTTTTTTAGCAGAAATTGTTTTTTCTGGGTAGTGTCCCCCCTTAAGATAACCGCGGGGGCGAAGGCGCCAATCAAGGAGCGACACGTCAATCTCCTTTCTGCGGGGGTTCGTAACGAAAATCACCCTTAGGGGGAAAGGAGGAAGCCACTCACAGTGGTAAGCAGCGGCACCTCTCGCTACGTCAGCGCGGCCACCACAGCGCGCCAAAACGCTGACGCGACAGAATGTTGAGGGATGACAATCCCCACAACTGAAATCGTCACTTTCAATTACATCACGGAGAGAGTTACGTAAAACTAGCGTGGCTGGAACTTGGCTATAACCATCGTGACAGCAAAGTTGAAATTTGCGTCGTCCTCTGTTGCGCAAAAAAACATAGGGCATAGAACATGTCTTTTTTTTTTTTATATATATGACTAGTCCTGCCCTCCATAAGAAGAAACTCAAACCCTTTCAAGAGTGATGTGACTGAAGTGTTTTCCAAAAGATAGTGTCACCAATCCGGCAAAAAGAGTGAAGGAGCACGTTTGAAAGGATGTGAGAACGCGTATCGGGCAACGCCCTACTCCCATCCGGAAGCGCGTTCCTCCGATGTCGGGCCTGGCCCGACACATGACTGCAAAGGGTAACTTCAGTGTTTAGAATTAGTTTCTTTTAATTGCAACTGTTCATAAAATTAAAATAACCCTTTGCATAAAAAAAATTCTCCAAACCTAGACATGCTTGTATCAAGGTCTGGCCCCCCTTCCCACAAGAGACATGCTTGTATCAAGATCTGGCCACACTGTCCACAAAGTCGAATCGGTCGAACCTGGTTAAAAGCTCAATGGTTCAAACTTTGGGGGTTCGACCCAGTCGAACCCCTAAAGTTCAACTTAAAATTTCGGTTCGACAAAAGTTTGCGACACCACTACCCAAAACTGAAATCATAAAAAGGTTTCGTCGAAATTAGGTGTCTCACAGTTTTTGTTGGCAACATTGACATCGGACATTTCGGCCCAAAGGGAACGTTGGTGGATCTGAATCCGAAGCTCTGTATCCGAGGGTCGCTGCAATGACTTCGTTTCAGCTTAAAATAGTTGTTACAGCATTCTCCTTACGATGGTTCTGCTACCAGACCTCTTTGAAGCCATTCGCTGTCGCCCTGCTTCATCTAAGTCCACACACAGATGGTGCTACAAGCGAGAGCTCCGGAATTTCAGTGTCCCTGCCAAGAACGCACGCTCGTGCTCTGCAAGCACTGTTCAAGGCC